CAGAATCAGAATCACTTGAATCAATCGTGCTCGTATTATAATTTTAATTCGACTTCATAAAAAATATTTTAAATGAAAAATATTTTTTGTTCGATAAGGCTTCTCCCGTTTGGTCCAATTCAAATTAGATAAAAAATGCGATCGTAAGGAGAAAAATGAAGAAAAGATTAATACAGCGTATAATAATCGTTACGATGTTGTAAAAAATAAACTTAGTTTGCTTAAAACAAATAAACTTTTGAATTAGTAGTTTAGTATTAGTAATCCTGTCATTTAACGAACATCCACACACTCCTGCATTTCATGTTTAGTTGAAATCCCTAAGAGTCGGATTAGATAACAGCACAGCATACTAGACAGTCTAAAAATGACACTCTCGAAATTAGCCCATTAGTTTGATGATATCAGATTGTGAATTTATTTGTATGACACACAACTCATAAGTACTTTTCGACTTGTTTACCATGTCTGTCGTTTTTTTTGTTTATCTACCTACTTTTTATTTCTATTGAACAACTTTAATCAGTGATTATAGGGATATTAGGCAATGAAAAAGGCAATGTGTAATAATAATATTTTCGGACATTTGACAGACAATGATATCTAGTATCAAACTATGAAAGATAGATTGTCTAATAGAATACTTTTTTGTAAATACATACATATTATACATAGAAAAGTTATAAACCTCAATTTTACCTACAAAACTTTTGGTCCTAGTTGAGGTTTTCCAGGCTCTCGTTTCCGACTTTTTGGTGCCACTGACAAGAAAGGGGAGGAGCTTAATAAAAATAATGCATTATTAATCAGTTCCTGTTAATTAATTTTTTTCATAATTCTGATTTAAAAAAACAAACTCGTAGTTTCCTTGTCAATTGCCTCTCCTTTAAAATTGAAGTTTTTGTTTTTTTTTTATGAGAAGGGGGAAATAGTCGTTCAATTCCGAAAATCATTTTTATAAAAATAAATGAACATTTTTTTTGCCTTCTATACTTATTACTTGTTCGTTTAGCGTTCATAATTTATAATCAGTCAGGACAAACGATTTTAGATTTTATAGTATTGATTAATGGAGCTAATGGAACGTGTTTTGATTCAAACTACATTATATTGGAACAGGCCACATTAAGATAATATCGAAACACGTGCGTTTAAACGTGTTTAACTTGTTAGCTCATACATATGATACTTAAATTTTCTATTCTAGGTAAGTATAAAATTCGTGCTTATCTTGGCTATTTTATAATGCAATTATACTCTGTGTAACCATATGGGTTAATCATAAGTACGAGGGCTGCTATTTATGTATCCGGAATAACAAAGTAAAACAAACATATAGCATTTATTATAGTTTTATTGCTTTTCAAAATATTCGCCGTTATGATCGATGCACTTTTTGCATACGTTGAAACCAATTTTCGTAGCACTTTTTCCATTATGATTGTGGTATCTCCAAAACGTCCATTTTGAACGCATCAACAGCCTCTTCACGACTCGAAAAACGTTGACCACATAATTTCTTCACGGTTGGAAATAAATAGAAGTCGTTGGGGGCCAAGTCAAGGCTGTACGGCGGATGACCCTTTAATTCGATCTTTTGATCTTCCAAATACTCACTTGTTTCGGCCGATGTGTGGCAGCTGGCATTGTCATGATGAAGAATGATTCTGCGTTGTCGGTTATTCTTTCTTATTTTCTCAAACACTTTTGGCAAACAAATGATCGTGTAACTTTCAGAATTAACCGTTTTACGATCCTCCAGTAGCCCTGTAGCCACATGTCCATTTGTTAAAAAAAAGCAAGCTACCATTTGCTTCAAAGTGCTTTTTGAACGAATGCCTTGTATTGGGTTTTGTTCATCTTTGAACACCCAAACCGTTGATTGTTGTTTAGTATCAGGATCATACGCATATATTCAAGATTCATCACCTGTGTAGATATTATAGACAGCTTTTTAAGCACCCTGATTGTACTTTTCTAACATTTTTTTTTAAAACCAATCAACGACCCCGTTTTTGGCCAATCCTCAAGTTGTGCGGCATGCAATGTGAACAACTTTTTTTTTCTATATTTCATCAGCATCTATATTTTGAGGTACAGCAGCCGATTTAGGCCGACCTTCTTTGAATTCGTTCGTGAGCACAGACCGCCCTCGATTAAACTCACTAAACCAGTGATACACAGTTGTTTTTGATGGTGCTTCGTCCCCAAAAGTGGAAGTGACTTGATCGATGCACTGTGTTTAAGTTAGCTCGCGCCGAAAATCGTAATACGAGTAGATCATAACACGAAAATTTTCGTATAGCAGCCCTCGTATTATTCTTTTTTTTTCAAGTAAGGGAAAACAAAGATTGGATTTTTTATTAAATTAATAGCCGTTTCCGATAAGAACAGCAAAGCAACCCATATTACTGACTACTACAGCATATTACATAACTGAATTCCATATGGTATAACCGAAACTAATGAGAAACGAAACGAAAACACGTGAAACTGGGGGCATTGTGCGAGTTTATTTCACATGAACTCGCTCTCGACGGCAAGCGCTGTCGGTTTTACGATTGCCTGACTGAACTCATACTATACCCTCTTCATAGTTAACTGGCTCTCGACAGCACAGAGCTAATATAAGAATAGAGCACGCCAATCCCACCTAGCCCAATGCTTTAAGGTGTCTTACGGGGCGAGAGAGATCGCTGCACGCAGCGGCCCTCTCTATCTCTCTCTCACTGCATGTATATAGGTACATGGACTGCGCATGTGCAGAATTAAGAAAGAGATAAAGAGGGCCTCTGCGTGCACCGACCTCTCTCGCGCTGTGGGACACGGTGTGACTTCCCGCTTCCCTTGCTTTCTCTATTTTTATTAAAAAAAAATCTGGCACAACTTAGTACGACTTTTAGTTGATGAGATATTTCTCTTATACTTCTACGTCAACATATTTTCCCGGGGTCTCGCGTTCGATTCCCTGATCGGGAAATGTTTGTATGATCTGCAAACATTTGTTTCGGAATTTGGGTGTTAAGCGTTGTGTGGTCAGATGTTCGAAAATATTATAAAAACTGAGTGGAGATGCAACAAGTTATGCAACTGCAGTTTAGACACAACACAAACACGCCAGATAGTCTAGCCGAACCTTTAACATCCACAGATGCGTGCAAAATTTGTTTAAAGCTTCGCTGTTACTTCATGGCTTGCGTTATCGTTAGATTACGGTAATTGCTATGCTATGCTAGGTATAGACACTAAAGTTCAGCAAATATTTTATATCTTTGTTTTTAATGTAACACTATTGCGAACACATCGATTCAAACGAGTGTATGCCGATACTGGTGTTTCCCGATCACTGTTGAAACTGAAAATATTAAAAAGTAAAATTATCAAAGAACAAATAAGCGAGCCTTGCAGAAGTCGCATAATCTGATGTCGATCTGACATCGCGGCTTTCATTATCAACTCTAGCACCGTGTGCGCTCTTTAATCAAATGATAGCGCGGTTTGCAACCGCTTTTTGTTAGCCACCAGTTACCATTTCTTTTCACGAAAATATTTTGGACATTAGGATTGATGTACACATTTAGTGCATGAGCTATGCCATTTTATTCATGTAATTCAATTCTAAAATAGTTTAGCTGAGTAGGTACTTTAGACGCAATTTGATCTCTACGCTGTACAGCGATATAAATTGGCTGTTAAAAAAGGACGTTGTATGTATTTTGCGAATTTAAGTATATTTGTTTGTAATGATTGCACACACTAATTACTTACTAATTATCATAATTTTTTAATACGATAAGACTGTCAAGATGATAATATCATTGCCAATTTTATTGAAGTCTGATAAAAACTCTAAATGAACTATGAACTATAAATGACGACCTCGTAAAAATGTGCGATGCAGGGCGGGGTCGTCAGTCTTGACTAAAATATTATCGCACACAAGCATATCGTTAAAATAATATAACAAACACCTGTATTATTGACACAACGCGCTGTCTTGGAACAAGCATTACTTTTATTAGTTAATTAAATGATAACTGTTTATACTTATTAAAAATTCCCGTTGTTTATGTACAAAGTACCTACACTTTAATATTAATTTAACCGTGAGAGAGGCTTGATTTTCCATGGTAAGGGCTGGCTCGACCGGAATAATATCACTGCCTAGCAGAAAACCGATGTTTAAGTACCTATTTCTTTTGTGTTTCACCGAACGAGTGAGAGTACCGGAGGACGAATTTAAATCTGGAGTGCAGGACAGGTACTCGTGTCTCTTGGTATTTGGCAATCACTTACCATCAGGTGACCCGCCTACCCGTTTGCCCCCATATACCATCAGATCACATCTACAGCCTTTCACAGTCAACTACTGGACATAGGCCTCTCCTTACAAAGGAGGTTTTGACCACTATACCAAGCTGGCCAGACGGGCTAGTACTCGTATAAGGATTGTTTCAAGTTTTCCTTCTCTTTACAGTGCTGTTGTCTTGCGTAGTTTAATAGGAGTATAGTATATAGTATTAATAGTAGTATGCGTATTTAGTATGAATAGGAGTGGTGACTCTCCGTAGTCTTAATCCCTCACAACACGGACTCCCCCCTCCCTAAACCAATAAAAAAACTTAATGTACTTATTGTATCAATACGTAATACGTCTCTTGTCCACCAGTATATGAATGTTCTCCGAAACCTTCTAGTGTACATAATTTTAGAGTTATCATAATTCATAAGAAAGTTATCTGCTACCAGTATAAGTTATAATGTGTAGGACGAAATATTAATATCGCTTAAACACGCTTACCATCATCCAGAGATCATGACACAATGTGTAATTCTATACCTGGTGGTTAGCGACATGACTAGATTATCTTTTTGCTGATTTAATATTTAAAATTTTGAATTTAAATGTAATTTTAAAACATTATTACTAAAAATATTCAAGCGTAAATTCTACTCTTGGGTTTCAAATTATGTAATAAAAATGGCGTTCTTTTCACACCATGGGCATGAAATTAGCATTTTTAGTTCTAGGAAAGCGTCCTAGTACGTTTAAGTTGAACATGCCAGCTCGGTTTCGGCAGCATACATTTTATTTTTATTTTATTTTATTTTTTTACATACAACTTGAAAACATAGGTGGCAATTTGACATCGTTCCACACGGCAAAATTTTCATCGTCATTACCTGGATAGTTGGCGCTCCACTACTGTGCGCTTTTCGAGACATTTTTGCCCCGCACAACCAATCTGTGGAACGTAGGTATCGTCTGCGGTATTTCCGGACCGATACGACCTTCAAACCTTCAAGAAAAGAGAGTACTCCTTCCGAAGAGGCCGGTTGCCGGTTGCGTTTGTGACTCCTGAGTTGCGGACGTTCATGGGCGGCGATGGTCATTTTCCCTCTGGTGACCCGTCTCGTCTGCCCCCTCTAACATGAAAAAAAAGTGTACACACTTATTTACGATGATTCGAAAACCAATTGAAGGATAACTACTTACATGCATTGCAATAATGACTGTTGACGAAATTTCAGCGAATTATGTAGTCATTGGTTAAAGATAAATATTTGTTTAATTGTGGTCTTAAACTACTGAGCTACTTATTCTACGGCTAGCATATTTAATTTAACTGAAGATTGTATTATTTTGAATATCTAGTTATATTTGTTTGACCAGTATTCTTTAAACTGTCAATGTATATAGCATGACCAGCTTTTGCCCACGACTTCGTCCGCGTAGTGGTCAGCACCAGGCATCGTAGAAGATACTTACATTGAATCAAGATGTTAAATTTTAAAACTAAACAAAGTAAATTACAGACAAACGGTACGGTACGGTATTAATAATAGGCCAAAATATATACTGAACCCATATACCTTTACTTACAGATTTTTTTTACATAAATTGACTGCACGGATGACGTTGTTTAAGCGGTCACCTCGATGCTTCCTATTGCACTGAGTGTTGTGGGTTCGATCCTTACCGTGGACAACACTTCGTGTGATCCACAAATTGTTGTTCTGAGTCTGGGTGTTCTTTGTGTCCGTCCGTCTCATCCTCCGTCCGTCATAAATATCTGTAAAGTCCCCTGCGACACAGGATGTTTTCAGTTAGTGTTTGTGAGGAACTCCCTCACAAACACTAACTTTATTTAAATTTAAAGTCTTTATTTAAAAAGAAAAAGTAACTTTATAGTATACAGTAGTTCGCATTTATATTTGAATATGTCACGGTGGTAAAGCGTCAAATATTTCATTTCGAGAAGTTTTTAATTTTGGTTTTTCTACTGTTAAATGAATCAGCGGATGGATGCGGACTACAGACCGGGATAGTAGGCGCGCCTCGAGGGAGTCCTTCGTATAGCATTGGACAGCGATAGCCTGATGATGTTGAACGGAATGATATAGTTATATTTATCTCGGTAGTTGTAAATTACAGGGAAAAACACAGAAATCGTGTTGTCAAAAGGTTTATAGATAGTGTAACTTCACAGACTAAACAAAACTAATAGTAAAGGCGTTATAAACACGTGTTCTTAGATCCATAATTATTTACTTTGGCTTGTTGGTGTATATTATCGTTTAAATAAACAATAATAAATTCTAGCTTTATTATATGTCAGTATATATATTACTATTAGTCTGCTGGATTCACATGTTATTGTTATTAGATAGTGTACTAATGTATACTGGGATAAATTATTGTAAAAAGTATAAAATATATTTTTTTATTTTACCCTTTTAGTTTTCACAAAGCCAACACGACGTCTAGGCGTCCAATCTTCACTTATTGACCCTGAAGTATGACTGTTAAAGGTAAATGACCGGTATCAATAAAATCAAAACAATACATTTGCAATCATGAAAATAGTACTAATGCAAGTGCAGATAAATAAAAAAACCTGACATTTGCTGGCCAATATTTAACGAAACACTTATGCGCTATCCGTGTTATAAAAGAAAGTAAATCACCAAAACAAATAATATTAAAAGAACCACCTAAGGTTATTTTGATGTTATACTACTGTTTAAAACGATTTAAAAAAAAGAAGGAGGTTCTCATACGTTTGTATATATTTTATGATTCTTATTTCAGAACTCCGTGGTTTACGAACCGATTTTCTTTTCTATTTGGGAGGGTATACTACCAGAAGGCTAATTCTCGTAATAAAAGTTCGTTCTCAAATCAACTTTGATCACACAACTGTCATTCAAGGATGTCGTAGTAAAATATTAAGCATCCAACGTTGACTGTAATGTGATTATATTATATTGTAACCGAGAATTGAATCAGTAATCTGCTAGTCTTAGTAATACTTTACTATTTTACTACGAAAATACCTTTTGTGACAGTTGTAAGATCGAAAGTCGACCGGAACTGAATTGAGACCGAACTTTTATTACGAGAATTGACCTTCAGTTTAGTCCCATTATTGTGACGTAGATTTTCATTCCGGTATTTCATTTGAAATCAAAGCATTTTAAAAACCGACTCGTCATAACACAACTCAGCGAGTCAAAGCCGAAAGCTTTTTGCTCCCGGATTTATATATTTTTTAACGGCCAGTGTGATTAATGTTGAACCTTATCATCGTTATCGGACACGCGAGGTCTCCAACCGGTTACGGGGTCTAAGTTTATCTAGCCAGAAACGTGCAAATATATTCACTGCAGTAAGCTCTGAAATAGGCGAAATGTAAAATACTATTTTGATGAATATTCAAAGAGATACTAATTTATTCGAATTTAAATAGTTCCTAACGAACATATGGCATGTCTATGATAATACTGTTATAATATGTGAGTTCGTGATTTCAAATTATGGAGTTGTATCTAATGGAAACAGGTATAACGCATTAACAAATTCGTGATAGACACTAGTAACATAAGCAGAGGTATAATGACTGAATTGAGAATGCCAATGAGCTTGCATCAAGCTCTATTTTTCTCTCCTTTTAGCTGCTCTCGGGTCTCACTATCCTACGCAAACCAACAATCCTTAATATAGGTATATATGTGCCATAGTCTTTTTTTTCATATCGTTTTGCCCTATAATCTATCTCTGTTTTAATTTTCATCTGGATCCGTCCAGCCTTTGTATTCCATAGAAATCGTTATAATAAGACACTAGAGTCGCATAGACGCTGGACCTTGTCGCCACAATGATGATGATGTTTAGACAATCCACCACTTACAGAAATTCACACCTTTCGTGATTTAGTTGCGCGGAGCGTTCACATACGGTGAATTTATATTGTTAAAATGGTGAACTGCAGCATAATGGGTTGTAAAAACGCATCAGGGTTGTGTAATTCAACTAATAAATGCATAAAATTTCAACGGGAAGTTAATTTTTTACAAATAAATCATTCTTTTTACTAATGTACATCTCGAGGCATACTTTAATAAGATATTTGCTTCATTTATTACTTTCCGTTTTTGTACAACAACCATTGCTGCTTTTGTTCTTATTATACGCGATGTTGACAAACTCGCCAAGCAATGTAATGTGAAATATTAGATATCGTTCTGCAATGCCTTTGTTTATAATACGGCTGCAGGCATCGGTCGCCAGTTAGTGATGTGATTCATTTAAATGAAAGTACAGTTTAAATCGATGTTAGTAAAAAGAGATATTTTCTCACTTACAAACGTAACGACGAAACGAAAAGATACAATATGCACGTAAAATATTCTAACAGTAATTTCATGAGGAATTGAATTGAATTATTTGTTTAACTTTGAATATAAAAGGCTATAAATTATAACATGCTGATAAATGTAAATAAAATGTTATCGTTTTAGAAAGCATAAATAATTATATTATTATTTATTATCACATAATTATAATTAATTTCTAGATTCCAGAAAGATCCTAATGTTAAAGAAAAAGTGATACATATTACTGGTAGACAGGTTTGGTTCCCTACATAAAATAATATTTTTTTCAATAATTTTTATTCATTCGTTTTTTTTTTAATTTATTGTTTCATAAGTGTACGCTGTAACCTGGATTGATAAAGTATTTTGACTGTTAATGGATAGCTTGATTTTAAATAATAGGTACCATTCATTTATAAGTATCTTTACTGTTAAAATATTTAAAAAAATAGTATATATCTATGGTTTTCATTACTACTTGTAATCTATTTTAATATACTTATTACACACACCACCTTCAAAAAATGTAGTCAATCCCTAGCGTTGTTTACACTGATTCTCACATCGAAAGAGATTATTGTGGTGCCACATAATACATTGGAGTAAAATGCAATGTAAACTCCTGGAGATTAAGGTTTATAATAGTTTGTGCCTCTAGGTCACATTTCACCGTTGTTTTGCAAGTGTGTGCGAGTCATATTTATTTGTTTGTATTTTGTGAATGCGGAAAATGAATAAATTATTTCCTCAAAAAAACGTAATAAATTTTCAAATTATTTATTTATTTAGGGAAATGATTTCTTTTTTTCCAAATATGGCAATCTTTTTGATATCACCACTGATGAGCCACTGCCATTCCATCATCACTGTAAAGACACTGAGTTAGTGTAGACTACCGATATTTATACCGATGCCAATGGCCACTCGATGGCATCTCAATAACGTGTCAGTGATATGACAGTGGCTTGGCGTGAACATAAAATAGCAGAATTAAGGCCCTGGTCGAAGGATCTTCCCTTTCTGTTGGAGGGACATGACACTCGTTCCTCCACAGTAATTTCAGGGCGCCTTTCCTCGAACATTATGATTGGTTCTTCACTGTTTTTGTATTTAAGTCCTAACTTAACTCTGACCTTTACCACAAAAATTATAACCACACACAGATCTTAAATTACGACATTGAATTATAATTCAGTTAAGTAGGTAATTAGTTAATGACTTCAACCGGTGTCTAAAAAGTAGGTACAGAAAATGTACCAAAACCACAACAAATAGTGTAAATATGTAGGTATTATCATAAACAGAATCTTTTACCCTGTATTTGTTTTTCTAAATTATCTCCTAATTGTTTGCATTAGTTTTACGACTTAATACGGCGAAATAACAAAACAAACAGTTAGTGTGTACGAACGTCTCCGAACACAGCCCGCGCTCGTGTCTCTTGACGTCACTGAAGCGGTTCGTGGCAGTGAAGGCCGGGGTCTTATAATTACATCAGACTTACCTCCTATCTGTCTGATAAGTGGGCCATCCCGTGATCCTGATAATACGCCAAATAAATACAACTTTACCCGCTTATTTTATCACTTTGCTGCCATCGCGCATCAGTGACAGTTGCTCTAAAAGTTCGGAAATTGAATGTGTTCGCGACGCCGCTTTCGCTGTGTTTTATTTCCAATAATATATTTATTTTAGCAACAACCTCAGGTTGTTGCTTAAGAGAGCAAGAAAAGCTTTGAGAATTTCGCTACTAAAGGTAAGTTCTATTATTATTTATTTCGAAAAAGACGACATTTTTTAATTCCATTTTTTTTCTATGTATGAATATGTTATGCGTTACTAACTTTTAAACTTTCGCGTTCCATGATAATTAATATTATTTAACGGGAATTAACGCGATCTCTTATTTAGGGTATTACCCTAAATAAGAGATCGCGTTAATTCCCGTTAAATAATATTAATGTTATGCGTTATCTTATAAATTCACGAAACGATTTCAATTATTTTTTTTAATGTATATATAGTTAGATGAATTGAGTTGTACTCAAGGTTGGCCCCATTTTTGCCATTGTGTTTTATACTTCTGAAAAAAAAAAAAAATCTAATTCCTTTCAATGTTGTAATTGCTCAACATCCCGTGATAATAAATAGCTATTACCATATTATGAATTTACTAAATATCTGTGTTGTGTATGTTTAAAAAATATTTATGAATTTTATGGAGATTTTATTTACTCTTAAAGTTAAAATACACTCCATGTATTTTTATTTTTCAAGCTTTAAAAATGTTCGTCATAACATTGAACGCAGTTTACATCCAAAAAAAACATAAAAATGGTCAAATATAGCAACTTGTACCAAATTACTATAGTGAATTTTAATTCCATTGGCCTTGGCCGTCTGCTGACTCATCATGGCGTCCATAGCGTCACTAGATGTGTTTGTTACGACAATAATCACGTGGAATCTTTAACTAACAACATATTGATTGTAACTGTACCGTCATAGACTTCCTCGTTCATTTAATTTTCCATAACGTCACATGCCTCAACGAATATAACTCGTTCTTTTTTCTGAGACATATTAGTTTCCTTTTACACACGGACTTTATCAAAAAGCGAAGTGAACTATTGAGTCGGCTTCAAGTTCACACGTATAACACGTACTGAAATAATTACCATCTAATCATTAAAAAATTACTACTACCATCTGCAGAAAATTGATGTTTTGCCTGTCGCTATGCCGTGCGTAGTGCTGTGTGCTAAAAATAACACTATGTGTAGCTTCTAATAATAAAAAATGTAAAGTAAGTGCTGTAGTTTCTAAGCAAGTCGTGGAATGAGAAATAAGAAGAGTTAGTTCAAAGAAACATGTCTTTTTCCATTAATTTCCTGTTTGCTTAAAATATATTGAAATATTAATTTTTATTGTCAAATTTTATAATTACTAGATCATTAAAAAATGGGTCATGCTATGTGATTATTGACACAATGCTTTGTAATGAAATCTAAGTATATTTGAGTAAGTGCTGTCTCTCTAATTACTTAATTAACCGAGAACATTATCTTATCAAACGACTCGGGGCAAAGTTTCTATTAACTGAGAGACTATACACATAACTTTAAATTTACTTAGGTTTATGCCTAAATAAATTTATAGTTGTGTGTAGTCTCTTGTTACCGTGACATATGCTTCCTCAATACCTATATTATGTATTTGTTTTTTGAACTTTCGAGCAAAGTGAGCTGTAGGGAGAAATTACCTTTATTGAACCCTTCTTAGTTAATAATACATCGTGTTTGATGTCATATTTGTTACCCACTCTCCTGAAGGCATGTCCTGAAGACACTAAATATTTTAATTAGTACCAAAACACGTTACTGGATCGGAAAAGTTGTATCTGATATCTTTCGGATATTATTCACATTTTATAATCAGTTATAGGACAGTCCAAAATATGTTTTATTTTTATTAGGACCTCATAGAACAGGTCCATATTAATTTATAGCCTTGCTAAAGCATATTTTGAGGCAGCTATGTTTTTCTTAATATATCCCATTAAGAATAGTTTCCACTGTGACTTCCAGATTATGTATAAACATACTAAAAATATTAATATTCGTACATACATAGACTTGTTTTAATGTAACTATTAATTAGGACACCATCATCATCATCAACTGCCTATAATAGTCCACTGCTGAACGTAGGCCTCTCCTTAGAAAGGAGGTTTTGGCCACGCTGGCCAGACAGATTGGTATAGGGTTTGTTTCAAGAGCGCTGTTGTCCTATGCAGTTTGTTCCCTTAGTCGGCTCGGGATGAATAGGGCTGGTGACATTCCGTATTTAGGATATTAGCACATATCAACAACACATACATATCATATCAAAAATGCTCAAGGTCATGTAAATAGGCGATTATCTCGTTTACCGAATAATAAAACTGATTAATAAGAATAATTGGAAACAAATTTTATATAATAAGTATACAAAAAATATAATACCTTTAATATCGGTGTTAAAAAAAAGATACGTAAGTATCTGACATCATGACGGATTGTATTAAACTTCATTCCTTAATTTCTACCACCGAAGTCCTTTAAAAACAGAAATGTTTGCTCAGTGCAAATTGTACACACTACATTATAGTTAGTGAATACAAATTGTATGTACGAACCTTCCATTAGACAAATTATCGAGTCTGTAGCTAACAATCATGAAATTGTACTAGTGTGCCTTCGTACTCATCTCTTATTCATCATAATAATAGTGTATGCCTCAGTCCGTCAAATTCTCCATAGCATTATCTACGTACACAAATACCTAGCAAGTATATTATACCACTAATTATCTTGTTTTTTATTTTGATCTCTATAATAATTTATACATATAAATATCATGAGCAAAAATTATTTATTGGTTAAGAGGACTTTTATGAAAGTGTTTTTCTTGTAAGTCATACGAGAGTTGAGTTATGAATAAAAAATATAAGGATTGAGTGTAGACAGCACTGAATAGAAGAGTAACAAAATTTAAAATAAAAATAATATAACTGCTGAGTAAATAGACGCCCGGTTGTAGTAAAGTTACTTGGCCCGATGCAAACCTTTCTACACTGGTTTGGTTATCTCGGGCACCTGTATTTAATGCACTAGACAAAATAGTTTGCAGATATATTATTATCATATTAATCTTTCCAAATTATCAAATGACTTATTTATACTTAATCAATAAATCATAATTCCGTCAAAACAATAATATAATAATAAGATTTTTAGTTTTATATGTTCATTGCTTTGATAATATCAGATACTATTATATTAAGTAATGTCCTTGTAGATAACTACACGAATACTGTGATGCTACACTTCTTTTTTACATCCGTAAGACAAAATAGGAATTTGTATGAAAGCTCGTGGCAGGTTTTTTAAACCGAGTTAAAAAAAGGTTTTTATTTTACCTCAGAACTCTGTCATTTATTGTTTGATTGGACAAATTCTTCATTTATTTGGTATTGTTTTCTATTTTGTCTCACTCAAATTTAAAGAAAAAATTCTACCCCTAAAGGTGGTAAATTAAGAAATAAACAAGGCAGTTTTTAATTTTAAGTAGGCGAAGTCTAGATATTATTTTTCCATGCAGTTGATACCGCAAGCCTACATTATTATTGCAAAGATTTCTAATACAGAACTATAAAGTGGTGATTCCATTTATATTTCAATGTAATACATGTTAGACGATATACTTTAATATGATACTTGTAATGCGATATAGTTTATTATCTCATTGTTCACAATTTAATTTGTCGATAGCTGTTGTCAGCCATGCTTATCTTCTATATCGGCATTCTAAGAGTTATCGCCAGTGTTTAGTTCAAGGCTTATCTCTGATAGGACGACATCGTTGTACAATAAGTGTCAAGTTTTTAAGAAAAAAATCAGTTTACGTTAAGTAGTGACTTGTATGACATTCAGTTTGTGAGAAGTAGTGCTTATTGGTAATACTCTTTTTTAATATCGTGACATTATTAGTTGGTTATTTATTAGTGATGTTCGTGCGTTGAGGAAACGCTTTATTTGAATGTTGTAGTATGATGACGATAATCCTATTAGTTTGTTTGTAGGAAGCATTCTTATCTATATACGTATGTAGACTATTTGCTTCCTGGCTGGGGATTATAATGTGGAGTTCTTGGTGTAAAGGGTTTTTGATAATTACTATAAAAACTCACGTCCGTCTAATGGTTTGCCAGTCATCAGCCGTACATTACTTGAAACTAAGGTTTTTAGACTATTTTTTTTTTGTATTATGCGTCTTGTTTTTAAATATTTTGGGAACAATAAAGTTCAACAATAGTATAGTAAAGATATCTCTGATGTGTTTCAAAGACACGTTCAATCTTATGTTTCTTTGTATGTTATTGTTTTTATCTGTTTTCTTGTTAATTAGTCACGATAGTTTTTGTTCTTTTTTGAGACTTACAGTAAAGAACTCCTGTGTTTTTCTGACGTGTTGTTCAACACACAGTGACTCAGGGGCATTGAAAATGAGCTGTACTTAAGACTATTTTTCTCATTTCGACCTTTGTACTTTGTTTATGTAGATCTTTTTCTTTTTAGGAAGATCGGCACCACTGCTGTGTTTTTTCTTTTAATTAGTGTACCCGTGTTTCCTTGTTAAACGTCGTTAACGTGATTAAAGAACGTGTCTGCTTCTTTCTATTCCTGGTTCATAAAGCACTTATGCATGGATTTTTGTAATGAGTTTTTGTGTATTGTCTGACAGGGAGCACCGGGCGAGTCCGGCGCATCTACCAGTGCCGGGCGTGTGTGTGTGTACAGGCCGCGAGAGGCCGCTCGCCCGCGTCCCGCGCCGCGCTGCTGGCGGCGCGCCCTCAACGTCGACCCACCCTGGCTGCGCCGCGCCAAGGCCCGCTGACGCCACACACACATTATGTGAGTACCGCTAAACTACTGAACCATCACTGTACTCTGTACTGTACGCCGCCGTTTAACTAAGTCAGTTCGAATACAGTTGGAAAATGCTGTCTATATTAAATATTCGGTAGAGGGGTTAGTTTCCTGAATTGACGGACTTGGCAATAAATATGTACATACATATATTTTCTATTAATTCTTAATGTCCTTGTTAAGACCTTATCTAGCTAATGTTTTTTTTGTTTCAGTTGACACTTGTGGACTAGCGCTAGTGGGCCGCCACCACCCGGCTCTAACACCTGACACCCCCTCCTAGGCCACCGCACGGAACTCTGGAACTTAACGTGAACTACATAAGGTTCAATATCCCTGGCGAGATGAAGGTCGTAGAACAAGAATGCATTACGGTGATGGAAGGCGAATGGACGCCCGACGAGGTGATCCGGGATATCGTTGAAGGAGGCACGCAGGAGGATCCCTTCTACGTGATGGACCTGGGCGAGGTGGTCGCTAGGTACCGTCGCTGGAAGGAGCTCATGCCTCGTGTCGAACCTTTCTACGGTAACACACTTTTTAAATAATTAAATATTAGGTATTATTTATTCCTGAATTAAATTGCACTTTATCACGTAGTAATTTATGATGCCAATCAACTGTTCAAAACTGTTGTATACGTGTTGCAAAAAACTTACTTTACGTTGTTGTGGTGAACATAGAATTTCTAATCAATATAATAGAGGTGCTTTTTTTATTTAGCATGGTTTAATTTCAATACTTAAATTTTTAATTGCAGAGCAAGGCCCATTTATTATATGTCCTCACCATGTATTAAAACCCATTCTCCACATGATATTACTCTAGAACAAACGCCGATAGAGATCTTTTTCACCTCCATGTGTTAACACTTCTTCTTTAAATAAATGTGTGATGTGTTACAGCCGTGAAATGCAACGACGATAAACTTCTGGTGTCAACTCTGGCCGCGTTGGGCGCCGGTTTCGACTGCGCCTCGAAGGCCGAGATAGAACTTGTCACCTCCATTGGAGTCGAGCCCGAGTGAGTACTAGTAACAGCTGAACTAACAAAGCCTTTATGGCTCAGAAAGAAAAGGTTTAATAAAATGATGGCTGCCTACCAATTCGTACATATTACATTATTTTTTTGATCAAATATGTTTACACAAATGGACACGGCTAACCTGGCAGTTAGTTATTATTTCTGACTACTGTACAAAAATGGCGTCACCTTTACGCTAGACAATATTAAGCCTTCCGTAACTGTGATATATAAATAGTCCACTACAAACTGAAATAAATAACTTAAAGAAATATTGACGTTTATTATAAATCCATCCTATCAATCAAATTGTTAAGAATTTTTATTTCTAAATAAAAAATGGGATAATCAATCGAAAATTTTGTTAACTAAGCTACTAACGCAAAATAAATTACTACCAAAATCATTAATAAAATAACTGTAAATATATAATAATACAAATGAAATATAAATATTATTCTGGCGCTTTTACAAGTAATTTGTTCCTAGATATCAACATCATTATATTTATTTGTTTAACAGGCGCATAATATTCGCGAACCCGGCAAAGATGGCGTCTCATATCCGGTACGCGTCTGCTATGGGAGTGGACGTCATGACGTTTGACTCTGAGACCGAACTCATGAAAGTCAAGCAATACATGCCGCACGCCCAGTAAGTATACATTAAGTACATAAAATATCTCGGAAGTTATAAATAAAGTACGAATTGAGATAATTTTTACTCGAGTTTAGCGATCAATCACACGAAAATCGACATCTATTTTTAAACACAGTGAAATTTATTGCATAACCGTGTTCTTTAACTATATTCAAACAAGATAAATACGATAAAGGGATAAACCTAAGATAATATAGCTTCTAAAAATTGTAACATAAACTTCAGTATAACGTTATATAGAATGATAATAGCATTTGACGAATATAAAAACGTCAGGGTTGCCACAAATACATACATGTGATAAACTCCTTTAAACTGTTGGTTAGCAGTTATCACAACCCTCGACCACAAATGGACGAATTGACGATTAATTTGCGGTATATTTAATAATTAGTGTTTGAATTGAAGTAGTGCGCATAATAATATGTGTTGTGTTGCAGGCTGGTGATCCGTATCCGTTGCGATGCGGAGAACGCGCAGTGTCCGCTGGGCATCAAGTTTGGGTGCGACGCCGTCACCGAAGCGCCGCGACTACTCAAGCTGGCCGCAGTGCTCGGCCTTGAGGTAACATACATGAACATTTTGCTAATGAAAATATTGAAACTGCTATCTCAATCAATTGTTTTATTGCTTTTCACAGAGTGAGTAAAGTTAACGGCGCCCGAAACCCACTTCCCCCTATCCTATTGTACTCAAAGGGTGGTAACGCACTTTAGGCTTTAGAGGCACAGGGGTTTTAAGTAGTAGTTTTCTGGATATCCTTTTCTGTACCCTCGATAACATATATTCGAAGTTTTAAGTTTTATGAATATTGATTTAGTAGTGAAGATGTGCGAGCGTAACAAACAAACTCACATTATTATTGAAATTATTGTCGCCAATACCAGCTTTTGCTATAGGGTCCTCCTTTACCACGATAAAAAGTATCCTATGGCCAGAAACAAAAACCCGTCCGGCCGTTTTTGTATATGCATACACAACAACACGATAAAACAAAAAAAAACGTAGTCTGAGTAAATAAAACAAGAGAGTTTGTACGCAATGCATTCCAATAATATTTATAGTACCTATATATATGCGACATAAGTCAAATTGTCGATAACGCTATCATCGTGTTGGCGACCACACGGTTATTACCGATTGTATACCTTCACAAAAAAAAATACTGTTCAGTTGTTAATAAAAACTGTAAATAAACTTTAATTTACTTTTTAATTTGTATATATAAGGTATGGCTACTGTGAAAGTGTAAAGAAAAACTGTAATATTTGATGTCGAGTTCTACTTGATACCTTAAAGCATTCCCGTAGAAAAAAAACTTAGATAGCAATGATTCACTTTGTTCCTTACGGTAAGAAATAATACTACTCTATCAAGAAAGTACCGGGAAAAGAACAATAATACACAAAATGTTTGTTATTCATCCAAATTTATTTCATCACCTTCAAAGTATACTCCTTCAGAAACGATACACTTACGCCAATGAATAATCCAATCATCAAAACATTTTACAAACGCTGTTTGCGGAATTGAGTTCAGTTCTCGCAGCGAATTCTACTTTATGTCTTCTACTGATTGAAAACGGGTGCCACGAAGTGGTAATTCGAGTTTAGGAAAAAGAAAGAAGTCGGCTGGAGCCATATCTGGTGAATATGGTGGTTGCTCGATGGCATTTGTTTAGTGTTTGGTCAAAAATTCGTTCACAATGATGGTCTTGTGTGAAGGCGCATTATCGTGGTGAAAAATCCAAGAATTTTCTTTCCACAAATCTGGCCTTTTTTCGTCGAATTTGCTCTCTTAAATAACGCCGCATAACGCTCACATAATATTCTTTATTTACCGTTTGACCTTCCGGCAAGAATTCCGAGTGCACAACACCGCGATAGTCAAAGAAAACAGTCAACATTGACACAACAACACAGACTTTGACTTTTGATCGAGTTTGGCGTGGTTTTTTCGGTTTTGGTTCAGTTGGAAGGCGCCACTCCGAAGCTTGTTGACTTGTTGATTAGTTAAAATGGTACGGATCGACTCGTGAGATACAGAGAGTTGGGCGGCTATCTCTCTCAAAGTTGAATGAGGATTTTCAGTCACCATTTCCTTCACATTTGCGATGTTAACTTCAGTTGCGCCAGAGGTTGATGGCCTACCAGATACGAGGCTAATCTTCCATCAGATCTCGACCGCTTTTTGAACGCTTTGTACCACTCATAAGTACGTGTTTTTGATAAAGTCGATTCACCGTAAGCCTTCTGTAACATTTTCAGTGACTCGGAACACGAAATTCAATTGGCGATGCAAAATTTAAGACAAACTTTTTGTTCGATGTTTTTGTCCATTATGAAATTAGCAATACACACTAGATATGATATAACTAAAAAAAAACACTGTATTTAATATAAATAACATATGTAACTCAAACTCCCCGCCAAAATGGAAAACAGTTGCGACAATCTAACAACAACAAAAAAAATAAAAATTTGAATTTGGAACCATAAACAAATCATCCATTTCCGATACTTTTTTGACTGAATGTATGTGCGTGTTCTGGTGCAGGTGATCGGCGTGTCGTTCCACGTGGGCAGCGGCGCGGGCGAGACGGGCGTGTACGCGCGCGCGCTGGGGCTGTGCCGCGCGCTCTTTACCGTCGCGCGCAACCTGGGCCACGCGCGCATGCGCCTCGTCGACGTGGGCGGCGGCTTCCCCGGCGGCTCGCACACCGACATCTTCGAGGTCACTACCGACCTTATATTTATAGTATTCTAAAATAATACTCTAATATGAAAAATGTAAACTGTGTCCTAAGAGTCTCTTAGCATTATTGAATTTATTTTTCATACTATATCGACTTCAAAATTACTTCACTCAAACATTAAGTCCTCCTCTCGTTAAAGTGGGTTCAAAATAATTCCCTAATAATTATTTTACGTGTTCGATTCGACGTTAGAAACCTTTTATTAGAAGTCGAGCCTCGTCGTTGATATATTTTTGCAAAATCTAATTTATCAGGATCTGTTATCACTGCTCCGTTAGTTTATTAAATAATATATTTAAATGATTCTAATTGGATTGGTAATTTTAGAGATAGTGCGTTTCAATAATAAGCATGTTATATTGTATGTGTGATGCAGGTGTCGCAGGTGATCAACGCGTCGCTGGAGGAGCTGTTCCCGGAGCGCGGCGTGCGCGTGATCGCGGAGCCGGGCCGCTACTTCGCCGCGGCCGCCTACACGCTCGCCGCCTGCGTACACGCCAAGCGGGAGGTACGCGACCTCGATACCGACACCTACCCTTTTTTTAAACGCAATTCGGTTTTCTTTAACAGTCTCATGATTATTTTGTCAGTTTTTTTTTGTTCTAATGGTGTATAATAATATCTATGACAGATAACATCGAAGGACGTAGATGGCGAAGCGGAAGCCCACACTATGTACTTCATCAACGACGGTGTGTATGGCTCCTTCAACTGCGTGCTCTACGACCATCAGAAGGTCGCCGCCGAACCGCTCAACGTAAGCATATTGTTGAACGATTAACAAAAGAGATTGAATATATCTATATTTATCTATAAAAAATAGATGATTGTTGGCATTAAAAATATAGTGAAACGTTATGTCTGTAATGGAAACATAAACATCAGCGTATGTCTTTGCAGCCAACATCGGAGGAGCTGCTGCCATGCTCGGTGTGGGGCCCGACTTGCGACGGGCTGGACTGCGTGCTGCCCTCCACCCGCCTGCCCCCCCTCCGTCTGGGCGACTGGCTGGTGTTCCGGGACATGGGCGCGTACACGCTGCCCGTGGCCTCGTCCTTCAACGGCTTCCCTGTTCCGCGCGTTAGGACGCTCGTCGACGACAAGACCTGGTAATGCTCACAAATCACTCTCAGCTCGCGTAAATGACATTCAGTAATAAATGTATTCTTATCTCGTAGATAGTGTTATATGTTAACGAAGGCAAAATAAACTTTTTTTACCCTTCTTTTAAAAAAGATAGATTTTACTCATCCATCTTAGGAATTCTTTTTATTGCCCGGGTCAACTCTAACCGTGTGGTTTGTTTGCCAGGGCTGTTCTGAAAGAGCTCGGGCCGCTGAGCTCGGCGCACGTGTCCCCGGGTCGTGTGTCGCCCGCCTCGCCCGTGGACGAGCGCCCCTCTCCCTCGCACTCCCCGCCGCTGGTGGGCGGCGCGCCCCTCGCCGTGTTCGTGGAGTGCGCGCTCAAGTGACCCCTCCACTGTGCGGGGGCGGGGGGCGGGGAGGAGCCTACGACTGCGCCGCGACTCACGGACTTCGCTTTGTTCTCTGCGTGTGGCCTCAGTCACATCGGTCGACAGATCCATCGGTGGACTTGCTTAAAACTGTGTCTCTAAGTCCAGTTCTACGCTAAACATCGGATTAAGCTACGGCCTAAGGACGACCTACTTGTTGCCACATATATATTTTTAACTTATTTTCAATTAATAAATATAAACTAAAAAATAATCAAAAGTTTACCTTTCTCACATAGGAAATACATATTTTTTTACAGTTGATTAGACAAAAAAAAACTGGATGCTACTAAAATAGTAATCAAATAGTAAAAGTAGGGTTATTCTTTGGTCGCATCTTTGTAACTATGCGCAGATAACACGAATAGTTTATGACGTCGATGTGGTCGTAGCGAAAGCTCTCCCAGCCACATCTTATATCTCTTTCTATCATCTATACATTATATTGGGTAACTCACTCTCAAGGGGGTACATGTAAAATATACACGTCTTTGTCGGGTAAATGTGTTTCTACCTTATTATCCTCAAACATACTAATGTACAATATAACATGATAACTATGATTATTAAGTTACATATTATTGATCGAACCGGTAGAGGTGTCTGAATCACCTACAACCGCAAGTCTCCGTATTCACTGAAAGAAAGAAAGATGAAACTAGCATCTGGCAACCATAGACATGAGAGACTTATCAGAAGTTCAGATTATATGCAAACAAATTTTAATCTATTTAAGATGATTTTCAGGGCCAAAGCTCTTTCTCTTCCTTTAGCTGCTCGTTCATTTTAAAACGATTGTTGTTAGAGAATGAATATATAAAGATCACCAGGTATTCAGATATAGAATGTACTCTTTATCAAATTTGGCATGTTATATGTACGAGTATACATCTGTAATATACAAACTCCTTTGCATTCCAATCGCCTGCAGTCTCAATAACGAGTTCAGGTCGATAGAGAATGTACCTAATTGTTTTGAATCTAGAAGGTAGAATAGCCGAGTCTCATCTTCAGTACGCTCATAGATGTGTATTGACACGAGCCCACTTAAAGTATAAACACATTTAATTTAGTTTGAGGGGTTTTGCAAGATTACTTATTTTAACTTAAAATTCAAAAAATGTTTTTCGTTATTCAGAGTGCCAAGTGTGGTGGTATGATAACTTTTTTATACGGGGGTTTGGTTAGTTTCCTTTTAACTTTCACGGTGTGTTGCTAAAATCGATAAAATTGTTTAGGTAAAGTAGCTCTGCTGTGAATATGCTGTAGATTGTTTAAGTTTTGCATTTAATAGGAAACACTCGTTTAGCTGCCTTTTCTTACAAAGTTTATATTCGTGCGTATGCGCCGTAACACTTAATATCTTCGAATGTTTCCTAATGCTTAACTTAATAATTATTTTTGCTTACTAACATGCCTTATTTTTTTAATTTGGAGCAAAAATCTGCTCAAAAATGTATTTAAGTTTTTGGTTTATTCGGTTGCATGTCATAGACATAGTACATTCCTTGTGTATCGTTGGCTGTAGCCCTATGAATAATGGTTTTTTCAATGTTATTCTTTTAAAAGTTGCTTTCTTAAAATTTGTAGAAACTTGCATTTGAAATAAATATTTATGAGATGTGAATTTTGTTTTATTGAATAATCTAACAACCAGATGATAAATTGATGTTATTTCGAAGCTTGCGTTTTGAATTTGGCGAGCAATATAAATTCTAAATAATATAACAATATAAATCCCGACTGCATAATACATGAAATAATACACAACAGAAAAGCAAAATAAAAACTAGCTATGTACGACATGAAACAGAAATTAAATATAATCTAACAACCAGATGATCAATTGATGCTTTTTCGAAGCTTGCGTTTTGAATTTGGCGTGCAATATAAATTCTATACAGGGTGTAAGGGACATCCTAACGAATACTGAAATAGTGTATTCAGACCATGGTTCTGAGTTGAAAATCATTAAAATTTTCGATACCTACGGGAAATTACCTTTACATTTGACAGCTGATTGCATAAAAAATTTAACTTTCCGCCAGAAAATGCCGGCGTTACACCCGATATATATAAATATAAACCCAACTGCATAATACATGAAACCATATACAACTGAAAAGCAAAAGAAAAAACGACATGCAACAGAAATTAAATAAGATCGTACATACAATTTTCGTTTTTTTTTATAATGTACGGGGCAATCGAGCAGACGGCTCGTCCGATGGTGACGACCGCCGCGCAGAGGCCAAAGAGACAAGTGCGTTGTCAGTAGTTATTTATTTACAATAAACATCTATGGATATTTTACTTAACAATATAGTACAAAACACACATCGAAACTATTTACACAAAAATACATTGACGGTCCTTTTGGTCTAGCGATTAGTGATTCTGGCTACCAGACGTCGAGGGTTCGAAAATATATTTTAAATACCTTCTACGCTCTTGGTTATTTATACGCTTTCCTAGGGTCTGTGCCTTGTTCAATGGCACTGTACGGTGCACCGGTGTGGGTGGCGGCTCTGACCGCCCAGAATAGGGCACGGCTTTGGCGCCCTCGGAGGATATTGGCGGTTAGAGCCATACGCGGTTACCGCACCGTATCGACGGAGGCGGCGTGCGCATTGGCCGGTACTTTGGGCCCACGGGATTTGGAGGCGGAAGTGCTCGCCGCAGTATGTCGGCGGACGGCTGAGTGCCGGGCGGATATTGGCAGTAGGCCCCCGCCCGAAGAGATACGCGAGTGGCGTGAGGCCACTCGTCGAGCCACAATGGTTCGTTGGTCGTCGCGGCTAGGGGCTCCACGTGCTGGCCTTGCCGTCGTGGAGGCGCTTCAGCCGGTTATCGTCGAGTGGGCAGGGCGGCAGCACGGGACCCTTTCCTTCCGGCTGACCCAGGTCCATTCCGGGCACGGCTGCTTTGGGAAGTACCTACACTCGGTCGCAAGGAGGGAATTGAGTCCCGCCTGTCACCACTGCGATTGCAGTGAGGACACGGCTCAGAACACGCTGGCAATTTGCCCGGCTTAAGCGCCGCAGCGCCGGGTCCTCATTGCATAAATCGGAGATCTCTCATTACCGGCCGTCATACGCTCCATGGCCGGTAGTGACAGATGTTTCACCGCGGTCGCATCCTTCTGCGAGATGACGTCTTCGCGAGGCGGCGGAGAGGGCTCGGGGGACAACCTCCACTCGGACCCAATCCGTCGCCGTCGAACGCTGGCGGAGGCGCACCTACCACCGCCTCATGCCGCCCTGAGTGTGGCCGTGGGTGGACGGGACGGGTTCTTCCCTCCACCCGCCATAACGGCCAGCCGCGAGGAGGTGATGTCCGCGTGTGCCGGACGTCGCGCCGTCGAGGGCGGGCGCTAGGAGGGGTCCGGATGTCTTAATAACAGCTGTTCCCGGATCCCTCCTATTACAGGCGCGGAGTGGCACACCGTGTGGTTTTAGTCGGTCCGATTCCGACACACCATCCCGTAGCAAACCCCGGTAGGGTGACGGCCCGAGGGGGTTTCCACACGTAAAAAAAAATGGTCTGTGCCTTGTGCCTAGGTACCGCTATCACCCCTCTAGTTACGGCACTGCTTCCAATGCAAGTTGGGTATAAACAAGTAAACAAAAAATATATTTGACATGAAGCGTTTATTACACGAACATATCCATTATCAGAACCAGTAGTACAAAATATACAATGAGATTATGACAACTTATCGAAACGATGAAAGAGAAACGCTACAGCGTTGTAACATTAGGTTAATATCAACATAATAACAATCATACCACGCCAACATTCATTTCTTAAACCTATTAGGATGGGCTGCTTACACTCCAGAGGGAATCTCAATCAGTCCAGGATTCAGTTCACGAATTCTTTCATTCATTTATTTATTATGACCAAACTCCATTGATATCAAAATATTTCAGACATAAAATATCCATCGCTGGATTAAACAACCCTCATTGCCTTTAAGAAGATAGTTGATATATAACACATGGTCAGTGAAGTTCTAACAGTGGTAAATCTAAACTGGGATTTTAAAATGGTGTTAAAAATGCAAAAAAATATATTATTTACCTTAACTCTATCTGCGGTATATAAATGCATAAAACACATAAAAAAACACTAATAGTAGATATCGCAACATCTAGAATCGGTTTAGAGGTAACTGAGATAACCATATTCCGTATACAATTAAGTTGCGTATTTGATCAGATATGAAATATACATAAATAGATACCTTATAAATATAATTGAAATTTACATTATTATCATAATAGACTTATGCAACAACCATTATCGATACATAACTTATATAATTTGTATTATACGTAAATTGTATTACAATAGTAGTTTTTATATTTCTGAGCTCTAATAGTTATATAAAGTAAAACCATGTATTTATGCGGGTGGGTCAGTCATTATAAACAATTAACCAAGGATTATTCATACAAATACTTGCATTCAGTTTCGCATGTAATGTAAATCTTATTCAAAAATATGTGATCTCATTTTAGGGGGAACTTTGAGATATAAGTATACATGAATTATTCAACATTTTAATATACATAACAATACACACATAAAAGTCTAGCCAAATAATAAATATTTAAAGGTCTTCACTTCAAGATACAATTGGTTTTAGTAAACCCATTTACACACTACAGCGATTAATAAATTTACATAAACTAATTCATTCACCATTCTTATTATCACTCATTTATGTCATACAACATTTATTCATCACATATACTATCGCATATCATAAAAGTTTAGCTACTACTTAAGTAATGCAGACCAAATATCAATTTCAAGTGACAAGGAGGAAATAGCATTTAACTATGGCACAGTATTTATTTAAATTTGAAATTCGGTTATTCATATTCCATGTTGATATCAAAGCTAATAACATTATTATAATGTCTTTTTTAGCAGTTCAAAAAAAATTGATTAAATATTCGATTACTAAATATCAACCGATTTAAAAGATTAAACAAGTTAGTCTGAGGAATTTAAATTGGGTATTACTAGAGCACGAGGTACAAGCAACATTTAAATATTACTTTGCAATATTAAGGCACTCTATGGTAGTTAGACTGTATAGATAAATATGGTGTCACTATAACCCGGCAATCTCGTGCGCGACCGTCCCGCGGGGTGACAGACAGTGGCGGGGGCGAGGTAGCGCGTCATTCTAGCACACGAAGAGAAGTGTTTCCCTTCCCCGCTACACCACCCGCTACCCGCTGACATCTTGAGTACCTCGTCCCCGCCACCGTCTGTCACCCCGCGGGACGGTCGCGCACGACGTTGATGGACTATAATTCAATTCAACGGCATATAATGTAATAAATTTATGAATACATTATTAGAAACTTCTTGTTGATCGACGATAACTTTAAATGTGAAAACATGTTTTTTTGCAAAGTATTTATTTAGTAGCAATAATCTCTAACAATATTATAAATGCGAAAGTAATTTTGTATGTCTGTCTATTAGCTTTCACAGCTAAACTGTTGAACCGATTTTAACGACATTTCTGGAGATAGCTTGATTCTTGAGGAAGGACACAGGCTATTTTTGACACGATAATCGATTTAAAGGCGGGCGGAGACACGGCTAATATCGAGTAATCAATTTAAAAAATTGATGAAGAAATTGAAAAGAAATTAAAAATTAATACATGTTTCTTACTTTTAGGATGAATTATTATATAGTATACTTCACTAGTATTATTTAAGTAGCTTTACTAAACAAACTTTTACTCGCATCAGAATATCACTTTCACACATACATTTCACATATTTTTATTAAAATCACTAACGCATGATATCACATGCCTAGGTAAACATAATGGGAATATGTACACACATGGTTTGATATTAACATGAGTCTGTACTACTTAAATTTTACGTGTTTCGCTTCACATTCAAATCATTCAGTTTCTGGCGTTTATTGTTACATAACGTTTCAGACGTATACAATAGAACAGAAAAATAAGGTTACACTTTTGTGAATCGTAAATCGTAATCAGTTTTATAATAACAGCTAAGAGTATGAGTAAAGCGACAGGAAACGTAAAGGCTGTAGAAGACAGGATAAAAAAAACCTGTGACGCTATCGTTAAAGTAATTACGTATTATATGTAGACAAACATAGTATGTACAGGGTGGTGTATCAGCAGAGCTGCACGCTGGCGGCGGAGAGGTAGGCGAGCAGCGCGGCGCGGTGCTGGTCGCCCAGCGCCGCCACGCGCGGGGGGACCAGCCCCGGCGCCGCGAGGGACAGCGCGCCCAGCGACTGCGCCAGGTAGCGCTTGGGCTCGCCGATACCTGCGGGGGACAACACGACCCTGACCGCTACTGACCACAACATACTTATCTTTTTAATACCCTACCTCGTGAACTTAATTTCAAAATTAATGATTAAAGGAAAATATAAAGGCAGCTAACTAGCTAAACTAAAACGAATAGCACTATGGGTAGATACGATGAGTTGATTTGTCAAAAGAAAATAATTAAAAAAAGGAATAATACTCTATCTGCCTAACTATATCATCATCATCATCAGCCTATCGCAGTCCACTGCTGGGCATAGGCCTCTCCTATTGCACGCCACTTCGATCGATTTTCGGCTTCTCGCATCCAGCTCCTGGCAGCCATCTTACGCATATCGTCACTCCACCTGGCCTGTGGGCGTCCTACACTACGTTTACCTAGACGCGATCTCCACTCAAGAACTCGTTTGCCCCAACGATTGTCGGTCGGTTTATATAATCTTATACCTGTGCCACAATATTGTGTCACAAACCACATCTATGTGATCAGTGGTAATGTGTATAGTGAACGGTACGTACTAGCTAGGGGATCGCTGTCGGCTCCTTTAGCACAGATGAGTTGTGCGTACTGCGCCTGGTAGCCCGGCGCGTCGTCCACCTCGATGAAGTGGTCGTCCAGCAATGTCGACTCGTCGGGAGGTAGCTCAAACAACATAATTAATGCCTGGAAACACATTATGTATTATATACACGCGAATCAGCAGAGCAATTGCGATAATGCAACTACGATACTTCTTATTCAGTACAAAAAATTGTATGCCTAGGTGACTCTAGCTATTTCTATGGACAATATGTGTGTCTATTTACAAAAAATGTATATAACGAATACATTTATTCGTATTCTATAATCACTCGTATAAGCTATTTTTGGATCTCACTACTGCTGTGTTATAAAGTATAGAATATTTTATGCATCTAAGAATATAACTGTTAGATGAAGAGATTGTGGCCGTGGTGGTACTGTACTGTGTGTAGGCCACAGTTAACAAAAAGAAGCTATTTGACTAAGAATTTTATTTATATTTGTCTTCTTTAATTGGCTCTAACTGGTCTTGTTACTATTAAAAAAGGCTATTTATTAAAACTAATTGCAGAAATGGTTAAAATATTTCAATCAATAGGGAATATGCATGTATTTTTTTTATTTTTTTTAACGATTCTACTAGTTATTACATTACCAAAAATAAATATAACACATCCGAAATATAAACCGTTAAGCAAAAAAAATTTTATTAAAATCACTATCATTTTGGGGCAATTTGAACACGTCCATTTTGGCGCGCTCGTTTTGTGACGTCAGATTCCACTTTCAGACGAATTCGATGTCAACAACGGAGTGAAGTTCACAAAGTTTGTGATAGTTAAAAAAGTGAGTGATAAAAATTAACTTATTACCATGGAAAAGCCAATAAAAACTTATTATAAATATTGTGCCGTTCCTTTGTGCCCAAATAATATCAAAACTGCACCTGACAAAGTGCAATTTTAAATATCCAGTCATTGTGTTGAGTCTTTCTACACGGGAATTTAATAATTTAACACTGAAAACGTATTAGTTATTAACTTAAAATGAAACAAATAATCACTAGAAACCAAATATTACAAATACACACAACTTGTTGACACTCTTGACAGTGTAGGTTGACGTCACGTTTTATTCAACCAATAGCGTTGCGTTTTAGAAATTTGCGAGGGAATCTTAAAAAAGCCAATTTTTGATGATTAAATTTCACTATTAAATTATAATAAATTTCAAAAATAATTGTATGGGTATCTTTATTTAGCAACAAAAATTACAAATAAAAATATTTTGTCCATTTCGGTGTCACGTGCATATTCCCTATTCAATCGACAATCAGTACTCAGACTTCATCATCCCATCAGTCACTTGTGAATTTAGGTGTTTGTTTCAATGTGTAGATTGTATTGAGCAAGAAGAAGAAGAAACGAAGAAAAGTAAAGATGTATCAAGAATTTTTTTTTTATTTTCTCATTAAATTGCTTATCATAAATAAAATAAAAATGCTATTAGCGAAAATTGTTTTTTTTTATACCGAGTGTAATGTGGACGTTACCTCGAGTAGCCTTGGCCAGAGCGGGGCGAGCGCCCCCTGGCGGAAGTGCTGGCTGTCGCAGAGCAGCTTGATGCAGCCCACCGCCGCCGCCTTGCGCTCCAGCGCGCCCGACACGCGCTGCAGCTCGGGGATCAGGACCCGCTCCAGGTACATGCTGAACATCCTGTACATACAACATTTCTTCACATGTCACATTTTAAGTATTATATTACAAGTAATGAACAAATTAATGGCGCTAATGTTTTATTTAATGCAACTGTTTATGTTTGAAGTTTGTTGTACATTTCTATTCTAGTTATTTTTACATACACTTGACTTTGTGTTGTTTATTTTGAATCTTCCTTTTTTACTGCTAAGGTTTGCTGGAAGAAAACTCTTGCACGCGAACAGACGGGTCATTTAATGGAAAGTGACTATCGCCGACCATGAGCGCCTGCAGCTCACAAATACAATAACAAGAGCCTAAGGATGCCAAGCCCAAGTAGGAAAACAAAAGAATAAAAAAATACGTACCCAGGCTGTACGGAGTCGATGACGTCTATGAGGTTGTCAGCGCCGAAGTGCGCGGCGTAGAAGCCGAGGAAGGCGATCAGTCCGCGCAGGTACTTCGTCGTTTTGGACGAGGACAGCCGTTGGAACAGCAACGTTATTATCTGCTTCGTGTATTGGGACATCACGTCACTGAAATAAATGTATATTTCACTTATAGTATTTTACCTTTAATAAATGTTTGTTGTTAATAAATGTAAAAAGTGTATTACAATATACTGCCTACAATGGATATTAAACACCAAAGATGTCGTTTGAAAAATACTAAAACAAAAAAATTGGAATCGATCTGAAAGTTCATGATTTAATTGAGCTAAATCAATTTTATTGTTGTGGGCTACATTGAACTCTCGTGAAATACACACGGGTCAACTCAAAACAAAACAAAAAAGTCACTTACTTTCCAAACTTGTAAAGCATAGTCTGAATGAGGTAGAAGCCTTCGTGATCGTTCGTTTTTGATGCGATCAACTTTTGAAATACTCCCAGCATTGCATTCTGAACAAAGAGAAAAAGATCTTGTAAGATTCTAGATTAATGTTAGTTCAGGAAAGTAAAGAGAAATATTGCAAACATCCGAAACTCAACGTATGTAAAAGATATGATGAAATCTTTTTTGAGTTTTTGTATTACTGCATGAGGAGGTGCGCGTAAATCGAAACGAGACAATCCTAGAAAGAGCCCAGAGGATAATATGAACCGTATTTCACAAACAAATTAAATTAAATTTATCACCAGATAGAATAAAACGCGTCACCTAATCCCAGAGAATATGTGCAACATGTGAGCCAACACCGAATAATACTGAAGAGATTATTATTATTATTATAAGATAGGATCTAAGCTATTAAGGAAACCTTTAAATATATATTTATAGCAAAACTGTTCGGAGATAGACCGGTAGAAGGTAGAGTGCAATACATATAAAGAGGGCACTTACGAGTCGGCCCGAGGCCAGCACGAGGTCGGCGCGCGTGGCCACGAAGGCGCACAGCAGGCGCACGAGCGGCCGCACGTTGGCGGCGCGCTCCCACAGCGCGGGCGCAACCACGCACGGCAGCAGCGCGCTGTACGCGTCGTCCCCCGCGCCCCCAGCGCCACCCCGACACCCGCGCATCTCCAGGAACAGGGACAGCATTTGGAACACGTACGGCATGAATTCTGTTGACAACGGAACGTTTGTGACGGGTCTCAGCGAAATAACGACGTGACCGAGTGACAGTCTGCGACCACGGTTAGTGCAACCTAGTCGAAACGTCAGGCGATACGAAGGTACGTACGTAATACCTATCGTGAGCGCGTTAATTTAATATATCTACGTGTATACTATTTTTTCATCTCGAGCAACTGTTTAAAAGTGTATGCGTCATTCGTATCGTAACGTAAAATGTTAAGTTTCGATAGTGCTCTACATCAGTCCGGGTTCAATTTGCCTGAGATTCAGACTCCACAAAAAGGTGCATAGTATTGTTTACGTAAAATTTTAATTACGTGTAAATAATTTACTATTGTGTGTGAACTTTAAAAATAATAGTTTTAAAAAACTAAAAAACACGCTTTTTATAGAAAACCAAACTAAAAAATAGAAAATAAATTTTAATAAATTTGAAAAAAAGCGTTGGGTGCCTGTTGTCAATAATACGTAGTAGTCCGTGTGGTAACGGATTAAGAATACAGAGTGTCACCACCCCTATTCATCCCGTGCGTGTCATAAGAGCCGACTGAGGGAAAAACCTACGCAGAACAACAGCACTGCAGAGAGAAGGAAAACTTGACACAAACCCTATACCAACCCGTCTGGCCAGCGTGGTATAGTAGGCCAAAACCTCCTTTCTAAGGAGAGGCTTATGTCCAGCAGTGGACTATTAAAGGCTGTTGATGATGATGATGTCAATAGTAAAAAACACCCCACGCTTTTTTTCCTGTTTTTTAGTTTTTTAAAACTATTTTTTTTTTTTAAATTTGTGTACTGTCATCGGTCCTCGATGTATCTACAAAGTTTGAACGAATTCTGACCATTTAAAGTCAGTCAAAATCACGTCCAAAGGAGTCGGTTACAAACATACAAACAAACATACAAGTGAAGCTAATATGAAGCGTGTAAAAAGATTTATCACAAACACAATTGCTCCAAAAATTTGGTCCTTCGCACCAAAGCAATTAATTACATGGCAAAGTCATGGCGATACTTGTCACAGAGTACAAAGAGTTACCTTTCAAAATTCCTGACATCTAATTAAGACACCAGAGTGAAACTTACCTTGAATATCGTTTTGCAAAATTTCTTGGAAAATTGGGAAGAGAGCGTCTTCGAACGCTGATATAGCGTTTGGATTTGCTTTCGTGACGATCCTGCCGAGTAAATATATATTATTTTATTTTAATCTCATCTCATTCCTGTACTTTAAAGAGAAAATAATAAAAAGTTTATTTATTTGATTATCACTCAAATAATTCAAATTCAAGATGACTAAATTTTATTTGATCAGAGTGCTAAAATTATTCTTTTCGTAACAATTCATAAGTATGCATGCCAAACTATAAAATGTATTTCCAAGGTACTCACGAGACGGCCAGCGACAATGTTTCGAAGAGATAATGGTTGAAGTGAGGTTTGCAGGGGTTCTTCGCGACCACGGAGAGCATATGGGCGAGCTTGGGCAGCGCGTCGCCCAGATACGACAGCGAGCTCTCCTGGAGACACGCCAGCGTGCGGAGTATCGCTACCGAACAAATTCACACCTTAGTCAAAAGTAATTTGCGTTAAAATTATATTTGCAGTTTTTTGTGAAAAAATGATTATGCTCGTCACACAATTATTTTCAATCGAACCCACAACCTCTGGCGCAGCAGTCAGTCTCACTGACCACTGGTCACTCACCCTTCATGACGTACTCGTTGTGGTCGGCGGGGTCGAGCTGCTGGCCGAGCGCGTTGAACAGCTTGGCGAGCAGCCCCGCGGCGTGCGGCTGCAGCGCGTCGCGCGTGACCATGCGGCCCGCTATCAGCTTCTCCACCGCGCACGCGCCGTACGTGCACACCACGCCCTTGCCGCCGATGTGCTCGATCTGATCGACGTATCAACTATTATTCTAACTAAATTTAGTCAATCAAAATATCATTCGGGAACCGTAATGATTTTCAAAATGAAGTGGACTGGATTACCACATTACGAATAATGATGATACGTCGGTATCTTCACCATTTTTTCAATGCGTCTACAACATAATAAGTTGTTATAAACTGTATTTTTCATTCTTTAATTTTCCACCCTTAGAAATAGTAATTTTTATTTAAATTTAGTTCATTAATGATAGAATTTTAAAGTAACAAACGGGAAATTTCACCGAATCGAAAAAGATATCTTTTGAAGTCGTTTAAAATTGGCTCATTAATTATAAAACAGTGCTCACCAGTAGAGGTAGGGCAGCACTGATGAGGTCTTTCGGTAGAAGGGACCTGAAGGTCATGATATATTTCATGGCGTCCGCTTTCAACACCGGCAACTCGGTTACTATAATAACATAAAAGTACATTGCAATCGACTATCGACACTCAAAATGCAGGTATGATTTAGAGCAAGGCGCTGACCGTCGGGGCGCTGCAGCTCGGGCAGCACGTGCGCGGCCGCGAACTGCGCCAGGTCCACGAGCGGCGAGGCGCGCGTCACGCCCGCCGCCTGCGTGCTGCCGCGCGCCGCCAGTGACGTCACCAGGTACAGCGCCGCGTCCTTGCCGCGCCACGCGCCCGCGCCCAGCTCCACGTACTTCGATATCATCAGCTGCGGCACACGACCTCCACTTATTATGTCGCTCTACTGGTTACTTCCGACCCAGGGCAAATTACTATGCGATGAGCAGAATCGTTCTGTGTCTGCATCTCATTTTTTTTAATATGTATGTAATTAGAAATATGTTGACTATTGTAGAGGTCATTGTACGAATAAGTAATTATCGAAAGTTGTTTGAATTCTAACTTCAATATAATGTATATGAACATTGTCTTAAAAGTTTAAAAAAATACAGTTACAAAAATAAAAATAATAGACGAAATTAAATCTGACCAATGTAATATATTACCTCCTTTCCAAGGAGAGGTCTTGCCTTCTTAGAAAGGAGGTTTGGCCGTAATATACCACACTGGCCAGACATGTTTTTATGGGGTTTGTTTCATGTCTTTTTCTAGTTTCTCATATCCTATATATATATATATATATATATATATATATGTGTATAACTAAGACAAATAACACGTATCTAAGTCAAATTGTAAACAAGTTTAAGAATACTTATTGGGCGTACCAAGGATACTCGTACATTCAAAAACAAACTACGTTCCTTCGGGAGTTGGACAAATAACACAGAAAATAGCACGTATTAAGTTACCTGAACATATTGACCGAAGATGTGCATCATCTTATCCTCGTAGCGCTGCGCCAGTGTCTTGACCAGGTCGCAGGCGGCGCGACGTCGCGTGTCTACGTCCGAACCCTCGATGTCGCGCCGCACGTACTCCTCTGGGTTGTCCTCGAAAAGCTCCATATCTGACTCTGTAATATACAGCTTTTGTTGATATTGTGTCTATTTATTGGGTTTGGTTTGGACGTGTTAGTCACTTCTAACTAACTTCTAACTTCAGTCATCCAGTCTCCCTCAAAGAAAGTTAGTAATACCTCTATGTTACGAACGATCTCGGACTTGGAGGGCGATTCTAGCAAGTCAAGGTCACCACACCCTGATTGTTCATTAGTATACGGGTCGCTATTTTCTTTGCATCCATGGATGTCACAGTGAGCTCATCAAGCAGATCACACTCCATCAGTGATGGTTTGAATAAAGGAATAAACCGCATACTTTTATGAAGATTATAATGACAAATAGAAGAAACTTGTGGTGTATGTAAGGATAGAAGAAAGTAGCTAGCGGTCGTCTCTGCCTACACCGATCAGAGAAATGTGTAATTTAATGCACGTAACAAAATAATTTTGCGGTGATAGTCACTTACCATCAGGCGAGTTATTTGCTCGTTTGCCCCTGTTATACCATAAAAACCTGGAACTTAAGTGACACAACTGCATTGCCGCCTTTCAAGTATCCAATCCCAGAATCAGAGGGAGTTGCCTCCGATAACCTGTCAAGCGACACCGTCCACTCCCCCACCAGGACTACCCGCCCTTCACCACTCCACCCCGCACAGGCGCTTCGGGCATAAAAGGAGGAACAAGCGCAACAACTTTTCGCGCCGGGCCGCACCTCAGTTGAGTATTCTCCACCTACCACGAATGCCTCCAGCACCCGCTCTGAGCTTAACATATATATATTATAGGAACTTTTAAGAGATTCAGTTGTAAAAATATTTATTTGCCATTGTTATTGATACCTCTAAACTCCATATTGGGTATGACCACTTTTTCACAAATACTGCTGAGTGTTGCAGGGTCTTCAAACAAATTCTTATAACAATTCTTCTCGGCGACCTTGGCCAGGAAAGTCAATGCATTGGACACCAACTGAAATAACAAAAACAAAATGTTCTGTTATTGAACATTAATAATTTAAGGATCATCCAGGTTTTAATGTTGTTCATTGCAAAATTGGAACCAAGTGAAAGAACATGTTTGAGTATATTTTCTGGTTTGTCAATTAATGAAAGTTTTTTTATTTACGTAGTCTTATGTATTTTTTATTTTTCTACTATTATCTACAGGTTCTGCATCATATACATTTTTAACAAAGATTATGTTTTTATAAATAATAATTACTTTTAAAATTTAGCAAAACCATTTAGAATTTGGTCATATTAATACAGATATGTATACTAACCGCATCGTACTTGGGCTGAGGCCCGGTGGCAAGCAGCACGGTCCACACGGCGGTGACGAAGGCGGGCGCGTGCGGTGCGAACTCTTCCTCGTACTTCAGCGCGTACAAAGCCGCGCACTCGCACACTTCCGTGCGGAGCTGTTCCATCACTCCAGGATTGTCATCATCGCCCTATCAGAATTAACATTTATTATACTAATTACAGGTATTTTTGAATTATCAGGAGTAGGAGTCAATTAGGTTGTCAGTTGTGAAACTTATATATAGAGAAAAGCAAGTACATTGATCAGATATATAAGTGAAATTAAATGACAAAATAATATATTGTTCCCCTGACTAAGGCACTTGTCACAACCATTACCATTAGAAGAAAAGCAGACTAATAAGAATGAGACAAGACCATTTTGTAATAATAATAATAATTTTAAAAAGTACAAAAATAAATCTTAATGATATATTTTTTTAATTAACTGAGAACAATCTCAAAATAATATACTTACATCATTTTCAAGACATGGCACTTTAACTTGTAATAAATTGAGCAGTTGAGGCATCCATGTTGGCATGTTATCTTCAAAGAATTCTGGCAATTCTTGGTAATTAAGTGAGTAAAACACTTTACATATCAACACCAGGGAGCCATATATAACTCGTAAAGCTTGTGGATTATCTGCATGTTCCGTAGTCAAATATATTGTAGCCTGAAATAAAGAAAAAAAAAGAATGTAGTAATCTTATTGGTATCTTAGCAGTTGTATTTACAAACTAGTAAAGATCTTCCATTTTTGTACTTGATGCTGGCAACACAGGCTATGGACTGCAGTGCTATTCATATCCTTGGTAAAAAACAATTTATTTTAAACCAAATGTCACAATATTCCCAGAACAGTTACATAAATAACCTAATTATTTTCAACATAGAAGAACTTTTGCTTACCATAAAAAGGTCAGTAAGAGGCTTGGCAAAATTATCCAAAACATGTTTAATTTCTTCCCACAGTTTTTGTGACTTGAACTCGTACCGATATCGTTTAAATAAAGAATGTGCTGTTCTAAGAACACCATTAATGACATGAAAATCACCTGCAATACAAATATATAATATTATTAGTATCAACAGCCTTTAATAGTTCACTCACTGGACATAGGCCTACTATACCGCACTGGCCAGACTAGTTGGTATAGGGTTTGTTTCAAGTTTTTGTTCTCTTTACAGTGCTGTTGTGGTGCATAGTTTGCTCCCTTACCACCTCCCATGGAACAAATAGAGGTGATGACACTCCATATTCTTACTCCATCACCACACAAAATAAATTAATTATCAAATAATAAAATTAAATAATCAATAAAAAAATTATCAATTACAATAACATTGTTAGAGTAGAGTGTAAGACTTTGGGCTTAATCATCAACATTTCTATTTCTTACATGAGGTTAACAACAAATACTATTAACTATGATCAATTTCTTAAGTTACTGATAACAAAAAGAAGATCATATTTATTTATTTTCATACCAGTATTAAATTTGTCCACCATCTCTGGTATTAAGCTAGGCCATTTTTCTGGGAAGTCACATTTGCCGATGATGGATACAGCATCACTAAACTGCCTCTGTATGGCTTCAGGTGATTTGAGCATCAGTGTTACAATTAAAGATTTGATTGTGGCACGATCTGATGCATGAATTCTATCAACTCCATCTTCTTCCTGGTCAATAATACACAATCTGATCACTGATAATCACATGCTCATACATTTTTTTGAAACATATTCACATTTTAATAATCTATTTAAGTATATCAAAATGTCAAGTTGGTTTTTAGGTACACGAGGAGATAAAAGTAGTTTTTGCAACCACAATGTGTCACAACAACAGGGAAGCTTCGCAGGGTACAGCTATAACTAGCTGTGTCCTGAGAAGCTGTTTTATTTTTATGATTTGTGTTTTTAGACATTAATAAAATTTGTATTAAAGTTCAATATAATGGAAAGCCATTAATAATTCTTATCCTATCCTTATATTATATAAATAAATAATAATAATTGAGTGATTTGGTCCCTAAAGTAATATTGCATATCCTTAATGTTTTTTGTCACTTACACTATCTATTATTTGTTTACTGTGCATTCATGTTTGATATATTCAAATGATAGAATCAATTGACAATTGCTGAATCTTAAAACAACGACTATTCACTTTATTGAACTTTATTGAGTACAGGAATGAATGTCTAATAATAAACTACTGTAGAAAATCGAATCTAATAACAAAAATAACTTCACACATATCACACATTGCAGTTTGATCCCACACTAGGCAGAGCCTGTATGGTAACCAGACTGCTGATAAACATACTTTAATATTTCTAAATACATACATATAATAGATAAATTACACCTATACACAGAACAAATGATAGTGCTCATCACACAATATTCCTCCTAAGTGAGAATTGAACCTACAATCTCCGGCTTAGCAGCTATTAAACTACAGTAAGTGGAGGCTGACTGAACTATAACTATTTTGAATGTCTTATTTTATTTCAGTGACCAGTATAACTTCAACTATCACTGTGCAGACTTTGTACCATGACAGGTAAAAATATATATTTGAACATTCTTAATAAATATATTTGTTTAAAAATAATAATTCAGTATTCCAACTATGATATACTAAGAAAAATAATTTTCTTTACATATTAACATTTAAATAGTGATATACTTACAATAGGCCAATTCCTTTTGATGTAGTTCTTAAACACGATAGCAGCAGCCACTCTTATTGTTATATCTACTGTGTCTTTATCAATGAGATGCAACAGTAGGACTGCATAGTTCTGATTTATTTCCACACTTTCTAGGAACTTTTCAGCTTAAACATTAATAAACACTTGTGAAATAATTATACTATGATACATGAACATGATAAATCATACTCAGTACTTGCATACAACACTAAAGTAATGGTCAATTGTGATTTGTGAGTCACCAAAGGAAAGAAGTCATGATGATTTGTAACTTTCAAACATTACATACTTAACTATAATATCATCTTTATCTGCTGTTTGTAAAGTAAAATATTAAGATATGCGGCTCCACCTGCTTTAATGTAAATTTTTGCGGTAAAAAGTATTTTCTTTTTTTCCCTCCTTAAGAATCAATATATCTCCATTCCAAATATCATCTAAATCAGGGGTTATTGCTTCCCCATAAAAACATCCACCCTCCTTTTCACCCCCCTTAAAGGCTGATTTCTGGGATAAAAACTACCCTATGCCCTTTCCTGGGATGCGGACTGTCTCTATACAAAAATTTCAACTAAATCGGTTAAGCAGTTTAAGAATGAAGAAGTAACAGACAGAAGACAGACAGATAGACACACTTCTTTCGCATTTATAATATTAGTATGGATGTTAGATGAAGGAACTTCACAAGGAATACTAAGTTAGGTTATTTACTAAAACTAAGCAATTAAAAAGCTTTAAATCATAATAACAATTCATACAGTCACTAATAATGCTATTACTTACATATTTCTATTTTTTATGCTGATTCTAATTGAAATCTATGTATGTATGTATGTTACGCTAAACGTTTAAGTAATTATTAAAAATGTTCAGTTATGTTATGGATGCAATCAAGATATGAACTTAATGTGAAAATAGTCTTTAAGGTTATAAGTTCCAAAATGGATTACAACTTACAACCAATACAATAATCAAACTTTACATTGGTTATATATTTTTATTATATTTAAAATTTGTGCATCTTAACCTTATTAGAGGCAATGATTAACACGATCAGTAGATGATACACAATAAAGACATACCGGGTCGACGAATGTTTGTGTCTGGATTAAGTGTTTGTTGAAGGTAATTAGCTAAGGTAGCCAAGTTTTCTTCAGTAACCTCCATTTCGTAGAAATAATAAAAATAATGTGAGCACTATTTAAATAATTAGTATTAAAAGGAACTATTTAAGTTTCTTTTCAACGGCTAGTTGAATTGACACTTACAAAGTACAAACTGATGAAATTGACACATGTGAAGTTGTCAAATTAGTTTGACAGCACCATAAATTAGGTACTAGATAGCCCTAGTGATGAAAGGACTGGAGGCTTATAAACCTTTATGATTAAGACTAGCCTCGATTTTGAGGACTCGACACCAAAATTACGACGTGAGGCTTGTGAAAGACAAAGACTCGAATCATTAAAATGAATCGAGTTCTTTACTAAGAGGTTCAAGGCTTAGAATCGCTAGTCTTTTAAGTAGTGAACTCGAGTCGTTTAACAAAGCGAGTCGTTTAATATGAAACCATATATTAGTTAAACTTCAGTTTATGATTATTACATATTTATTGCAGGTCATGAGGTACTGAATACTAATAATTTAGTGTTAGAGTAAAAGTGGCCGTATGCCATTCTACAAGTGTAACATTAACACTACGAAATGCGATTCATTTCGTACGGCTAAAGGGCATCATTCAAGGTCCACTTGCAAGGAAAGCAATGTCTCAGTGGATTACTTTTATGTTTGTATTTTGTACCCATGATATTGTACAGTAAATATCTAAGTTTAAAATCATATATTCCTTAGAGAATGGCACTTCTGGGCCCAAACCAAAGGCTTGTGTTCCTTTTTTTAGTATAATAGTTAACTATTCATATATCTCTCTCCACACTTCGTATTATTAATTACCGTACCATTGTGAGTCATTGAAATCTATTCGTCACTAAAAGTAAGTATTTTAAAATAAATAGCTTATTGTGCCTATGCTTCTCATCACTATTAAAATCATATTAATTTTTCAAGTTATTTATTCAATATAAGATAGGTAAATATTCTCTTTGAACAGGTTATGCAGCCAAATACAATATGGGGCCACCATTCACAGCACATAAAATGTTAACATTATGAAATAACGCTTGTGTAAAAGTAACGCCAGGAGACAGGAAAAAAATTATAGAGGGAACCAAAACAATTATCCAGGTAGACTGGGAACGGACAGGTTCGGATCACCGATATATTCGGTTCGACGTCTCCGCCCCTATGAGTGACGCGCCGACCAGACCGGCTCCACCCGAGCCACGTTGGGCGCTCAAGCGCTTAGATTGGGAACTCCTCCTGGAAGCCTCCTACAGGCCTGGGCCCCTGCACCGGATAGGCCTGTAACGTTGGTGCCGAGGCACAGTGGTTCCGGGAGGCTGACGCAGGTGACCATCGGGAAACGTTTTTTTGGAAATCACCTGTGTCTGATTCGCCACCACTGCGATGGCTGGACCGTGGATACGGTCCTCCACATGTTGGCAGAATGCCCAGCATGGGTCGCTCTTTAGTATTGATTGCCACCATGGTACGTAGCGAGAGTGCGTGGAAATCCGCCGTCTCCATCTGCTTACAAGTTATGCTTGCGAAGGACATGACGGAGTGGGATCGCGAGAGGTTTAGAACTCTCCCGGCCCAAAGGGAACATGGGGGTTCCCACACAGGCAGGGGTCATCCAGACACCGTGGATGGCCTGAAGTACGTCGGGGTACCTGGTATTTCCTTTCTAGGGTACACCTGGTTCCAAAGCTACAGGTACCCGAGACGGCGTGTGGTTTTTACTCGGTTCGAGTCCGACATAATCACCCCACCGGTGGGTGATATCCGAGGGGCTTTCCGCACAGAGAAAAAGGTAGACTGGGAATGAGAAGTACAGTACAGTTTATTTTGTGATCAAGAACATATTCTTCAGAATTGTTCCAGCGACGACGACTGAAGAAGATGATTTGGGTTGTATAACTTTAGAATAAATTTAAAATACTTATTTGTTATAGGTACCCATAAATTAAACAAAATACCATCAATCGATTCCATTCCGCACATTGATCGATTAAGCCAGTCATGGATTAGCTCATGGTTTGTCATGTCATGTTTCTAATAGTATTACAGTACCTACTCAGTTTCTCATAGCACAAGTCATTTTTTTGTGACATTTGTCATTGGCTGTCATTTATCATCCATCAGTGTCTGTCATCCGTGTTCCGCATCAATGATCAAGCTAAAGGACAATGGCAGGTCCCCATACATAATTTTATTTGAACTGAAATGTTAGCGTTTAAATATCAAAAAATCCTTAACACTTGAGAATTTATTCGTGACCATTCTCATATCAAAATTACTTGCGAAAGAAGTCTAGGAAAAAAGATATTGGATTTTAAATGTTTCGAGGTTAAGTACTAACATATTGTTAATGTTTTGTTTGAAACTAGATGGCGTTGTGTGTCAGATAGCCGAAAATATTATTTTCATTATTATTACAGTATATGAAATAAAAAAAATAAAAGCATAACATCTATTCGAGTTTAACACTAAATTAAACAAAAATAAAATAACAAACGTGGTGAGTCCGGCACTTGACAGGATCTAAACCACAGATTAAGAGATATGTACTAAACGACGACGTATCGACAATTTGAAAATATCGATGTATGTCTATTTATGTGCCGTTATCAATGACAATGTATTTTTCTCATCACACTGTGTAGTGGAAAATAACGTAACTATATTCTATTTCTTTAGTGTGTTTAAAATCGTTTAAAGAGGGTCAAAAATATTTTAAATCATTTCTAATTATGTTGATTCAGTCACTCTACCGTACGAGTGAAGACGTGGGCAGAAGCAAATTCATAATCATAATAGTGAACCTTCGGTAAATATTTCAGCCAAAGCTATAAGAATCGATTATCGATAAATTGTTCCATAATATAATATTGCCACCACGCATCCCTAGTCAGTTATACGTGATGGCGAATCTGACATTACGTACTTAAGTCAAATAAAATCTTCAAAAATATCTTATCTTTTATAAGACTTATACAACATATGGTGGTGTAATGATAAATCATAGAAAATTTTTTGATTAAGTATACTGTGACTCGATTTTTTAAACGCTTAAGTTTTAGGTAAATATGTTTCTGCCATTGTTCTTTAACAAAGTTGGTAAAGGTGTCCTTTGTACGTACTTTAAAAAAAATAAGAAGAATAAAAGTGCTATCAAATCGGTTAGCTGGCCTCCCAGAAGCGGGTCTCCCCAGTTTAACTGCATAAGAAATACCAATATAGCTAAAAGACTACATAACCTTTATTATGGAACAAGTTAGTGTCAACGATGATTTAAGTCATTGAGTTATTTAAGTCAACAAATTTCGGCTCTGAATTTGAACGAAAAAACGTAAAACTACTGACTACGTCACCAAAGTGGCTAACCAACTGTATCATTATTGAAAACAAGTAAGCCGACTTAAGCCGTCATGGCCTTTGTTGAATGAAAAATATGAAGCTAAAATCGCTTCCAAAAATGAAGAGTTTGTATTCTACAAATCTACCAAATGTTATGTCATACCATATATGGGTGAATATACGGTATTTGATATTTTTTGTGTCCCTGAAGGAAATGTAATCTGTTCCATTCAATATTGATAATTTCTCTACTTGACACTATTTTTAAATTTGTAATGATGAGGGCCAGAAGATTTTTCCATTTCTTTGATTTTTAAAAAGACCAGAGGAAAATGTGTTACCAGACAGTACAGACAGTAGTGACAAATTATACCAGGGAAGTGACAGGCCATTGGTTATTAGCTAAGAAAGGGTATTAATATTAAATATAACATGTAAATTATAGTATTTGGATATCAATATTTCAGTTTCTAAATGCAACCTTATTACCATTTAGGCTGTGGCGGTCACTTTTGGGCGACAACAATCATTTCTGTTCGAGCCGCATCGACCAATGGTGACCGCGCATCAGAAGTGGCGCATCAGGCTCTGCATTTTGTCTTCTTTGGCTTGGTTTTTGCAAACAAGACAAGTCTAAAATTAAATTTCGTTTTATACTTCAGAGCTCTAATTTTCACTGTAATGGACTTATATCGAATACCAAAGACCAATCTTTCCTCTTTATAATATAGGTATAGACTGCAAATAAAACAATTTTGATGCGCATAGAAAGTTTATTGAAAAAATAGGATACAGAAAAAAAAATTGACATAAAATTTAATGAATTTTAATAAAACATTCGGGACATAAAAAAGGTTGTTAGGACAGGTTTTGCAAAAAGTAGTGACTCTCTTTGGTTTATTCCTAGCTACTAAGCGTCCCAGAGTAGCCACGTTCTGCTTATAACATTGTTGGCATTCCTCGAACGACTTTAGATGATCCTTTTTTTTTCGCCAGTTCATGTTTAGCTCTCTTAGGTCTCGATGAAAGAGGTTCGGACGTTATGCCTTTTGTTAGGAAATCTGTCATAATTTCTTTTCTAAAATCTACAATAGGAATGTTCTTCTTTGTTACACTTTTGTAGAGAGTGAGTGCATTTACAACAGCTACATTCAAAATTAAGTCTTTGGCCACTTTTTTGTACCACTTCACAGTTTTCCTAAGTGGTGTTTGGTACGCTGACATTTGATCTGACAAATCAACAGCACCTTTGGCTTTATTATAGTCGACAATAATTGCAGGTTTTGAGATAACTTTGTTACGCTTTACTGCTCTCACAAAACGCGTAGAGTGTTTTGTGGACAAAACCAAGACATCTTGTTTATCCTTCCATCGCATCACTGTTATTCCATCAGCACTTTCTTTAGCAATAAATTGCCCTCTTTTTAACTTCGTAGAAACTATTGTTTTAGGAAAATGTCTCCTGTTTTTTCGTAACGTTCCGACAAGATGTGTCTCTCTATCTAACAACTTTCTTGCCAATTCAATATTTGTGTACCAATTGTCTGTGAAAAGAGTGTGCCCTTTGTCGAGCAAGTCATTACATCTATACTAATATTATAAAGCTGAAGAGTTTGTTTGTTTGTTTGTTTCTTTGAACGCGCTAATCTCAGGAACTACTGGTCCGATTTGAAAAATTCTTTCATTGTTAGATAGCCCATTTATCGAGGAAGGCTATAGGCTATATATCATCACGCTAAGACCAATAGGAGCGGAGCACCAATGAAGAATGTTTCCAAAACGGAGAAAATTTACTACTATTGAGAGACGCAGACGAAGTTGCGCGGTTCAGCTAGTAGTTCCATAACTACATTTGTAGGTGTAGTGTTAATTTCGTCATTTTGTTTGCCAGCATAAACGTTAATTTTATAGGTAAAACCTGGCAATATACATAATTTAAATAGTTTTACTCCATATTTATGACGCTTTTGTTTATTATACTGACGAAAGATTATGCGTCCTCGAAAAGGCACAACACTCTTGTCGATGCATAAATCCTCACCAGGGATGTAGTTTTCCTTAAAATTGTGATTCATTACATTCAATAAATTTCTTACCCGGTGTAATCGATCAGCTTTGTTCTCCTCATCTTGTTCTGAAAAATGTAGCATTTGAAGCAATATCTCAAACCGATTACGGGACATAACGGTTCTTGGGAAATTTAGTCCCATAATTTCATCTTTGGACCAGTAGTCTGATATTTTGGGTAACTTCACCAAGCCAAATAAACATAAAGCATAAACAAAACCAAACCAAAGAATTTTTTTATCTCGACAAGGTTAGTAGGCACCCAGTTCCGAATGCGTGCACATTTTGTAGCTTCTCGTGATTTAACTATTTGAGCAATTGCAAAGTTATTAGTGTTTTTCACTATTTCGTTAAAATCATCATCCGTCACCAAAAGCGCATAAAATTCTGCTGGAGATTTGTTAGTCATAAGCCTGCGTATGTGCAATGGCGCGCCAGAAATTTCAGTAAAAGCTATCAATTGGCGTTGATTACCTTTGGGATCGGTCCATGTCGAGGGTAGTGAACTCTCCGCTAAAACTTGAATGGCACGATTAATTTCAGTTTCACTTGACTCACTATCTGATGAGATGATTCGACGCCGTTTTGGTCGCGAAAGTTGAATGTTATGGTCTTCATCAGTGCTTATTTGAAAGCTTTGGTTAAGTAGAGTAATTTCTATATTTTCTATTCGAGACAGGTCTTCTTGGCTAATCTCAAAGTCATCGAAATCCATCGTTATGACGTAAAGTTACAAACACGATCTATGTTATAATATAACTGTAAACACGTGATGACAACACTACGAAGTAACAGTGACTAGCCGAGGGGCAAGTAAGTGCGAGGTGCGTAAGCGGCGCGGGTGCGGGCGGGTGGGCGTCATCGTGCCCGCGCGGCCCTCTGTAACAGATTCCCGGTATTCCTTTTTTTTTCAATTCAATTCAATTCTTTATTAATAAAATATAAGCATCACAGTGTACACCAAATCGCTTATATCTATGCTAATTTTAACAAAAATAAACTACATACTCTTACAATTGTAAAACTCAGACAATCAAAAAGAAACAACATAAAATTTGTAAACAAAAACAACCTTACATCAACTTAGGAACTATAAAATTACTCTCCTTGCGCAGAGGCCACGTCGGTCAATGGTGGGTGACGCTTATTAACACTTAAAATAGGTATAAAATGTTGCTTCTGAGAATTAAAACATGTTTTATGGCGTCAAATATATCCCTTTAACTAATAAAAAACACTGATGAAATATGATTTGAAAAATTCTTTCATTGTTAGATAGCCCATTTATCGAGGAAGGCTATAGGCTATATATCATCACGCTAAGACCAATAGGAGCGGAGCACCAATGAAGAATGTTTCCAAAACGGAGAAAATTTACTACTATTGAGAGACGCAGACGAAGTTGCGCGGTTCAGCTAGTAGTTCCATAACTACATTTGTAGGTGTAGTGTTAATTTCGTCATTTTGTTTGCCAGCATAAACGTTAATTTTATAGGTAAAACCTGGCAATATACATAATTTAAATAGTTTTACTCCATATTTATGACGCTTTTGTTTATTATACTGACGAAAGATTATGCGTCCTCGAAAAGGCACAACACTCTTGTCGATGCATAAATCCTCACCAGGGATGTAGTTTTCCTTAAAATTGTGATTCATTACATTCAATAAATTTCTTACCCGGTGTAATCGATCAGCTTTGTTCTCCTCATCTTGTTCTGAAAAATGTAGCATTTGAAGCAATATCTCAAACCGATTACGGGACATAACGGTTCTTGGGAAATTTAGTCCCATAATTTCATCTTTGGACCAGTAGTCTGATATTTTGGGTAACTTCACCAAGCCAAATAAACATAAAGCATAAACAAAACCAAACCAAAGAATTTTTTTATCTCGACAAGGTTAGTAGGCACCCAGTTCCGAATGCGTGCACATTTTGTAGCTTCTCGTGATTTAACTATTTGAGCAATTGCAAAGTTATTAGTGTTTTTCACTATTTCGTTAAAATCATCATCCGTCACCAAAAGCGCATAAAATTCTGCTGGAGATTTGTTAGTCATAAGCCTGCGTATGTGCAATGGCGCGCCAGAAATTTCAGTAAAAGCTATCAATTGGCGTTGATTACCTTTGGGATCGGTCCATGTCGAGGGTAGTGAACTCTCCGCTAAAACTTGAATGGCACGATTAATTTCAGTTTCACTTGACTCACTATCTGATGAGATGATTCGACGCCGTTTTGGTCGCGAAAGTTGAATGTTATGGTCTTCATCAGTGCTTATTTGAAAGCTTTGGTTAAGTAGAGTAATTTCTATATTTTCTATTCGAGACAGGTCTTCTTGGCTAATCTCAAAGTCATCGAAATCCATCGTTATGACGTAAAGTTACAAACACGATCTATGTTATAATATAACTGTAAACACGTGATGACAACACTACGAAGTAACAGTGACTAGCCGAGGGGCAAGTAAGTGCGAGGTGCGTAAGCGGCGCGGGTGCGGGCGGGTGGGCGTCATCGTGCCCGCGCGGCCCTCTGTAACAGATTCCCGGTATTCCTTTTTTTTTTCAATTCAATTCAATTCTTTATTAATAAAATATAAGCATCACAGTGTACACCAAATCGCTTATATCTATGCTAATTTTAACAAAAATAAACTACATACTCTTACAATTGTAAAACTCAGACAATCAAAAAGAAACAACATAAAATTTGTAAACAAAAACAACCTTACATCAACTTAGGAACTATAAAATTACTCTCCTTGCGCAGAGGCCACGTCGGTCAATGGTGGGTGACGCTTATTAACACTTAAAATAGGTATAAAATGTTGCTTCTGAGAATTAAAACATGTTTTATGGCGTCAAATATATCCCTTTAACTAATAAAAAACACTGATGAAATATGACAAAAACATTAATTTTTGTCTGGCTCCAGATGAAAACGGGGTGTCAACCACCATTGTCCGACGCGGCATAGAACGTGTTAATGCTGAAGTTTCAATTACTAGTATTAAAAAACAGAATTAATATTTTCTGCTTATCAGTCTCATCTGATAAGCAGAAAATATTAACATACATACTGTACATACGTACATACTGTTTGATAGTTTTTAATCATAAAATGTTCAAAAACTTAAAATACATGTTTGAGGCACTTTAATCTGAATAAAATTTCTAAATGAAACAAAAATATAAACTGTTTACAAAACAAAACAATAATACTATCGAATGATACAGCACTCTTGAGGCTATCTAAATAAATAAACTTAAAAATTATCGGTGCACAGTACAAATGAAAACTTTGATGTTTTGCAAAGAATAGAATCAATAATTTCCACTAAACTAAATATTTTTTATTTAAATACTAAACAATCAACAATTTACTTTTAAAATACATCAACTGGCTTTGGACACTTGTAGAATACTCTTTACCCTTCATACGTATATTTGGCACTGGTAATATGGCAAGATCTGTTCCAGTGGCGCAGAGTGAGTCACTGTCGTCTGGGGCGGAGTCATAATTTGTGTTGGTGGAAAAAACGTAACGAAATGAAAGATAATATATATAAATATTTAATTTAAAACCATTTAATTTAAAACCGTTTTGTAAGTAACATGACTGGGTTAAAAACGTTAACAATTTACACTATAAAAATAAAGTTTAATAAAGTCTTTTTGGGACTTATGCGCAGCGAAATCATTTATAACTTCGTCAAAGTTAATATCGTTTGTCACACTATGTTCTATCGACAAAATGGCCAACTTACTCAATCTTATGGAGCCCATGGTAGACCTCAAGTAATTTTTTATTAATTTGAGCTTTGAGAAGATACGTTCACATTAAGCAACACTGATAGCTAAAGTTATAAAAATTCGAAGCATTATTACGATATTAGGTACGCAGATACCATAGTTGCATTGCTGAATAAATTTGAAAAGCTCGAGCGATCCTTTCTTAGCGTTGTCCTGAGCCTTAGCATCAGCCAAAACAATGAAATTGCGTAACCTCTCCCTCTCAATTTCGATGTCATCCGCATCGATATAATTGTGCTCTTCTCCGAAATTACACTTGTATTCTGGGTTCAGTAAGTTAGTTGGCGTGAGAAAAGACACTTGACATCCAGTTCGTGCAGTTGCTGAAATCTGGTCGTGATTTCTTTTATAATTCTATCTACCCATTCGAACATTTCTTGGCTTAACCGATTTTCATAAGTCAAACCAGGATTAGAAGCATTTTCAACAGCCATGTTTTTTTATCTTTCTTGTTCGTCGAGGAATTATTTCAATGCCAAGATCTTCACATATATTTTTAGCATAATCAAGTCCATCATTGACTAGTACATCTAGATTGTCGACTAGAATCGATTCTAAAGCATGAATTTTCATAGCACATTGGTCCACATTCAGTCCTTTTGCCTGAAGATATAATTGTGCATCATTTACTTCGCGGAGAACTGGACTCCATAGTCCAAGTAAGGCTAAAAATGATAACGACTGGAGAGCAGTAAGCAATAAACCAGCGTCTGATCTTGTCGCTACATTTTTCCGCTGTGTTTCCTAAAAATGATTCCAACACTTCAAGGATCTCATTGTAGTGGGTCTTCATGACAGCTACGGCTTCATATCTAGAACTCCATCGTGTTTCAATTAGGCCCTTGACTCCTTGACCTGTAACGTCGGTAAGAGGTTTCTAGCAATGAGTAGAAGATGAAAAGATAATGAAAACCTTCTCGTGATTGATGCTGCCTGTACACCCACCAGGTTTAATGAATGATTAGTGCATGCAACAAACTGGTCATTTTGATTAACTGCCTTGATACGCATTTGTACACCAGAATGTTCTTTGTTAAAGTTGTTGTTAAAGCTGCATTATCATATGCCTGTCCACGGCAATTTTGGATATCCAGTCCATCGTTTTCAATTTTGTCCAGAATCATTTTTCTGCAGCTTCAGTTTTGTAAGGTGTTCACAAAGAACCGGGAACTTGCCAAGAAGTTGTACGAGTCCTAGAAAGTTGCCTATTTTTTCAGTGTCATTTACTTTCACGATTTCTCTATAATCTCTAAAAGCCAGATTTTGTTCAGCAACAAATCTGATAATGTCTCGTATCCTGACCACATTTTGTGCTTCCTTGTCGATCGTTGCACCCACTTGATGTCTTATCTCAAAAGATTTCCATTTATTAAAGTTATCATTATGAACTGGGGTTCATGTACTTTGGGATTTAGTTTACGCCACTTTTTGAAACTATTAATACTGTTGAATCCAGGTTTATCGCTGGCGTCCCCAAACAAATTATTCCTTATTCCTCTTATTTTCTTCCTCTCGGGTTTTTTTTGCTTCCTGGAAAAATTACTGTTTTGCTTATGCCTCTTCATGATCTAAAAGTATTTATTCATGTAGGCGCGACGGCAGCGTGGCGCGTGCTTGGCGTGCTTTCTTACTATGATAAAAAACGTTTTTTTAAAACAACACAGTGTAAAATAATTTTCTCGCGGCGCTTGCGCGATGCGAGTCTGGCGTTGTTAAGTATTCTGATCATATCTTAACACGTTCACGGTCACAAAAACGTTCTCAATAATTTGTCATATAACACACAAACTTTCCATATAACGTGGCATCACGTCTGGGGGCGGATTGATACATTACTCGGTTTTAAAAGTACCCGTTGCGGCAGTAACGGCCAGAGACGAAATCGCAACCAGCCGCTCTATATATTGAGTGTAAGTGTTACCTTCAGATCGGTTACTGTTCTCCTCGTATGGTTTCTTATCATTGTTAGCGTTCAAACTTTCAGATTCCGAAACGGTCACCTGCCTTAATAACTGTAAATATTTCGTAATCCTAATATTCCTTAATAATTGTAAATATTTCGTAATCCTCCAAATCAGTACTCAAAATCCCATCATTTCCAGGTTCATTATTTCCATCAGAACCATATTAACCATCTGCGTCGCTATACGGACTCTTATTTTTATTGTTCGAGTCAGAGTCGTCGTCAAGGAGACCAAGCCAGTTGTTGAAAGTAGATGTTATTCTCTTACCCGATGCCATCTGTTAGACAGCAAATACAACTACAACCGTTGTAACCATTCGACAAAGAGGCTTGTGTTTACATAACCGCTATCTGACACCATACATATACTCTGTGTTGGACCACATAGAATAGAATAGAATATTTTATTTTGCAAATATGGGTAATATGTACATAATAGGTGTTACAGTACATTGAAGCTCAACCATATTTTACCAGTGGCGTGCAAAATCATTTTTTGTATTAGGCTAAGAAACATGCTTTTAGACTCAATCCGCAATAATATTAATTTTAAGTCTTAACATTAGGTAATAAAAAATCAGTAATGACACAATAGTAAACATACAATTCAAACTCCACAATTTAGACATTAAGATAATATATCCATAAAGGGCGCTACACACGGCTAAGATGCTATAATATTTATCTTAAGATTTTAAATTAATATATATTAGGCCATCACAGACGACGAAGATACGATAATATATTGTAAGCTTTCGTCGCGACTGCACTTGTCCTGTGTTGAACCAATATACAGAGTGATTTAACTATGGCTTATGCTTGCCTGCAAGATTAATAAATCGTCATCAGATGAGCTATCCAATAGGATAGCTCATCTGATGACGATTCCGATTTTGAATTTGATGTGCATATGATTCTTGCACGCTCTAAAAGAAGATCCATTTGGGTAGAAAATCATATTAAAAATAGGAAAGACCGTGCAGAATATAATATTTTGGAAGATCTCTCAGAAAAGAAGTTTAATGAGTATTTTAAAATCTCAAGAGAAGTTTTCGACGCACTTCACAGGTTAGTTCAAAGAGATATTGAGAAACAAAATACAAACATGCGTCAATGTATATCTTCAAAAGAGACTTAAGAGAAGACTTGCAGTATGCTTAAGGTAAGAACATTGCACTTCTGTCTAAAAACTCAAACTTTGCTGTGGGAATACAGTCCGCCTGTCTTTACAAGTTACAATTTACAAGTAAAAAGCTAGTTACAGCATTTTTTAACCATGAAGTTTATGTTTTTGTGAGTATCTTTATATTTGTAAATTGTAACGTGTACCTCCGTAAGACGAGGCACAGTTTAGCTTAACCAATATAAATAAAACATTACAGACCGATATTATTACAACCGATTCATTGTTGAAACATAGTAGGTTAGTAGGTATTTACTCAAAATTTGATTGTTGTAAATAGTTGCGAATGTTACACATTGAGGATGCATCTACCGAAATATTCTGCTGGTGACTTTCTGGAATAGTTTCTGTAATGATGTACGATTGTGATGTATTATGCAGGGGATCCGTCGCTGAATAGTTAGACATCGCTGAATGAGAATGGGATGTATTGTCTATAGGTACATGAAATGGTGAATTGCCTCTAAAGCGATGTACATCTGTAGATGATCTCTCAGAAGAATTCCTCGATTGATTCATATGTTTTTCTTTAGCTTCCATAACTATATTGAATAATTGACGCTGCACCTTGAGTTGGAGTGCTTCTGGAAGTGTTTGAGTGGTCATACACATACTTTAAAAAAATATTTCCAATGCTGTGGTCTGTTTAGGCACAGTAGTATCTTTGCACAAAAGTAGTATTTCTTTTCTTAAATCAATTCGTTGAGCAGATCGCTCTGCCCTCATTCTCTGCTCCTTTTCCATAACCGATATTAGTGTGGGTTTATTCTTAGGTCGAGATGTATCCCCATACGAGTGGTCTAGTTCACTATCATACGAGTCTTCAGTATAGTGCGGTTCTCCTTGACCGCTATTTTGATTGGATGAAGATGAAATGTTTGTAAATCTTTAACGATTTTGCATACAAGGTAAAAGGAATTCCATCTGTTTTTCATATTTCCATTGATGCTTTGAAGTAGCCGCTTGGCCAGATACAGTTTTCTTTTTGGAGATAGCTTGGTGATGACCGTCTCTTAGTTTCTTCAACAAAGCTCGAGCCTCTGTAACTGAAAAGCAAAGCATAATTTGTTACAGGTATTTGGCGACTGGTGTATCTTTTCGAAGTATTGGTTACAGTTATAGAATTGGCGAGTCAACAATCTCGAAAATTGTAGTAAAAGTGTGTGACGCATTATGGATAAGACTACAACCAATAGTATTGAAAGAACCGACTCAAGCCGAATGGAAACAGATTGCCATAGATTTTAAAAGAGTGTGCCAGTTTGACCATTGCTGTGGGGCAATAGATGGCAAACATGTGGTAATTCAATGCCCACCGAACTTAGGATCAACATATTTTAACTATAAAAAAACATTCTCTATTGTTTTATTGGCTGTATGTGACTCACAACGCAAGTTTATTGTAGTAGATATTGAATCTATGGGCCGATTCAGTGACATTGGTATATTAAGCGAAAGCGAATTTGGTGAGAAGCTAATAAGTGGTAATATACGATTTCCTGAAGAACCTTTAACTGAGGGTGGTATTAACATGCCTTACGTCTTAGTTGAAGATGAAGCCTTTCCATTACTAAAAAATCTAATGCGGCCATATCCAAAAGAACGTCTGACTGCAAGTCGAAGAATATTTAATTATAGACACGCCATCTAATGAAGACACACCGAACTACGGAGTAACTACTAAAATAAGAATTGCTAATCCTGTATCGCGATTAGAGATGTGCCGGATATCCGTATCCGTATCCGCGGATATCCAAGGGAGAAGAGAGATCCGTAACCGTATCCGTATCCGTGACTTTTTTGGCGGATCTTTCACGGATCTTTCAATACATAGATGAAATTCTATATAGGTGATTTTGTATTCACTGTAAAACTATTAGGTATGTGTTTGTATTACAAACACATACCTAATAGTTTTACAGTGAAAACACAAACTTTGTAACACTATAAACAGCAACTTTTTTTCTGGCCAACGTTAAAATGAAAAAAAATTGGTCCTCCATTCAAATTACCAATCAAATGTTGTTAGTTTGTATGAAACAATTTTTTTTCTTTCGTTTTCGTTGTTAGTCCAGAAGAAAAGTTGTTGTTTATAATGTTACTAATATGCACTTCAGAGGTTTTCAGTAAATTTAAAATAACCCTGAATAATGTTATTAGGTAGCTATGAAACACTATTGAATTCTGTTCAGATTACTTTTTATTTCTTAAAACAAATATTTGGCACAAAGGTATTGCAATCATTTATCGTACTACACTAAATCAACTAGGCAGGTCGTAGGTACGGAAAGAGCTATCTTTATAATGAGATCAATCAAACATCTTTGTATTAGCTTATTAAAATAATGAAATATTTAAATATTATAGAAACTTTTAACATCACTTCTATAATGGGACAACCACAAGTTGAATCTTTATAACATTTTAAATTCTAATTAAATTAATGAATACTGCACGACACATAAAGTGTTAACATTAGCTTAAAATAAAAACAGTAACAATTATAGTAACTGAAAAAAAATAATAGTCATAATTAAAGTTGAGTATCGGTAAGTTGTACTTCAGAAAGAGTAACTTGGCAGCTTTGTCCCCCGAAAGTCTGTTACGAAGAGGATCGTAAACAATTCCTGCTGCACTGAAAAATTGTTCACTTGGAACGCTTGTGGCAGGTGATGATAAGTATGTGCGAGCAATGTGACTGAGACCTCTGAACTTTTTACTGTTTGTCTGCCAATACTTCAGCTGGTCTTGATCTCTTGGTAATCTTTTTTCTGACATATATTCTATTAGCAAATTAGCTTGCGTAATTGATATTTGATTTTCAGATTGCTCATCCTCATCATCGCTGTCTAACATTTTAGCAATAGATTCTTCTAGATTCTGGCAGTGTTCTTTTCTAATAGTAATGGGTTTATCTTCAGTACTTCTTGTAGTTACTGTTTGATTTACTTCAATTTCTAAATCTGTTAGCAATTTCGCCTTTATTTCTTTTATGAGAATATCACTGAAGAATTTACCTTTGTACCGTGGGTCTAAAAATGTGGCGACTTGAAACAATGATTTTTTATCAATTTCAGAAAAACGATTACCTAATCCGTTCTTCAAAGCAGACACAAAATCAAGAACGGTGGATGCACTGACATTGAGACTTATCTGGATCTCGTCGTAGATTTTATTTAATGCTCGTACTAGAGGAATAACGTCAGATATACATGTGTTTTGTGGGCTTAATTTTTTTGTAGTGTCTTCCAGAGGTTTCAGAACTTTTACTAATTCTTGAATTAAAATCCAGTCCTCAGCATCGAATTGTTCCATTTTATTATTAGAAGCATAAAGTGACAACGAATCCTTGATGCAATCAAATCTTTCTAACATGTAATAGCTGGAATTCCAGCGTGTTGGTGAGTCCTGCAAAACTTTTAATTTTTTTTCATTGAGTCGAACTTGTATTTTTTGTAATTCTTGCTTTGCCATAGTAGAATGGTTGAAATGTCCTGCAATTTTTCTACATTTTGCAAGTAACATGAAAATTCTATCAACTTTATTAATAGCTTCTTTAACCACCAAATGTAACTGATGTGCTGTACAGTCGATATTATTTATTTCAGATAAAAAACAGGCACGCTTCATATTCGATCCCCCATCTCTTACCATACAGTGCACATTTTGTTTCAGAATTCCCCATTCTTCCAACATAGTTTTAAATGTTTCCGAAATATAAGCTCCCGTGTGTCGTTCTTCAAGAACTTGCGCTTTCAAAACGATATTTTTTCGTTGAAAATCTTTGGTAATGCCATGACACGTTAAAGATAGCAACGAAACTCCTGATGAAGAGTCTGACCAGATATCTGATGTGAAGGAAACTTTCTCAAAATCTTGTAACATGTTTTTTATTTTTGATGATACTTTGTCGTAAAGTTCGCTGCAAACAAGGTCTGTAAAATATTTTCTGCCTTTAAGAACGTAATTTGGAACAATATGGTCAATTAATCGTCGGAACCCTAATTCTTCAACGTGTTGAAAAGGTAAATCTGATAAAGCTAACATTTCAGCAACCAAATAATCAATTTTCATTGATTTGGGGTTTGTATTATCCCACATTTTAGCTTTTTCCATGTATTCTTTAAAAAAAGTTTGTTTGAATTCTCTTTTTACCATTTGTAAAGATGTTCCCGGCTGTGATATTTCGCCGGTACTCTTCTTCGCGGAGTCTTCTTTCGAGAATAAATTATATTCTTGAGGATGTTTTCTCTGTAAATGATTTTTTAAAGAAGTCGTACCTTTACCCTTACGGGAATACATTTCGTTACAAATTTTACACTTTGCACATTCATCATTTATTATTACAAAATAATTCCAAATTACACTACTAAACTTCTTTGTTGTCATTTTTGTAACTCACTAGTCTCACTACCAAACACAAACTGTATCTATGCCGCGCAGTGTCACACTAAACTATAAACAAAATAAAAAAATCGCGCAGTGCAAGTCGAAAACTCGAAACACGTACTGACCTGTCTGGCACGCGTCAACGGCAAAGCGTCAAGTGGCGACAACTATCAAGGTCACGGGCTCCGATTGAGTAAGAAACTTAAGATCCGTATCCGTATCCGCGGATATACTTTGTTAACGATCCGGCACATCCCTGATCGCGATATAAAGAATTCCCGCGCCGGTTAGCATATCAACTCCTGCAACCGCCCCGACTCACTGAGGACTTCACCGCAGCACCGCGCACCGCGCACCGCACGCCATGCCGACTCACTGGGATCAACGGACTTTAGCCCCGACTCACTGGGGCTAGCGGCACTCAGTTCCGACCCACTGGAACTAGCGGCACTCAGTTCCGACTCACTGGAACTACTCACTACTGGCACTGGCACGCTCCACAACAGGGCATAGACAGCTGACTCATCATATATCGACCTCCGGTCTTGGAGGGGAGTAATGTGGCGACTCCCACATAAACATACTACAGCGCCATCTAATGAAGACACTACGAACTACTAAAATAAGAATTGCTAATCCTGTATCGCGATATAAAGAATTCCTGCGCCGGTTAGCATATATACAACTTCCCAACATCAATCGTTAGGCCGCGGCCCGCCAGGCATGATCACCTCGCCTGGTCGGAGGATCCTCCCTTTGTGTTGGAGGGACATGACACCCGTTCCTCCACAATAGCTTTAGGATACGAGAAGATTCCATTCTTTTGCCACCTCTATCCACGCTGCTTCCTTAAAATCATTCAGTTTATATTCTTCAGAGTCCAATTTCCATAGACAAGGATATTTGCGTACGGTTTCAATAAGTCGTTCCATTTCGATTAGGTATATTAAATCTTGAAATAATAGTTGTGGCTTTAAAACCATAGAAACATTTAATAACTGAATAGAAGAGTATTTTTATTTTATATCTTTACACCATTTTGAATTTATACAAAACACACAAATAATTTGAGAGAACTAGTCATGTTTCTACTTTCAGTGATTTAAACGGAATAATAAATATTTGCACAATTCATACAATAATTAAAAATAAAACATTTACATAAACCAAACAGGATTAAGAGTTGATATCAAAAGAGTATCTATGTCTGAGATTACCAATCAACATGAAAACTGGTAAATTATAAAAACAACAACGAATAGATCTAAAACCATAGTAAGAAGGTACGAGAAACACGTGCAACACGGCAACACCTCTTCTCCTCTCTGCTCGCTCCACTGAACTGAGTAAGAAAGAAGATTCCAGATGCGCGTGAGCCTGTCCTACGCTATGTGTGTGAAAGAGATAGAATTTGCCGCACAATTTCGTAGAAATGAAATTGAACACAAACCTAAGTACAAATCTCAACAACCTGTATCCGCATTTTATATCTTAACATATTAAGTAACTTATATACTTACTTAAGTATATATTCAATAACTTAAGATGTTATGTTACGATAAATTCTCATATCGCTCTCAATCTTACGATACGAAAATATGAAATAAATATTAACTTCGTCGTGTGTAATGGTCCATTGAATAGTAGGGCGAGCGATATTGTATCTTAAGATAAAGTATTATAGTATCTTAGCCGTGTGTAGCGCCCTTAGGCTACGTTCACACGGCGACGATTCGATTCGATTTTTCACGTATACGGTTTTACCGTATACGGTTTTACCGTATACGATGCAATCGTTCACACGGCAACCATTCGATTCGATTTTTTCATGTATACGGTAAAAACGTTCGCAAGAGACAACTCAGCAGCCAGTTGTATAGTGCACGCCATCATGGATCCACGTGTTCCACTACTTTTATATTGGTTTCATAGACGGAGATGCAAGCAGCGTCCTAGGAGGTATTGGGTTCATCCTTTTCTAAAGACTGGTCCTCATCGAGAAAGTAGATTCGTTTTTTTTTTCCTAAGCCTGAGAAATGACGAACGTCTGTTTTTTAATTATTTCCGCATGTCAATAACTACCCTTGATGATTTACTATCAAGGCTAGTGAATTCTGTTAAATATTAAGCTTTAAATACTGAGTGGAGTGTGATTTTACTTAATGAAATACTCGAGCACTGTTGAACATTATTACTTTTTATTAACACACGAAATACAGGCTTACAAGCGACATCTTTTTTATTTTTCCTATCTTACATTAGTATTGCCAGTACACACACACACTAGCAGTGTTACCATAATAACAGAGTGAAAATTACTTCTCAACACCCACCCTTAATTTTCAATTTGCCATAATCAAATTCAGATTTTAAAAAAATGTTACATGTTACACATTACAAATATACCAAAATACCCTTCACTCTAGTGAATAGCATAATTCCAATTAAAGAAGAACACATATTAAGCAAATTAACCAACTGCAAAAACAAAAAACTACATAATAACAGCAGAGCTGAACTTTTCAAATTTTATTTTATCAAGTGGTTTTGTTAACCCATCAGCAATATTTTTAGAACTTTCAATATATTTTATTTCAATTTTATTGTCTCTCAATTTCTCCATGAGAAAATGATACCGTACATCAATATGTTTACTCCTTCTGTTAACTCCCACTCCATTGTTTATTAATTTTATGGCACTTTGATTGTCCATGTTAAGAACTACCTTTACTTCTCTGTTGAGTATGTCTTCAAGTAAGCATTTAAGATACAACAGTTCTTTTACACAATCAGCGGCTGCTATATATACAGCCTCAATGCTAGACATAGCAACAATCGGTTGCTTCCTTGAGCACCAACCAATTGGCCCCCCAGAATAGAAAATGACATATCCAGTAATGCTTTTACGAGTTTCAGTGTCATTAGCATAATCAGAGTCACAAAATGCTTCAATAAGATTACTATCATTATCCTCCTTTACATAAGCTATACCTTTATCAATAGAGCCATTGATATATCTCAAAGTTTGTTTCCCATTCGCAACATCACTACTAGTAAAATTTTCCAAGTGTTTACTTTCTAAGTTTATAGCCAATGCAATATCTGGTCTAGTTTTACTTGATAGATACAGTAAACTGCCTACAGCTTCCCTCATCAGAAAATTACTGACTTTACTATTATTAGTAGTGTTTTGATTAGACTGACAAATAGGAATATTGGAAACTTTGGCTTCAGTCATATTGTATCTGTCAACAACTTGAATTGCATACTTTGATTGCTTCAATACAATTTTATCAGACTTTTCATTTATTGTCATCCCTAAAAAATATTTAGGATCATAATCAATTTTTATTTCAAATTGTTCACTCAATTTTCAAATCAATTTCAAATTCAATTTCAAATCTTTTCATGTCTGCTTGATTTTCTCCTATCACATCTACCATACCATCATCTACAAAAAGTGCTAAAATTATTTTAGAGTCTACAGTCTTAACCCTTAGTACCCTGATTTACGAAAGTGATTTATTTTTAATATAAAAATAGCTAAAAAAATCACAATATTTATTTTACATAAAAAAAACAGGTATCAATTTTGATACTTCAGGCATTAACGCCATAAAGAAATCAGATATACCTATGCATGAAATAATGCGAAACATTGATTGTTTTTATTATCGCATAACGACACTTTACACTTTTTACAGAACCAGGAGGTAAGTTTCCTACAATTATTAAATTTACACATTTCTAGAATTCATAAATATTTTTTCATGACTAATACAATCGCAACGCACGTCAGTAGAGGGTAGTACTTGTACACCTGTCCGGGGTCTTTTAGAAGGTACTGTAGTGTCGACTGTTGGTACTGGGTCTTCCCCTTTTATTTTTGAGTGACTTTGATATCTACATAAAGTATCGGCAAGCTCAGTTCTAAAATCTGCTAACTTCATAATATTCTTCTGAAGTTTTCCTTTCATTGTGTTTATCTTTTTGTATAGTACCCAAGCATTGATGACAGTCATGTCTAACAATTGGTAGAAGAGCCTCGTTGTCCACTTTCTCGACTTTATGCGGATGCGATATCGACCAATGAAGCTATCCATCAAATCAACGCCGCCCATGTGTGCATTACATTATTTTATGACCCCCGAGGACATGATACTTGAACATTGGCCTTAAGTTTTTTTTTCGTAGCGGGTTATAGTATCCGCTGGTTCAGCGCCAACATACGTGGAAAGTAATAGTACTTGGTTGTTGTCTTTCCAACTTGTGGCCGAAAATTCGTGGCCTTCGTGAGAGGCCACATTTTCGTGATATGTTCCTCTGGTTACGTTAGACTTCATAATTTCCCGTTTCTCCGGCAACTTGCACGACTTTCCAAGCCTGTTTCTCTGTACTGTTCCAAGACAATAAATACCTTCGTTGGTCAAGTAATGTAGCAGAGGAATATTCGTATAAAAATTGTCAAAATAAGTTATATGATTGACGTGCCTTGGTACCGGTCGTAACAATCGAATAACTGTATTCGATACAGCTCCGAGGTCTGGTTCGCCAGGTAAACGGTCTATGTCCTTAGCTCCTGAGTAAATCTCAAAACTGTAGGCATACCCAGACAGAGAGCATAAAACGTATAATTTGAATCCCCACTTATGGGGCTTGTTGGGTAAGTATTGTTTCATAAAATGTTTAATTTTAGTTGAACACATTTGCTCGTCTAGTGATAGACGATGCTCAAATGGTACAGTAATAAATTTCTTGTTCAAATAGTCTATCACTGGTCTTACTTTATGCAGTCGGTCGTGCTGGGGATGATCAATGGGCAAATGTTTAGAGTCGTCATTCATGTGAAAAATTTGTCGAATTTTATCAAATCTGTTGCGATTCATTGTTTGTGCTATGGGTTCAAACTTTGTAATGTTTGACCAGTGTGACCTGACACTAGGATAATGATATACACTAGTAAAAGTAAGAATTCCAATAAATTTACGTAATTCTAAGACAGTTACAGGTTCTGTAAAGTTGGGATTCTTTTGGAAGGCATATTTATTTGACTCGTCCACTAGAAATCTCAAAATTTCTTCACCGAAAAAATAAGAAAAAGACTGAAAAGGAGTGCCTCAGTTCATAATTTCTTGTGAATACTAAGTGTTTCCAGCAAACTGGAAAGCATTTTGGACTATGTCCATATCCTTTACTCTCCACACTAAGTTTCTAGAGTTGAAAGGTGCAGTTTGCAGGTTGTTCTGGCTGCTGGTTGTAGGAGTTGGGCTTCGTTTAACAGTCTCTAAATTATGTTGCATGTCGGTATCTACGTTTGCTGCAGGTGGATCTGCATCCAAGTTTGGGTCAATGGGAAAATTACCTACATCCTCTTCATCTTCTAGCTCCATCAGACGATCTCTTTGGCTCGAATAATAGTCTATGTCATCTTCATTGTCGGTGGAATCGTCTTTCGAAATTTCACCATTTTCTAACCGCTTCAATATGCTCTCAATCTCTTCTGGTCGCATTTTTGATAAATTTCCATAATAAAATAAAAATAAAAGTAATCCCAACCCCAAGCTATGCAGAAAATTAATGAATCGGAAGTTGAAAAAGTTTTTATAGCTAAAGAATTAGTAGTTAGGTTTTATGTAGGGCGGAATGCCTGAAGTATCAAAATTGATACTCACAAAAATAGCACTAGTTTCTTCAAGTAAAACATGCACTCGCAAAAAATAATTATATCATAGCGAAAATAATATATTCACTTACCTCAAAAGTATTTATATTCTTCAGAAAAAGAAAATATATCAAATTTGTATTCAACAAAACTTTTAGTAAAATGTGTTTACTTGTTCACTTTGCCGCGCAAGTAATATGTCATAGATAAAAAATAAAACAATAATGACATTTGATTTAATTTGATTTTGTTGGAAAGAATATTATACAAATATTAAGCTATTGCATAGCTTCTATCGAGGGCCTTGAACGCGGGGACCGAATCCAGAAATTCCGTAACGAAAAAAACCTCACGCTCCCCACTCCGACGGGCACGGAGGTGTGGCTTGAAGGCCGTGCATTGTCTAACGTCGTTTCTTTTCGGCAGTCTTCGAGACGGTGTTTGTGTGCGTGCAACTAGCCGTATTGTACGACTCTACGAAGCTCGCACGAATCGAGACGAGCTGCTCCGAAATCGGACGAATACATAAGCAGCTGTTTATGAGAAAGTATATAGGTGTAGAGTCTGGCTAATGAAAGTTGATACTGAAAAAGCGCGACAAATTTAAAAAATATTAGCATGGCAGCCCTAAAGTAAAAAGGAAAGTTGGAACAACTCACTTTGATACTTTGACATTTATTTTTATTTTACTAGTGGATGCTTGCAATTTTGTCCGCGTTATGACGAGATTAAAAGTAGCTTATATCACTTGTTAACTCTTTATTAACTCCATACCAAACATCACACGGATACGTCACTCCATTGTGGCATATTAAAGGAACAAACAGGCTATCAAACACTATCATGAGTATCAATATTATCATGAGTTTAAATATTTGTAAATCTATGTGAGTATGTATCAAAGAAAACAACACCATATATTTTTATACTGTTTTTTAATCACTATAATCAAAATCTGAATGTAAATAACATGAAGTGAATTCAACATGAAGTGAATCGTCGGAGTCGCTGCTGTCTCTTAAATTGATGATGAAGCTTTCTAAATTATTTTCAGTTATATGCTCTCTTCTTTTGTACTTGTCTTCCACATGAATGACATGGTCTGTCATTTTTTTCCAATCATCTGCTGTAATACACTCAAAAGATTGTTTTATAAGATCCTCGAACTCTTTTGGAGTTCGGCTTACATTTTTGCTTCCCACATTTCTTTTTGCTAGACTCCATATGAGTTCTATAGCATTTAGGTCACAATGATATGGAGGAAGTCTTAGCACTTCATGTCCGTTTAGGCTTAAAAGTTCATCAGCTTCATAAATAGGTTCTGGTGTGTTCTGTTTTACTAAGCAGAGCAACTCTGCTTTTGAATTGTATGTTTCAAATGAAATACCATTCAATGTAAGCCAATTCTGTATCTCTAACTTTCGATTTTGAGATGTGGGCGCTTTATTTATTATTTATTATAAATTTCGATTTGGTGCTAAATACTAACAATGAGTTTGGAACAGGGCCTTTCTCTGATCCTGCATGCACAATAATATATCGTTTTCCTGACGATATATTTTCAACTATTCCACTTGTTGATGGACCTTGCCAACATTTTTTAGGCTTATAGGTTCTGTGGACATAAGTTTCATCTAAGTAGATTATTGGCTTGCCTTCTGCACGCTTCGATGCAATGGTACGCAAAAAGCGATGTCTCCATGCAGCTATATCATACCGTTCAATTAATAATGAACGTTCATTTTTGTTTTTCTTAAATACATAACCGTTGGCTAATAATATGCGACGGAGAGTTTCACGACATCCACCAAATTCTATACTTTCTTTTAACTCTACCAACAAAGATCTTAATGTTGGTACTTGTTTCCTCACAATGTAAAATTCGTTTATTTTATTTCGAATAACATCCATATCGAAACTATCTAAGTTCGACACTTTTGAAGGGTGGGGTCGTTTTTTACCTGGAGTCCTCCAGACAGAGATTAAAAAAGAAGGTGCGGTGAACGAAGGGCGTTCACCGCACCTTCTTTTTTAATTCTCTTCAATGTAATAACACTTACATCTGTAAAAAGAATAAAATAAAATGTCAATTATCGTGGGTCTCATAACTAAGAAATAATAGAAAATACACAAGTATTACAAAACTAGTCTAAGATTAACGTTGAGTTAAAACTTACCGGTGAGTGAAGATAGTTCTTCTAAGTACTGGTTCTGCGATTTCATCATATCTTTTTGATCTAAATCTGTGATCTTTTTAATTGCTTGTTTTACTTCAGCAGTTCGTGCATTATCCTCAAGACTATCTGTAAAAGAACAATAACATTATATAAAGTAACTAAAACTAATATGTACTTATTTAAATTAAAAAAATATCAAGTCATTTTGACCGTACTAACCTAAAAAAACAGTCACAGTACGTAAACAATCCTGTTTTTCTCGCAATACGGCTTGTTTCACAAGCTTTTTCTCTTCATATTTCGAAATCATACGAAACAATAGTTTTCGCACTTCACTCTTTATAGTTTTATTAATTTTTATAGCATTAACACGGATATATCACAACAAAACTATACGCAAGTCAACCACAACGAAACATCAACAACTGGCCATCTTGTTGCGTCAGAGATAGGGATACCATACACTGATTCTGATTTTTCCAAATCTTTCGGAAAACCGTCGAAAATTAATTTCTTTAAAATAAAATTGCCAAGTTTTTCTCTAGTAAATAGTGTACTTAATTATTTAAGCTATTTATTAGACCAACTTAAGGCTTAGTGTTGCTCTTAAAATGATCCCTAACACGTACTACGATACTTATTTTCGATGAATACAATTTTAGCACACGTACGAATTTTTAAAACTCATTTTATAAAATGTTTAAAATAAGTTTGTTTAAAAAAAGCCTTTTTGGAATTAATTGTTCCTAAGTACTTTCTGCTTAAAATACCCCAATTTGTAGGGTAAATATCCGATGGTAGGAACACTTTAGTGTTGTCATATAAAAAGTTTGCAAAAAAATCCAGTATCTACTTTCGTTAGCCAGACTCTATAGGTATTTATGTACAACAGTGAATAGCTGTACTTGTAAAATTTGTGTATAAAGTGTTTTGAATATGAATGAACAAAGTGCATTTATTATTAATGAAGAAAGTCACGAAAAAATAGTGATAGAAAATGAGTGAGTACACTCTATATACATACATTGTATTATTATCACAAATGCAGTATTATTTTGAATTGAAAATATAATACTGCTATAAAGATAACTTAAATTTTTGATATTAAAATGAGCGATATTAAAAGTAGCCCTCTTTTATACACACAAACACACACACGCGTATAGTTTAAATTCTCAATATGTATATATATATATATATATATATATATAAATAAATTCATTCTTCATTATGTATATAACAGAAGCCATCGAACCAAGCACGTGTACTATTCAGTACCTTTGTTTTTGGAGTATAGATAATGCACATGAATGCCGCGCAGAGAAAGTATATATGATATTATATCTATATAAATGTACATCGCGCGAAATTCGATAATCACTTCTTAATATCGTTATTTTTTTTTAAATGAATAATTGTGTTTTGGTGTGTCATTACACTATTTATACCTAATTATTTATACCTATTATTTATACCTAGATATTTTCGTTTTATAGAGAAGAAAAGCGTAAAGAGCTAAAAAGAAAAAAAAAACTAATGCACGTCAAAGGGCGGGCATATTATCAGCGTCAGAAAGATTTGAAGAAAAATGAAGAAAAAAAAAAAAAAAAAAGAAACAGTACCAAAATCAAATGCTGAACGTCAAATGTGTTGTAAAATAATAAAAAATATTTCAAACAATATTAACTTTTTATTTATTTAATAAAAGAAAAAGATTTGTTTTCTTATCGGTCACCACGCTCAAAAAGTGTAACTTGAATTAATATCAAAGAAAAAGAAATGCTGCATAAATAAAATAAATAAATAATTATCATTGCATAAGTTGATACAAAATGCTATGCAATAGCTTTACCGCGGCAGTCCCCGAGTGCCACACGTCTTTTTTTTTATTATTTTACAATACATGTGGGTTTTATTATCTTACAGTAGCTGTTGGTTATTCAGGAATATTTATCATTGAAACTATAGGTTTGTGATAACTGAAATAAGAAACATAAGTTTGCAACTTAATATCTTCTAAATACCTAGAAAATACCGCGTTAATGGTGGTCCCATATTTTGTTAAATAATAAATTCATTCTCTTGTGGATCATTATTCATTTTCAATTTCAATGTTTTTGATAGAAAAGTTGTCAACCGCTCTGATTTTTTATCAGCGAAGTTAATGTTGAAATCGCCAGCCAAGATAAGGGGAATTTTATTACCATTTGTACCAAGTATTTTCGACCCTTCTTCAGTGTACTCCAGTAAAGTGCGATGAATAAAATGCTCTACCTCGTCCAATTTTGGATTCGGAGAAATGTAAATTGCAACCATAACTATTTGTAGGCCATTTCTAAGTTTGCATAAGCACGCACAAATATCTCCAACAACTGAGCGCCTAACATTAACATCGCTGACGTGTGCAATATTTATTTCAATATTCGGAGTCATAATATTAGTAATATCATTTTTATTTTGGTAAATAGCTACCCCACCTTTTGGAACAGTATCTCGTTTGAACTGAACAATACAATTAAAATTAGGTATTTCAATCGGATTATCATGCGTCATGCAAGTTTCGGTAAGAAGTAACACATTTGTTTGTCTCGTAACTGAATGTTGTAAATCGTATTTATGACTATTTAGACTTTGGCAGTTGAAAGTCATTATTGAAATGCCATTTCTATTACTAATGAAATCTAATAAACTTTTAGCTATCGTCTGAACACTATTTAAAGACAGTCTTTTGAATTCTTGCAACAAAGATGCAGTCGATGCAGCTTGCTTTCGATTATGATAAAACTTGAATGTAGAATTATCGTTTTTTGTCGTGATATACAATTTTTCAATACTAGTCACCCGAGAGAGCGCAACATAAACGAGTTCCTGAGAATGTGCTTTACTATACTCATATACTATTTCGTCAAAAGTTCCACCTTGCGACTTATGTATAGTTAGAGCAAGAGCTGAGGTTAATGGAAAATGTTTGCGTTTGGCTATACATTTTCTATCCGATGCTAATGAAATATTTACTGTTCGTAATTCAATGGGAACAGCGAGATTGCCAACTCTGTTTTGCACTGCTAGAGCGGCTGCTTTTTGCCTTTTTTTCCTATCCACTTTATCTGAACCACAAAATTCCAGCCAAACTCTTATTAATGTGTTACTTTCATCAAATTCTAGATGTACCAATTTCCCAACAGCACCATTGCACAAACCATCAGTAACGTCGATGTTAGTTGTAATAACATAATGCTTTCCAACGACAAAAGTGATGTGATAAGGCAGTCCTCCAGTGTCAATAACAGATTTTTTATGTAATTTAAGTCTAAAATTAGCTTCTTGCTCAGCACTTTTAGCGCCAATAATGACGTCTACGGACGTTGAAAGAACTTTGTTTTCACATTGGCTCAAAATCAAATTGCTATAGGCGGCAAATTCTTCATTTAAAAAAAATAAACGAACTCCATCAGGACATAATGTAGCAACATCCTCATTTTTGAAAAATCTCGATTCAATAAGTTGAAACTCATGCTCATCTAGTACATCTCCATTACCTATTTTTGTCAAAACTTGTGAAAATGCAACATTAGCTTGTCTCATTACTGTGGTGAGTTGATAAAATTTTAATTTTCTCCGTAAATGCGGTCCAATCATGCTCGTTCTGATTGTCTTGTAAATTGGTGTCGATCTTACTGGGGGCAATTGTCGTAAATCTCCGATCAAAATAACATCTATACTTCCGAAATCTGTGTTTTTGCCTGTTATTTGTTTTAGACGATTATCAATTTTATGTAGAAGTTCTGCACTAACCATGCTAATTTCATTAATGATCAGTACTCTGACATATCTGAAGAGAGATCTATACAATTGCAACGTTTCTGATGACAGAGGCAAAAGTTTTGAAAGAGAAATTTTGAGTGCTGTATGAACAGTTGTACCGTCAATAGCCACGGCAGCTTTGCCGGTTGAAGCACATGTAATATAGGCATTGCAGTAACCATCATTATCAGTAAACCTATTGTAAATTTCCATAATCAGTTTGATAACGAATGATTTTCCCGTACCTGCTGGTACCGTAAAAAAAATTTGAAATGGTTCTTGAATTGAAGTTTGTAAATGATGAATCATAGTCATACGAATATCTCTTTATTGATCATTGGCGATCCGCATTAAATTATAGAATTGTTGATAATCCATTAAATTTTCTTTTTTTTTAGCTATAGCGCCAAGTTTATGCAGAGATACATTTTGTAAATCAACTTAGCAGTTGAGTTTGGATCACGTAGCAATAAGTCATAAGGATCTCTTTCATGCAATATATCAACCGCTCTTAATAATTCTTTGTCTTCTTGTTCTTCATCGTTTTCTCGGCACAACTGTCTACAAATTTCTAAAGTTTTCTCTATGTCCAAATTTGATTCAAATTCTTTCCTACGTTCTAATATCGTATCTTTGTTGTCCTCGTATATTTGAATGAACTTATTTTCAGCAATAATATCATTTTCTTCTTATTTATTTAATAAAAGAAAAAAAAATTGTTTTCTTATTAATAGGAGTTTGGTTGGAATTTTCAGCAATAATATCATTTTCTTCTTATTTATTTAATAAAAGAAAAAAAATTGTTTTCTTATCGGTCACCACGCTCAAAAAGTGTAACTTGAATTAATATCAAAGAAAAAGAAATGCTGCATAAATAAAATAAATAAATAATTACCATTGCATAAGTTGATACAAAATGCTATGCAATAGCTTTACCGCGGCAGTCCCCGAGTGCCACACGTCTTTTATTTCCATCAAATCCTTCTGGTAAACTTAAAAATATTTCCTCATCTAAATTACCATACAAAAATGCTGTCTTAATATCAAATTGCATCATTTTATAACTTTTATTTGCAGCAATACCAAAAATCAATCTTAAAGCAGCATTGCTTACTACCGGACTATATGTATCATTATAATCAACCCCCTTTTTCTGTTCAAACCCTTTAGCAACAAGTCTAGCTTAATACTTCCCATTATCTTTGACTGTGAATACCCATTTGCTACTAATTATTTTCGAGTTAATAGGATCATTGTCTCTAACACATTCCCAAGTATTATTCTTTAATAGCGACGACTTTTCTTCTTCAATAGCTTGTTTCCATAAGCCTTTATCATTGCCTGCTTCCTCGTAAGTGAGCAATACATAATTATCAAGTCTTACAGGAATTCGTTTATTTCTCTGTGGTCTATGATCATTGTTTTGATTGACTTTTCTGGCATAGTATTTTCCACTTGATCAGGATTTACATTTTCAAAATTCTCTCTTACAACCTCAACTACTTCAATTAAGGAATCATCAGTGTTGTCACAATCAGGTGTTTCATTAATCATTTTTACTTGTACTTCTCTCTCATTACTAACTTTAGACTGTATTTTACATAGAACTTGTTGTGAAAAAACTACATTTCTAGAAACAATAATTTTCCTTGCCTTATCATCCCACAGTCTATACCCATTTACAGTATACCCAATGAATACATACTTTTTAGTTCTACTGTCTAATTTTTTTAAATTACCTGATACATGACTGAATGCATCACGCCGAAAAAATTGGAGGACAATTTTTTTTTAATTCAATATAGGAACAGCTTTTTTAGTTGTATTACCAACTTTACATCACCTAATTGGTAAATTAAAAAGAAAAAAAATCACACATGAGATAAGTTGTCGTAGAATAAGTGACAGTCTCTTGGCAATACGTCTTTAAGCTGTTGAAGGTGATTAAATTTCGTGGAAGCAATAGGGATCGGTGCTGAATGTAAGTTTGAATAATTTATTGACCTCAGGGTTTTTGGTCGTATCGGCAAATCTGTCCAATCATCGTCGAAGTTGATCTTATAGGCGATAGTACCTGCCGATTATAACTTAGTGCCCTTATATCAACTATGACAGTATCTCCATCTTTTCGGCCTGGTCTTATGCTGCTTGGAGATACACTCCAAGTGGATTTGTCACTGTAATCCTTTACGAAACTGTGATCTACGTGAATAGCTTCATAGGGAGTTGGTTTCTTCCGTGCCTCTTTAGTCACAGATATAAAGTCGCTGGGGACATGGATTTCTCTATTCTTCAGTTTCCTTTCGATTGTAGCATGCACTGAGTCACACTCCATTTGAGTGTGACTAGGTTCTAAATACTTTTGCGTTATACTCACGTTGTGTTCAACACTCATGTTTAACAATGCATTAGCCATTATGTTATTCCTGTTCTGGTATGTACACCCATCGGAATAAATAACTAGGCAGACAATACCTTTAGGCAGACAATATCTCTCAAGATAGTCGATCACAAAAGATGCAAAAGTACTGGCAGTTAGATCCGCAGACGTTTCATCAAACCAATAACAGGAGGCTTGATGAGTAATTAGGTCGTATACGGTGAAATTGTGGCAGGTAAGCTTAGTCTTGAAATATAAGGCACTAGCGGTTAGATAAGGAGACACTTTAACCGCTTCCAGATCCATGGACAGCAAAATGAAATTTGCAGTAAGAGCTTGCTTCTTGTCATTTTCTTTTTCTAGCCTCGCTCTATCTTTTCGTTTTATATGTTGCTCGTAATCACTTGTATTAATATTACCTACTGCATGCCCACTACAGACGTCGCACATGTCTTTTTTTAACGTGTACAAGGACAAGTTTTTATCCTTGAACAATTTCTCAAACGTGAAACGACATACTATTGGCTCGCCATTTTCAGCGCAGTATTCTTTGTAGTGACTGTACAAGTCACTGAGGGAACGAAATATTGGTTCTAAATAAAGCTTTGAGGAATCCTTCCTTGCATAGTGTGACGGTAATTTGGGAATGTCATTTAAGAATTTACCAGCGGCTGAAAGTTTATGCTGAGTTCCTGTTCTTAGCGTTCGGACTCTGGCCGTATTTTGAACTTCCTGGCTAGGGATTACTCCACAATGCGCCTTTTTAACCCAAGACTGAACTGTAAAGGAGCCTAGGCATAAAGTGTTTAAAAATGTTGTCCGACAAACCTGTAATTTTTTACCATCGGTGGCTGGCAAACTATACTCAAAAGTACCTTCACGTCGTGATTCTCCATCACTAGTTTTACGTGATGTTGTTTTACGAGTGACAAGACCATTAACGTAAACCTTGCGCTGGTCCCAGTTCATAATCTGCCAAAAATTGTTATGAATCTCCAATCTTGTTTCTTCACTAAATTTGTCACAGTTTCGAACCTTACTCAGAACTCAGAATCACACCTCGATCTTAATCGTCTAGCAGGTCTCATTTTGTCTTGGTTTAACTTTCTGATTTAGGCTTTGTAAATCCTAAATATTCTTTGCCTGACATACGCAGTTTCTTGTTTTTGTTTTTCTTCCACTGGCTTGGGTCAGACCTCGATTTGCGTTTTCTACCTTCATCTATGTTGCCGTGAAATACACCAGACATGATACCAGATGTAGATGGTTCCTCTAGAATATCTGGACTGGAACTATCTGAGAGTATCTCAACGTCTGTGGGGCAGTATGTGACGTCACTGTCTGTGCCGGAAAAATCACCATCATAGGAATCAGGCCCGTCACTTAACAGATTATAGGAATGTGCTCTTTCATTGTGGGTTGTGCTTGGCAGAAGGTACTGTACGGTAATTGTGGGAGGGACTGAAGAACAACGTCTTTGAGCAGCTGAATTTATCTTTGGCATGTTTGAAAGTGAGGACGATCTACCAATAATCCATCTTTTTTCACGTACTTGACGAGGCTCAGTACGTTTTTCAAGTTCCTTTTCAAAAACTACGTGATACGTAGCGCCTGTGAAAAAATATAATAATTAATTATACTCTACTCAAAATATTTAAAATAACATCCATCTATTCTAATTACAATAAATTCAAGGAAAACACTTACATGAGGTAGTTACAGAACTTTTTTGGTTAGTATTCTCACTATCTGTATTTTCTTTCCCTCTCAGAATCTTAAATATTAGACCAGCTCGCACACCTTGGTAATGCTTTGCCATTCGTGACATCCTGCAACATAAATAATAAAAAAATACTCAAGCAATTTCTCCTAACTTCCTCCTATAGTGGAACAAAATGTGTGTTAATATATTCTATCTACAACAAAAACATTTGAAAATAAAATTGACAGACTTTAAACATAAACTTTGTTATTTTTAAAGTTAAATCACAAAGTAAAGTCACACCAAAAACACACTTTTTATTAATGTATCTGCGACACATTAAAAATCATTGCTTATCGGAACATGAACTGATCTCAACTAACTCGCAGTCTCGCACGACTGTTATGATTCAACCCCCCCCCCCCCCCCCCCCCCTCCCCGGCCCCGCCGCCAACAAGTGCCCTCCAATTTCTCAAAAATTGTAAGATAGGAGTTATTGGCACTTCGCCGTCGATATGTATTTATTATAGACAGGTTCAGTATGTCGTAAAATAAACACAGCGGCCATCGATTGGTCTTGCGGCTGCTACTCATGATCCAGCACATTTGGTCCACAGTATCAACAGCACCTTTTGTAGAATTGTAAAATTCTATAATTTCTGATTTTTTTTTGTGTCTGTATTAATAGCAGGTTGATCATGTGTAGAAGAAAGAAGGTAAACAACCTTATTTGGCTTTGGTTTATATGACACCAACGTCAATTCTTTGTCGAAACCGAACACCAAAATTACCGACTGGTCTAGATCTAGTATTCGCCATTTCTTTGGGAATTTCCCGCTTGTTACTTCGTAATGTACCTACCACTGTGAGTTTATACGGTGGTTTCAACAGCTCTTCTGCTAGAGGCACCGAAGTAAACCAATTATCCATGGTTATATTGCGGTTTGACCCATGGTACGGTTTAGATAGCTCCTTCACAAAATAAGTTAGAAGTCTGTAACTAAACGTTTATAATTTTACAAGTGTTTAGATTATCTCTAAGAATATTTCTACAGCCCAAATTATTATAAGTCCAACCGAATGCTTTAAATTTTACAAGTGTTTTAAATTAATATAGAATCTTATCCGAAATCGGGCATAGGTTCCCCGTATGAACAACTTTTCTTACTTCGGTTTAGAGACATTTATTTCTCATAAAAAGAACAATACAGTTCACTTGCATAATGAGAAAATGTAACAACACAATAAATTAGTTAAGTATCTCTGTGATCTCAATACACAGTAGTATAAAACACATATTACAGTAGCATAAAACTAAAGATATACTTGCTAAATTATTCTAAGTTCACAAACTAAATATTGAAAATTTTACAAGTGTTTGCAACTAATGTTATTGAATCCTATCTGAAATCGGGCATAGGTTCCCCGTCTGAACCACTTTTCTTACTTGCTAATTTATTCTAAGTTAATAAACTATATGAAAAATTTACAAGTGTTTTTAATTACTGTTAAAGTCTTTTACTCTTTTACATCATGCAATTTTACACATTAAGGTCACGAAAATCTTGAATTTAACTTTGTACTCACTACTTTAAAGTTCACTTTTGGATAATAAATGGATTTAGACTCACGGTTTATTTTCACTCACACTGACGTCACCATGTGCTCCATACTGTTAGAGTTCCCTGGATTAAGGTGGCGGCAAATAAACAACATATCTTCTTTTAATCTATTGTTTTAATCCTTCACATAATTTTTACACGTAACAGCCATTTTTACATAGAGAGAGATTTTTTTAAAACGCAGAACACCATAGACAATACACGGTTTTTTTTTTTAATTCTAATATGACTTCCAGAGGTGGAGCATTGTCTTTACTCATCACTCTCCCTCAATGTTCCATCTCTAGGATACACTCCTATCCATTTTACACAATTAAGCAATTTTATCTTATTAATTGGTTTAGTTAACACATCAGCAATCTGTTCTTTTGTACAAATATATTTTACTTTTATTAAACCTTCTTCTACTTTTTCTTTTATAAAATTATATTTAATATCGATGTGCTTTAGTCTTTTCTGATCGGGATTCTTAACTGTCTTAATAGTACTTGAATTATCTTCATACATAAGAACACTCTCAACTTTAATATTTACTTCCTTTAACAATTTAATTAACTAACATGCATCCTTTGATGCTTCACAAAGTGAAATCAACTCGGCTTCCGCCGTACTCAATGCAACTGTTGCCTGTTTTTTTGATCTCCAAATTCTGTAATTTGGAGTTCTGTAACAGTATTACCAAACAATTTAAATAAGTATCCAGAAGTGGATTTTCTATCAACTATGTCTCTAGCAAAATCTGCATCAGCATAACCAATCAAAACTTCATCAGAATTACAATTATTTCCACTATAGATCAAAGAATAGTCAACTGTTTGATTTATGTATCGTAAAATTCTCTTTAATGCTTTATACAATTTTTCACAAGGCTTAGATTGGAATCTACTTAAATAACATACAGAAGTGGCAATATCTGCTCTTGATCCTATTATAGCATACATCAATGAACCAATTAGTGATCTACACTTGTATTCCCAGTCAAAATCAATTTCACAACTTCCAATATTTAATACAAAATTCACATCCATAGGTGTATCACAACCCTTACAATCCTGCATACCATACATGTACAAAACATTCTCTAAATACCTAGTCTGATTTATGTAAACCTTCCCCGGTAACTTGCTTATAGAAATACCTAAGTAATTTAAATTATTACATGAAATATCTTTCATTCTGAATTTAGTACTTCAGAACTGTTTAACTCTTTCTATTTCATGTGAGTCTCTCCCTAAAATTAATATGTCATCTACATATAGTAATAGATATAACTCTGACTTGTAATATAAACAATAATCATTCTGTGATCTTTTAAAACCATATTTAGTAATTGTATCATGAAATTTCTCATACCAATATTTCGGTGATTTTTTCAAACCATACAGTGATTTTTCCAATTTTAAAACATATCAGGGTGGCACATCTATTCCTTCTGGTGGTTGTAAATAAACTTCTTCCTTGATATCTCCGTATAAGAATGCTCCCTTCACGTCCATCTGGCTTATATGAAAATCTTTGTAAGCTGCAATCGATAACAAAATCCTCAATGTTTGCAATTTCAATACCGGTGAGTAAATTTCTTCTACTTTATTTGCCTGTTTAAATCCACGTACAACTAGTCTTGCTTTGCATATTTCTTGTTTTCCTACTTCCTTCTTGTTAAATATCCATTAACAGTCTATCAACTTCTTATTTTCAGGTTTGGGTACAACTTTCCATGTCTTACTATCTTCTATGACCTTCAATTCTTCTTTTATTGCATTCCTCCATTGGTTTTCATCTTCTCTTCCTTCTATGTCTTGGTAGTTTCTTGGTACATTTTCACTGCTTGTCATCAATGCATACAAAACTTCATCACTCTCATCTGTCAAGTCCAGTTCATAATCTTCTTGCCACTTTGGTTTCTTTACTTCTCTCTTTTCTCTCCCTGTTTCTATACTTTCTTCTCTAGTTCTTTCTTCTTCGTTCTTTCTCAATTGAATCTCTTTCTTCTTTTCTTTGTTCTTATTTTGTTCTTGTCTTTTCTTTGTTATTTCACTTCTATTTTTACTATCTCCTTGTCTTTTTCTAGGTGTTTCTCTTCTTTCATGTATTTCTTCATCACTAATATTTTCATAGTTTTCTGTTTCAGGTTCATCCTTCTCTTCTCTTGCTGCTTCTTCTTGTCCATCTTCGGGTCTTGGGAAGTATACAACTTTCTCATTTTTGTTCACATCCTCATTAAATATGACATTTCTACCTACTACAAGTCTGTCATTTTCTTCATCATAAAGTCGATATCCTGTAGTATTGTATCCTATCATAATCATCCTTTTCCCTGGATTGTCTAATTTCTGTCTTAATTGTTTTGGTATATGATTATATGTCACACTTCCAAATATTCTCATGTTAGATACATTAGGCCTTTTGTCTGTCCATAATTCACTTGGCGTTTTATCCTTTCCTACTGTTGGACTCCTATTTGTTACATACGCTGCATACAGAACAGCATCTCCCCAAAATTCTTTACCTAATCCTGACTCATGTAGTGTAGTCCTAGCCTTATCCATTATCGTTCGATTCATTCGTTCAGCTACACCATTCATTTCTGGATTATATGCTACTGTGTTCTGTATTACTATACCTTTGTTCTGACAAAAGCGTTGCAATTCACCTGCTGTGTACTCACCTCCATTATCAGCTCTGAGTTTAAGTAAATTAGTGTTGAATAAGTTTGTAACATAGTTATAATAAAGTTTAAATTTTTCAAATACTTCTGACTTGTCTTTTAATAAATATATCATAGTGAAGTGAGTGAAATCATCTATAAATGTTAAAAAATATTTATACCCTTCTCTTGTTACTGGTGTAATTGGTCCGCACACATCAGTATGTACTAGTTCTAATATACGCCTTGCTCTGTAACCTGTTCTATTGAATGGCTGTCTAGTTATCTTTCCTAACACACAAGGTTCACATAATGCATTTTCATTGATTGCTATATCTTTCAGCTCTTTCAACCCATCTACTAAATTTTTATTTGACAAAATGCTTAAGTTTCTTAATCCTAGATGACCAAAACGTCTATGCCACAACTGTACCACATCTTGTTTATTTTGCACAAAATTACAATCTAAATTTACTGTTACTTTCATTTCAATAGTGTATAGAGACCCTGCATTGTTACCGATCATGAGTAATCTGCCATAATGGTACACCCTAACTTTTCCAAATGCAAATTCAACTTTCATATTAGCATTTTCTAACTTTGACACTGATAACAAATTCTTTCTTAAGTCCGGTACATAATATACATTTTTGACAGTACAATTTGTTGACCTTCTCCCTACATAACAAACTACATTAATGTTTCCAATACCTATAGCTTTTAATATAACACCATTTTTAGCCGCTGCAATAATTTTAGGCTGTTTTAATTCTACATAATTAGTAAATAAGTCCTTACGGTTTGTTAAATGATCTGAGGATCCAGAGTCCACGCACCACACCATTTTTTCTTCTCCTCTTATTGATGCTGTCTTTGTGCCTGTAGCAAACGCTACCTGTCCACCTTCAGCTGCAAATGTTGAATGTCCTCGACCTGGAAAAAAATTCTCTCGAGGGTTACCTCTTCCTCTGCCCGTATTCCATCCTTGTCGATTGTTCGAAGTATATTTAAATTTTCCAGTATTATTCACACGTCCATGACCATTATAACTTCCTCTTTCCTGTCTGTGTACTCTGGGCTGCCAACACTGATATTGCTTGTGTCCAGGTTGTTTACAATTAAAGCATAAAAATACTGCATTATTTGCCTGTTGATCATACCCTCTTTTCTCTCTCATTCTTTTTTCTTCTTCTCCTAACAATCTTTCCTTTACAAAGCTTACTGTCACTTCTGGCATAGTCTCTAATGTGGTCACAACCATTTCATATGACTTTGGCATGGATAGCAATATATAATTTACTTTTTCTTCTTCAGTTACCTTTGTACCGGCCTCTTTCAGTTGAGTAAATATTTCTTCCATCTGAGTTAAGTGGGCTTGCAGTCTTTGTTTTTCCTCATATTTTATTTGTGTTAGTTGGCGTCGCAGATACATTCTTCCTCTTGTGTTACGTTTCATAAAGCTATTTTCTAAGCTTTTTATCATATTATACGCTGTATTTTCATCATTTATATACTCTATGTGGCTGTCGGCGGCTGCTGATTCTACAATGCTTTGCGCCCTGACCTCCAATTTTTTATTTGCTTCTATACTGGCAAAACCCGGCTTCAGAATTGCATCCAAACATTCCTGTTCATTTAAGATTGTTTTTAATCTATATAGCCACGTACTAAAGTTCTCACCTTCAAATTGTTTCATTGTAATTTTCCTTTCAAATATCGATGCCGCCATTTTTACACGTCGCAAATTGCGTCATCCAACCAAGAACAAAATTTCTTCAAAAATTTCTATATTTTTCCAGAACCACGCTCTGCTACCACTGTTAGAGTTCCCTGGATTAAGGTGGCGGCAAATAAACAACATATCTTCTTTTAATCTATTGTTTTAATCCTTCACATAATTTTTGCACGTAACAGCCATTTTTACAGAGAGATTTTTTTTAAACGCAGAACACCATAGACAATACACGGTTTTTTTTTTTATTCTAATATAACTTCCAGAGGTGGAGCATTGTCTTTACTCATCACATACGACCACCAAATGCCTTAAGCTGCTTCTACACATAGGCCAGCGCATTGACCAACGCGCTGGCGGTGCGCTTGCCAATGCGCTTGTGAGTGAATCCACACATTGGAAGGTCGTTCAGTATGCTTTGGTTCGGGCCAATGTGTGGAGGGATTCAAAATGGATGTTGAGTCGCTAACAGCTGCAGCTGTATATTTATTCACAGCTTATAATTACTTTGTATCTGTGTACAAGAAAAGGGTGATAAAAAAGAAATGGAAAAAAAGAAGGTGGTGGATGTTAACAATACATCGAAACAGAACAAGGTAAAATAATTTTGATTAATAATATGAAAAATAAATATAAAAGAATATGAAATAGGTAAGTACTTATTTTGTTGACAATGTATGATGAATATAATACTAGAAATAAACTTTCGATATGGGTCTCATACACAAAGCTGATTATTATCATGAGTAAATACATACCTTAGCAGGCTGTCAGTGAATTAAAAATTACCCTGCTCCTCCTCGCTTCGGTTGCCTCAATGCTGAGGGTCGTGACCGCTTCCTCGCAGTAAAAGTTTGCTGTGGATCACTATCCGCCGCCGAGTGTAGAGCATCGTGGACTGTGGTGTCGAGAATAGTGCGGATCTGGTCAGTCCAACGTGTTGGGTTTCTACCTCGTGGTCTTTTTCCATCCACTTTGCCCGTGACCATTAACTTTTCCAAATTGCTGTCATCCTTTCTGGCAATGTGGCCGAAGTATTCCAGAACTCTCCGCAGGCAGATGGTAGAAAGCCTTGTCTGTATATTGAGTTCTTGCAGGATTGACACGTTGGTGCGATGTGCTGTCCAGGGAATACCCAGCATCCTTCGCCAGCACCACATCTCGAATCCATCAATACGGTCACGATCGGCTTTTTTCAGGGTCCTCGTCTCCGCACCGTGCAAGAATATGGAGAACACCAGAGTGCGTACAAGATTGCTCTTGGTTTTTTAGGGAGATGTTTTTGTCCTTCCATATCCTATGAAGTTGCGCCATGGCCCCCTTTGCCATTCCGATTCTTCTTATACCCTGCATAGGTATACATTTTAAACCTTTGTGGTTTACATCGGCGAATCTATTTTTTTATTTGATGCAGGCGTAGCATGCATAAACAACTAGCAGAACTGCTAGCAGAGCCATCAGGAGAGTTTGATAATTTTGTTCGGATGTCATTTGGTTACCAAACAAGATACAAATTGGAGGGATGCGATTCCTGTGAAAATACGACTGGCTGTGACATTAAGATATTTAGCTACTGGTGACTGTTACAAGAGCTTGCACCATACTTTTAAAATATCAAGTCAAGTTATATCTAAAATTATTTAAGAAGTATGTTCAGCTCTCAGTATAATTTTGAAGGGTTTCGTAAAGGTAAATAAAACTATTTTAATTTCATTACAATTACTCTGTATTACAAAAATAACACGGTATTTATTATTACTATAAAATTCGCAAGTAAGTAAAATTCAACAGTAGGTATATCTTTTCTTCATTCTTGGTCCGTGCACGATTTTTCAAACGCTTCGAGCAAGATATTAGTTGATCCTGGTTGAACTATTTCTTGAGATATTACATGAACTTTGCTGGGTACATATTGACTCTCATGCAACATTTCTTGATGGAAGCTTTGTGATGATGAAGGGCGATTTGTTGTTTGCTGTTGATAATAGTACTGACTAGACTGTTGATCGACCGGTAATGTCTGATGTGATATATCTTGCGTTTTTGGTCTAGTGGGGGAACTGCGTGATGATGAAGGACGATTGATTATTATTTGCGGAGATGTATCAGAGTACAAAGAACGCTGTTGAATGAAGTGTGAGCTCGGAGAGATGTTTCTTGGCAGCGAATCATTCGAGTAATAGGAACCGTGTGCCGATGAACTGCGACTGTAGTAGTGTAGACTGCGACTGTGATAGGAGACGAAATAGCGGGCTGCAGCATTCGGCCGCTGCTGCGATGACGTTTGTTAATGATCAATCCATGGATTTCGTACATTAACTCATCTCTTTCCTCTTTAGGGAAATCCCTGAGCTGTTTTGCTAGAAGTTTACAAAACAAACCAGCGTCATCATTTTCTTTGTCTTCTTGATGTTTCTTACTTTGTAACACGCTATTTAGTGTACTGAATGCAATGTTCATGTGCTTGTTGGCTTCCTGTAATTCAGGCGGATTTTGTGATCGACGTTTCTGTACCACTTTAGAAGCAGTTGCAGGGTTACTATTCTGTGAAGGATATTGTAAGGCGCTGTTTCCTGCATCGCTATTTTGCACTTCGGTTGTACTGTTACTTCTCCCAACATCAAGTTCATCTGTGCGTAAACTTTCCTCCCCGTCTTGAGTCTGAAATAAAATAATGTTTATACTTAGTTGAAAGAGCTGTGAAAACTTGATTAATTACAGTTGTGTATTTTTTTTCAGATTTCAACATCCGAGGACGAGTGGTTATCTAAATCAGAAGGCTTTCGATTCCCCAATTGCGTCGGCGCTTTAGACGGAAAACATATCATGATTCTACCACCGCCATTCACTGGCTCTGAATACTTTAATTATAAAGGGCATTTCAGTATTGTGCTATTAGCGTTAGTTGATAGTGACTACTGTTTTATGTTTGTAGATATAGGTTGCCCTGGACGAATAAGTGATGGAGGAGTATATAATCAAAGTGTTTTACGACAAAAAATTGAAACAAATGCCATCAATTTACCACCTCCTAACAGAAACACTAACTTGCCCTATGTATTTTTAGCAGATTCGGCATTTGCGCTGAGTACAAATATCATGAAGCCATTTCCTGGACATCATGCAGTAGGTACTCCAGAAAGAATACTCAATCAAGAACTGTCTCGCTCTCGTGTTGTTGTAGAGAATGCCTTTGGAATACTGTCTAGCAAGTTTAGGATTTTTAAAACCTGTATTCCGCTTGACGAAGTTAAAGCTGCTAAAATTACAATGACATGTATATTGTTACACAATTTTTTGAGAAGGAGCAATACTTCTCGGAATTTGTACACCCCTAATGGCACAGCAGACAGTTATGTTAATGGCAAGTTACTTCGAGGTGGATCCTGGAGATCCACCGATAGAGGAACAGGTATTACTCCATTGAATGGTGTACCTCGTAGAAGTACAGAGAATGCTTTAGAAACGAGGGTAAACTTTATGAATCATATTTTCGAAAGACGAAATAACAGTCAGGCACAAATTGCTTAAAACGCACCTGGGCTATTATTTTATTTTGGGGCCCAGAATGAATAAATATGACAACAAAATATAATTTTAAGTATGTTATTTTTTTTTACTTTTTTATACTGATATAACATAATTATTGTTTTAAGTATATATTACAGCAATTTGCAGCGATGTTTATTTACTATTTCTTCATTAATTTTATTATTATACTAGGAGGGGTACAGAAAAACAACAACTGTGCTACTTTCATGAAAAATCAAGTTTTATTGTTAGGAACATTTACCTCAACTTGGAAACCTATCACATATGAACTTAAGATAGGATAATGATAATTTTATATATTAAATCACAAATTATGTCAGTCCGATATCTCTTTATATGGTTAAGTTTACCACTTTGTTACCTAATTTAGATTTAAGCAATTGTAATTTTAAAAAATATTAAAAAATAATAGCAATTTGAACTCACTATTTAAAGAGAAAATGTTTCAAATAAACAATAAACTCTTAAAATTAGGATATCTGAAACAGTAGTTTTAGTTTTATACCTTCAAACGTTTCCAGAAAAAGAGGGACAAAAAAGCAACGCAGTGGTTCGATACGTTACATAGTGGTAAACTTTTCACGTCCCAACATGTTTTCTTGACCTTAAACTAATAGAAACTTAATGCAAACAAAAATAAAGCATTTCAAAAAAACAAAACTTTTCTTTAAACAAAAAAAATGAAACTTCTCAAATTAACAATTTATAAACATAAAAAAAACCTTTGTCTTTTCCGTCACATTCGTAACATACACGTCTAACTTTCTTAATTTTTTTAGGATTGGGTACTATTTCTGAAATATTTTCATATGGTTCGTATGAAACATCTTTTTCTACTAGTTTTGAACCTCTTCCCCGAATCGTCAACTGATTTTAAAAACATAATCTTGATCTCTCCTTCGTCGTCAACATCACTTTGGGCGACACCTAGATAAAAGTATGTTTTGTCCTTGTCAGTGGAAACTTTGACTGTAACATAAACACCCATGGATACTTTTGATGGATGTAAATTTTCCATTTCAATTTATTTTCGTTCATCTATATTAGAAACTGAAGCTTCTTGTTCCTTTTTAAGTTGAATCTTTGAAAGAGGCTTATCATCTGAGCTCCAAGTCGAAGAATAAACCATTTCGTAATAAGACCTCTTGGGATTGGTTACAAGATTAGTTATATCAGTTAATACTTCTTTAAAGACAGGAATTGGCTGATTGGTTTTAGGTGTTAAGCAGCCGCAAAAACCCCTTTCAAAAAAGCAACTAAGATCGCGGTAGTGCAATTCTCCTGCATTTTCTGTGAAAACTTGAGGTACCTGCATTGTAGCCCGGAGAGGGATAATGTCCTTGGGAACAGTTTGCTCTACCTTTGCAATATCGGTATTAGTTATGAAATGTAGCTGAATTTTGCTGGCGTCCTTTAAAGCTTGAAAAAATGTCTGCGTCAGGAATGTCTAAGCCAAAAGCAACTTTTTGGTCAGCTGTTCATTTAAGATAGCTACCAACACCATCAGCCGCACCCTTCCCTTTCCCTTTCCCACCTGCTTCGAAAAAGTTCCAGGTAATGCGATCAAAGTTATACTCTTTGAATGTTCTTGAGCAGATGAAATGAAAGTTTATCTTCTGGGTATATTGTGTCGCAGGACCGTCGGAGAAGACATGGATAGTTTTTATGTGTGGATGATTAGCTTTTAATGTACTTAGAACTGGGTCTTTTTTTTAGCTTGCTAATACCGAGACATTCCTGCAACATATCGCCTTTCATTTTTGATTTTGTATGATACTCCCTTCAAAAATGCGACGTATTGTAAATCGATCTCTTAGAGTCTTTATTCTGGAGTAATGGTCTCTGATGGCATTAGATAAAGTGGCGTACTTTTTGTCTCCGTCTCCGCTCTCCGACTTTTTTGCTTTGTTCTTTTGTCTTTGACATCTTTTTTTGTACTTATTATATTTATTTTTCAGCTTATCATTTTCTGCCTTCAATTTTATATTTTGCCTATATAATGTCGATCTGTCTCTTCTTACTTGTCGTGTTCCTCTAGAGCGTGGAGAAAGGGGAGTTCCTGATCGTGGCGTCGAAGCTGGTGTATTATTCAAAATGACCTGTGCAATTTTTTGGCGCTCTTTACGTTTCTTGTTTGCATACTTCCATTTATGCTTTATAGATCTATGTTCTCTCTCTGTCATTTCTTTTACAAGTTTTTTATTAGCGTGATATCTTGCAAGATGTTTTTGTTTAGCTTCAGCATTTTTGACCGGGTCCTGTTTTACTTTTTCCCTATAACGTCGTTGTTTTTCAGCCAGTGTTGAAGCCATTATGTTGGGAATAGCATACTGTAACGAATCAATCTAAAATTAAATAGTTTTTAAATATAAAATTATTAAATAATGAGTAAAAACCTTAAGGTTTAACCACTGCGTTACTATAGCCACACCTGCGTTACTTCTCGTAGTAACGCAGTGTGTTGGTAACACAGTTGTAAAAATTATACATATTCTAACGTTTCAGCCATATAGTAATAAATTAAAAATATTTTTTAATGCTATTCAAAAATGTACACATTCTCATACAGATGAATTTAATAAAATTATCAAATATCTAAAAAACTCACCGTTTATCACCCGTAACTCAGCGGTTTCACAATAAACACACGCACCTCTCCTGCCGACTCTCGCGCGACTGGCTCGACCAATTCTAAGGATACGCACTCCCCCTGCATCCCGCTAGCAATTGTTGACGAAACAAACGAATTTTGACGTTGAGGTATACAAAAAGCTAAGTTAAAGACTTATTTTCGTATGATAACACAGTGTTCGTGATTTTTCACTTAGCCACGGGGACAAGACAAGGAATGTTTCGTAAATTAGAAAATTCCAAAGGGAAATGATACTTATCAGTGTTGTAGTAAAGTTCAAACAACTGCTTATTACTATAGATATTCAAATTTAATAGCTATTTAAATATTTAAATTTAATTTTAGTGTTTTTGAAGTGAGTTGCTTATAGGGACAGCGCAATTTTGTAGGGAATACACCTGCGTTTCTCAGAAATACAACTGAGTTACCGTGATTTAAGAAAAAATATAACTTGTTCTGTTCATTTATTGTAATTCTCTTAGACGGGTATATTATCGCTAACGTACTAAGAGTGTTTTTATTTTAGAAATCGTTGTTTGCTTTAATAATAATCATTTTGGTTTGAGAGAGACCTGTTATTGGAACCAAAATAAAATAATAGCCCACCTATTATGTTTAAATTGACTACATGTTTTATTAATAAACATATTATAAGAAACTATTATTTGTTTTACTTACATGTTCTTCACTATTGCAGATGCTTTTGCATTCGTATACATCCTTTGAAAATACTTCCATCGCATCATAGAACTGCCAAATTGGTTTAAACGCGTCTTCTTCTCCAGCTCCTGACTTTAACGAATCAAATTTTTTTTTCATATTAGTTCGAAAGTTTGTCGTCAAGCTCTCTTTTTTCTTCTTTATTTCATGCACTGGTAGGCGCGAAATGCACACAAACGGCGTAAGGCATAAGGCGCGGCGCAGGCGTGGAACGGATACGGCACGGACGCGATTGAAATTATATAGAAGAGGCGAAGCGACGTCACGATGCGTCATTATACAGGCTGATTTCGTTGCGATAGCATGTCTTCCTCTTCAGATGACGAAGATGCGCTTGCTTTACTGCAACTCATTAATGTGCAGAGGCACAGAAGATATTGGATCCACCCCGTGTGGAAATTATCAGAAGAGCATAGATATTTTTAAATAATGGAAAGTCTACATGAATATCCTGATCGTTTTCGCACAGTGTATAAAATGTCACAAGAATGTTTCCATATTATATTGTCAAAAGTGAAACACGGTCTTCAGAAACAGCATACACATTGGAGAGAACCAGTCTGTGCTGAAGAAAGACTATTGATAACATTAAGGTTGTTGCGCCGACTTTTAATCCTATTTCACTCCATAATTTATCTTGTACATTTCTATTACAGTACTCCGCCTTGCTAAAGTCGTAAAGAGCCGGATATTGTTCGACAATTTCGCAGAACTGTATATTATATTGCATATTACATATACTGTATATTATATAGCAACAAAAATGCGTGATGATATAGAATATCATCATGATATATCATCATGATATAGAATATCATATTGCTGATAAATAATAGTCGTCCCATATAGCAAGCGACGTGCTCCTTGCGTGACGCTTCAGTTGTGACTGCTAGCGCCGCTTGAGTGTAAAGGGGGGTTTACACGGGTCGATTTTCGCCGTGCGGCGAGTCGCTTCACTAATTGCCTCACCAAGCCGTATCGCTAGCCCATTTACACTTTTTACTAAAATCGCAAGCGGCTCTGTCATTTCCATCGAAAATGTTGAGCAGAATAGCCGTTTGTGCCGGAATTGAAATAATTAATTATTCAATTATTCAACAATTGCTTAAAGAACAAAGAGTGAAGAAAAAACAAAAGGAAAGAAGAAAACGTAATGTTTGGGTACGTGCATGGATTTCTCGACGTAAGGACTTGGGTGCTTCGGATACTTTATTGGTTGAGTGGAGTTTAGAAGATCCTGATTATTTTAAAAAACGATTAAGAATGACTACTGATCAGTTTAATACTTTACTACATAAGGTTACTCCGCTTATACAAAAATGCGATACCAATATGCGAGTAGCACTTTCTCCGAAAATTAAATTAGAAATAACCCTGAAGTTCTTGGCTACCGGTGATAACTATTCAAGTCTTGCAGAGTCATTTAGAGTTCCAAAGTGCACAATTTCCTTGTTTTTGAAGGATGTTTTGGATGCTATATACAATGTTTTACAGGAGTTCATTATGGTAAGTGAAACTAGTAATTAATTATAAACGATTTATTTATAAATTTTCCATTGTGTTTTCATCTAAGCATGACCTAACAGCTTGAGATAGAATATCGTCGTTAACTCCGTATTGTTGCCCAGTATTTTCTTGTGTAAGTAAACAGCTGGCAAAATAGTCTTCTTCATAATCGAGGTGCCTTCTAGAAGTGGAAGCTTCGGGAGTCGAAGTTTCACGCTGGTTTTGAAAAGCTTGGTTTAGGGAAGTAGTAGCTTCGGCTTCTGGAGTCGAAGTATAGCGTGAATACTCTGAGAGTGAACTCGTAGGTCTAGCAATTGGAAAATGTTGTGTATTTTAGTTTTTCAGTCTTTCTTGTAACAAATAATTATTGATGAAATTTTGACAGACAATAGCATTTCTTAATGGCAAACAACGTAATTGGCTTGCCACATGTACTCCGAATGTATCAAATTCATCTTGACGGATAGTTTGAGCCAAAGTTTCTAGTCTATTGACTGCTTGTAAAACAGGTGGGTCCATTTTAGGTGCGTCCATTAGAGCACGCTCCGCCTTTTTCTTTGGCGACAATTTTTGGCAATATTATCTTCTTGTTCCAATTCATCAAAATATGAAAACGCGTCGCTGTTTGTGTTCACCGCTGAATCTTTTCCCTGTAACCATACACTAATATAAGTTTATTTCTTTTAGGTGCCATCCACCACAGATCAATGGAAGAAAATACAAAAGGATTTTTTAGATCGCTGGCAATTTCCTTTTTGCTGTGGGGCTATTAACGGGAAACACGTATTAATCGAAAATCCACCACACGGAGCATCAGACTATTATAATTACAAAGGCACTTATAGTGTGGTGTTATTTGCTATAGTGGATGCACATTACCGTTTCATATATATAGATTTCGGAACTAATGGACGCATAAATGATTCGCATATTTGGAAAAAAACAAAGTTCTATAGTGCTCTTGAAAGAAATAATTTAAAACTACCCAATAAGGCAGTTTTCGTTGGTGATGATGCTTTCCCTTAGGCAACCTATTTAATGAAACCGTATTCAAGACATGAAGGTTTGGAACACAAACAAAAAATCTTTAATTACAGACTATCAAGAGCACGCCGAATCGTAGAGAATGCCTTTGGCATAATGGCTTCACGATTCAGAGTATACAGAAAACCTATATCTGTTTCATTGGATAAAACTGATTCTATTATTAAAGCGACCTGTGCGCTGCATAACTGTCTTCGGACTAATCTCATATACATGAAACTAATATAAACAATTTCTTAGAAACATATTCCTCGCAACTAGAACGACGAAAAAGATCGATTGTTTTCGGCGACTTCAATATAGATTTACTCAATCCCAACAATAATGTCAAAAAATACATGAAAGAAACCGAAGAAGTCGGATACGAAATATTAAATAAAATTGACAGGTCGCACAGTACGCGCATCACGAACACGACAAACACTATACTGGATCATATATGTACAAACATAGGCAACCACTCATTCAGTATATCGATAATCGAATCCAGTCTTTCTGATCATAAACAGATATATGTGGAAATTGGGCGTTTGAAACCACAAATTATTACAAAAATACAATACAAAGCAATAGACTACGAAAACTTATATAATAGTACTCTAGAGGCGAAATACATGAACAACGACCATGATTTTTACTACTTGGAAAATTTTATTCTAGAACAGATACACAAGAATAAAATAGATAAATCAAAAGTTTCGAACCCACCCCAAAAAGATTGAATAAATCGAACTATTATTAATGCAAGGCAATGCAGGCAACAAACGAAATCGAACCCTAATGATAACATTTTACGTGAGAAGTTTGTAGCTGAACAACAAAGAGTTAAGACCTTAATCGACACACACAAGAAAAAATACTACCATACAATGTTTCATAAATGTAGAAAACAGCCTAAGAAAATGTGGGAGCTCATTGGTAACTTAGGTTTAAATAAAATAAAAGACAGCGGTGCTCCCCCCAAACTGATATCTAACTCGAAAATTATTACGGAAGGAAATTTAATATGTGATTTATTTAACTCATTTTTCTCATCAGTAGGCGCAGATTTAGCTAACAAAATACCTAACATGTATCACGTAAATACGGGCAATATCCTAATGTATGACCAAAATTATACTCTTCACCTGACACTATATGAACTCTCACCATGTAATGTAAGTGAAATATCCAAAATTATTGATGATCTGGACAGCAACACTAGCACTGGCCTGGATGGTATAAGTACCAAAGTGATTAAGTGCCTAAAAAACATAATTGCTGAGAGATTAACCACCTGCATAAATATGTGTTTATCACGCGGTGTCTTCCCCGATACGCTCAAGGTTGCTAGGGTCAGTCTTATATTCAAATCCGGAAGTAGAACTGGCCCAAGTAACTACAGGCCGGTGTCGGTGTTGCCGGTGATATCTAAGATATATGAACGGGTTTTATATACACGCTTAAGTAACTATTTAACTCAAAAAAAGGTTTTAATCGACCAACAGTATGGCTTTCGTTCAGATTCTAGTACTCTCACGGCCACAGTAGACTTAATTACGAAAATTAAAACTCACATCGATCAAAGGAGCTTAGCTTTAGGTATTTATATTGATGTTAAAAAAGCACTTGACACAGTAAGCCACCAAAAGCTTTTACAGAAATTAGACAACATAGGTATCACAGGCACAGCCCTCGGTATGTTTAAATCATATTTAGACAATAGGCAACAAGTTGTTAAACTAGATAACTTCACTAGTTCGACTCAAAAAGTAACATATGGCTGTCCTCAAGGCTCAATTATCAGCCCATTATTGTTCTTAATTTACATAAACAATATTAATAAAATAGGCATAACAGGACACCTAACATTATATGCGGACGACACATGTCTATTTTATTTCGGTAAATCTATCCACAATATCATAGCTGACGCTCAAAATGACCTCAATATTCTTAACGAATGGTTAAAATATAATCTTCTGACGATAAACACATCAAAATCATTTATGATTTTTGCGGCAAAAAATAAACATATACCAGACTTTACACCACTAACAATAAATAATGACATCATTAAACGGTCTTATCACGAAAAATATCTTGGATTGTGGGTAGATGACAAACTTACCTGGAAACTACACATAGATCACGTAAGAACAACGTTAATATCGATACTGGGGGTATTACGTAAAGTATCAAAGTGCATTCCAACCAAAACCCGTACTATTATTTATAACTCTTTGATTAGGTCACATCTTGAATATCTAATTGAGATATGGGGATCAGCAGCTGTAACCAATTTGAATACACTGCAAAGAATACAAAACAAAATAATTAAAGTGCTTTTCCATTACCATTATCTAACTCCAACTAAACTACTATATGAAAAATCTAAATTATTGAATCTCAGACAACTGTATGTCTGTCATACTTGCATTCTAATTAAAAAGATTACTAACAATTCCATTCAAACTAACATACAATTACACAAAAAACCAATCACACATAATTTAAGAAATATAAATAAATTACAACTAACGAAAGTACGAACTAACTACGGAAAAAAAACAATACTATATGAGGGGGCACAGCTGTATAATAGACTCCCAAAGGAATTAAAGGATTGTAATAATATAAATGTATTTAAAAGCGGGCTTAAGAAACATGTATGTACTCTGTAGCATCCAATATGCTAAGAGATGAATATTGTATTAGTCATAAGTTAATAACTATGTATCTCATTGTGAGTGAACTAACTGTAAGTTCTTATGAGAATAAAATTCTTTAAACCCAATACTCCCGAATTAGTAGACGGAGAAGACTTCAGTTCAGGGACAATCAGAAACGGAAGTTGGAGAAGCATTCCTACGGCAGGAGTAGACGAATTAATGACACCGCTATCTTCTAACAACTATTCACAAATGCAAAAGATCTGCGCGATAGATATGCTGACTATTTTGTCGGACCAGGAAAAGTTTCATGGCAAGATAGAATGATTGCGTAAATATTGTATGTTTATTTAAGTAATATTATAAAAATGGCTCTGTTCACGATTTACCTATTATAATTTATAATATGCGAACAAGAATAACTATTTAATAAATAATAATAAGACTTACCATGTTATCTTTACTGTTTCTTCCTTCTATCGCTGGCTTTAAAAAGCGGTCAGCTACAGAAAACCAAATTAATTGAGGTCTGTATATATCATCCTTTCCCGCGCCACTCTTCTTTGACTTTGCTACCTTACTGGCCTCTCTATTATACGTGGTTCGTATATTTTTTATTTTCAATTTAAGCTCTTCAACTGTTATGGACAAACGCATTTCTTGAATAATAGATTTAAGAGCCGCTAAACGTACATTATTGTTCCTGTAATCTTTTTCTCTTGGGTTCCATAAGCATGTATGCATTTCATAGCATTCCAAAAACTGTATGGTGTTATTTTTATTCATGGTTGTTACGATACATGTACACAGAAACGCTGTAGTAAATAAATACACGTGCGTGCGCGAAACACCTTCATGCGGCGGGCGATTGCCTGCAACTGATCGTTTACACGGTCGATTTTAGTCACCAGTCGCATGCGGCCGGTTGCCGCGCGGCCAAAGTCGGATGCTACCCAACTTTGGGGGCTTGCGGCTTTAGTCACTTGCAACTTAGCCGAATTGCCATTTAGATGGTCGATTTTAGGCTGGCGTCCTTTAGGGACGGATCGGGGCGGGTCGCATTGGAACGGGCCGCGCTTCTGTGATGCTCTTGCGTCCATCTGTACGGGGCGCGGCGGACCGCCTAAGCGGATTTGATCTTACAGACGTGTTTTCGTGCTTGGACTGACATCGCGCTACCATGGACAGCTCCGACGAAGAGATGTTTTGGTTTCAAATCCTTCTTGAGGAAGAGCAAAAAAATAAAAAACGACGACGAGTACACAAGGTGTGGGTGCATGATATATGCCAGAAAAGAAATGTATTTGGTGAATACCATCATTTGTTTAACGATTTGAAGAAAGATCCAGTCAAATTCTTCGAGTATTTTCGAATGTGTTTTGGAAAATTTGAAACATTGCTTAATATATTACGTGAAGAAACAAACCACAAAATTTCGAAGGCCAATTGAACCAGAAGAACGACTTGCTATTTGTCTCAGGTAATTATGATTTTTTGACATCTGATAATAATTTTATTACAATTAATTATTGTTTACACAATGAGATCGTGCTTTACCTCCAATCTACTCGTAAGAATCTGTCCTATACCCGAATAGGGGCATGGGTAAACCACTATTGCTTGGCGGTAGTCTTTATAACTAGTATTATAAATACAAAAGTTTGGATGGATGGGTGTATTACTCGATCACGCAAAAAGGCTGAACAGATTTGGATGAAATTTGGCACTCAGATAGTTTATTACCTATATGAATACATAAACCACTTTATTTATGTGACAATAAAAAAATTAGTCACAATTAATCATATTTATTAGTAATTCCCAATAAAGTTAACATTAACATTACACAGTAACAATTATTTATTTTTTTGAAAATGCAGAAATTGTTCCATGATTTCAGAACCTTGTACATCATGTTCTTGTACTTCATAAACTTGTCCTTCATATACTTGTTGTGACGAGTTCTAGCATCGATGCCGTAGTAGGTGATGCTTGAAATGATGCTTGTCCAGAGGTCCGTAAAGGTTGAATGGACGAGAATTGATTATTTTGACTTAAAATCACGGCTGCAACTGGCTGTTGATTTATGGTTTGCATATTTTGGGACTCTCTACTCGCATGCGATATATTATTTGTATCAACTTGTCTGCAAAACAAATCAGCCTCAGCATCGTTCACAATTTTAAACACCGCACCCTTAACCCGTATCTGAACATCTTTCGGGAATGTTGTGACTGTTTTCCCCAAGTTTGTGAAAAATACCTAGTTTAACAAAAAAAAGAATTACTTAAATCGGACTAGTAAGTATCGGAGATATGTGAGAACAAATATTGCACCTGTCTAATTATAATACACAATAACATTCCCTATCTCAAAAACTTTTGAACTGATTTTGATGAAGTTTGCACCATTCCCTAAGTTGAACAATACCTAGTACAACAAAAAAGAATTATTTAAATCGGACTTACACTTTTGGAGACGTGGACAAACATAGAAACATACATACACTTTTGAAATTTGGCACAGGTCTATAATAGAAGCTGATATAGACTAACATATCCAAAAACTGGGCATTTCTGGAAATATTACATACATACGGGTCGAAAACCTATAATTTAAATAAATAGGTACTTACGTGTTTCATTCAAAATCTGTGCTATTTCTTGCCATATATTCATGCGCCGCTGCTCATCGTGATATCTAGGGTCTCCTAGATCATACAGTTCTCTATACTTTTGCACTAAAGAAATAAGCGGTTCTTCGTTCATTTTCGTTTATTTTTATTGGCACGGCACGTGCGCTCACATCCGCCTGCCTGCGTCGACTAGACGGATCGGGGCGGGTCGCAGCGCACCGCCGACAGAAACACGCCTGCGAAGCGATCCGCCAATGCGTTGCCGCCCGCCGCGCTCCGATCCGTCGCTAATAAACGATATTTCATACAAAACATAGCCAGGCGTGTTTTTGCGTTGCGATGCGGCCCGACCCGATCCGCCTAGTGGACGCTAGCCTTTACGCCGCGCGGCAAAAATCGTGCGACTTTAGTCACCCGTGTAAACCCCCCATAATTCACAATACGTCTCCTTAATACATTTTGTATGCAAAAGTTTTGAAGCGGCGTCGTGCCTGCGCCGCGCCGAACTCCTCGCCGTTTGTGTGTATTTCGCGCCGTACACCCATTGTATCTGCAATACGTTTCCAAGAATCGTTGATCTGAAAAAAATAATTAGGGAGTTGATATGAATAAAAAAATATATTCTCGAAATAAAAAAGTAAAAGTCGTGAAAACGTAACAAACAAAGAAATAACCTTACTTTCACATCTATAATATTAAAATAATAATAAAGTAGGATGATGCTCTTACTGTGAAGTAAAACATCGTGAGGAAAATAGCATGTTCAAGAACTTTATTTATTTAGCACTTTTAATACTTACAACATTTTTATTTTTATGGTACTTATTTTTCGGGTTCCACAGGCAGTTTTCACTCTGATAGAGCTCAATAAATTTAAATGTTACCTCATTACTCATATTGGTCGCCATTTCGTCAAGTTAGGTGTTAATTCGCTCGGGCACGCCGTCATTGCGGCGGTAAGACCCGTTATGGAGGATTGGCTCGAGAGGCGTCACGGGACCCTCTCATACCGATTGACGCAGGTGATCACTGGGAAGGGATGTTTCGGAGATCACCTGTGTCTGATCCGCAAGGAGCCAACGCCTGAGTGCCACCACTGCCATGGCCAGACCGTGGACACGGCTCTCCACACGCTGGCAGAGTGCCCGGCGTGGGTTGAGCAGAGGCGAGACCTCGTGGCGGCCATCGGAGTGGGAGTTCTCTCGCTCGATAGCCTGATTGCGGCTATCGTGCGGAGCGAGAGTGCGTGGAACTCTGCCGTCTCCTTCTGCGAGCAAGTTATGCTCGCGAAGGAGACGGCGGAGCGGGACCGGGAGAGGTTTAGAACTCTCCCGGCCCGCCAGGCCCGGGCACGGGCCAGGCAGCGCAGGCGACTCAGGCGCCGGAGGTCGCAGAACGACCTCCGTCCTCCATAAGCGCAGGCCTGGGGGTGACAGGTGAGGCCATCTGTCACCCTAGCAGAAGCAGGCCGGGGTGGCGGCGAGCGCGTTGCGAAGCGCGCTCGCTTTCAGGGAGCACAGGGAACATGGGGTTCCCACACGGGGCGGGGGTCGTCTACTCGTCTGTAGATGACCCGAGGTATGTCGGGGCACCAGGGCCTTCCTTTCTAGGGTATACCTGGTTCCCCGGCTATTAGTACCCGGCGAAGGCGTGCGGTTTTAGTCGGTTCGAGTCCGACATGCCACCGACAAGTGGTATCCGAGGGGATTTCCGCACGGAAAAAAAAAAAAAAAAAAAAAAAAAAAAAGGTGTTAATTCGCTGCAAAAAGAAAACATGCACTCTTGATCGCTGCTCCGGGCAAACTGATCGCGCGGCCAATGTTGTGGTTGGTGCGCCAAGCTTGCGACAAGTGCCCTTTGATGTTGCCGACACCGCGCGGCAAGCTCGCTAGCGCGCCGGCCAACGTTCAAATACCTACCACCAATGCGCCAACGCCCGTTCCACACATTGGGCAAGTGGTTGGGACAGCGCGCTTGCCAACGCGTTGGCCTATGTGTAGTGCCGGCATTAGTCGTTGTTCCTCTGTGTCCAGCGTCCTGTCCTAACTCGCCACCTCTTGCTTGCCGCGAACGCGAAGTCCTAAAGGCCGGTATCACCACCAAGCCAGACTCCTGATTAGTGCAACTGCTCCGCTTGCAGAGCTCTTTGCTGCACGTTGCTGGTCACACCAATCACTTACTCATTTGAGCACGTCCCCCCGTCCCCTAGCTAGTTTCACCAAAAAACACGCGCACCACCACGCATCGGATAATCCGGCTAGAAGGACCATAAACTGTTCATGCCAAACTGTTGGCGAAAACGGGGGTCGACTTCTATAGTGTACTAAGTAGCTGAATTGAATAAAACAAACATACTTTTCCACTAACAGCCTTACTAATAAAAATAAGTTACACATCTGTTTGACAAATGTTTAGTTGTACAATGTATAGGCTGTGAATAGGCGTTACACATTACCCTTACTAATAATCAGTGTGTAAACAATGGATAGTTATCGCCTACGTATAACAAAAACCACTGGCAACATTCAAAGGGGCGTTCCGAAACTTGTACGGCGTTAATTCAATGACTTTATTTCATTTGATAATACGCTCACAACTTTATACTTATGGCTATATAAAATGTATTTTTTATTGAATACATCATGTTATCTCCAAATATATTGTTTTTACGGTCTATTACACATAAAAAAAAAATTAAATTATCGTTGTTTCGCTCGTTCCATACCCACATACATTTTTAGAACGCAACTGATGTAAGTTGTCAAAGTCAATCTCTGCACATCGTTAGTTCAGAGGTTTTTGTTTTATCTCGGTCACACTCACAACTAAGTTAAGGACGGTTAATATATTCGACAAAAATGGATAATACAAATAATTTCATGAAGTTTAAAGAAAATTTATTTGAAAAGTACAAACAATTTATAAAAATAAATAAGTATAATTAAAAATGTGTTTCAATATATATCAGCCTTGATTCTTGACCAGTAACACTGTCAAGTATATTTCTTGGCACATTCTGTCTCACAGTATCCTCAGTTGTATCAGGTTCTGGAAAATCCATATCTTCTATCATATCAATAGCAATGTTATGCAATACAGCAAGTGCCACTATATATAACTTAAGGCCAGGTGTCCCGAGCGCAATAGGTATTTACGTACTGTCGCCGCAAAGATCGAGTCGGTTGAAGCGACGCTTCGTGCGCCACAGTCTAAGTTAAACAATATTCCAACAGACCTAGTAATTTTTCATCTACTAAAGTTAATAAAAACTTGCATAGATAACTATAAAGACTTCTTCTCCGTAGAGTTAATACTAATATAAAATATATATTTTTATATTTATAATATATTTTTTTACTTTAATCTGAAAAACAATTGGTTCTCCATACAAACTTTGATCTCCTATTTAGTTCCCATCAAGTTTTTTTTTCCGAAACTACAAATAGGTACCATTTTTATCAATACCAAAATTAATTAATTGATTCAGCAAGTAAGGGCATGTGAAAATGTGACAGACAGACAGATAGTTACTTTCGCATTTATTTTATTATAATAGATAATGTAAAACTTAAAATAAAAAAATATTATTTTAAATTACTTATTTTGGGTTGTGTAAGAGCACTGCTTATTGTTAAAAATATTTTAAAACTCCTCGAAATTTAATTGGCATGTACCTTGTGTTCGTTCTGAATCATCAGGTTTAGGATTAGGAGGGGTAGCCTTTTCATTTTCCTTTTGAATTGATATGTCTCTAATGGGCATACCCCTTGCATTTCTACTGTCTATGATTTCAGGCAGTAAGCAATTCATATAAAATGTTATTAATTTCGGTTTCATATTAGTGCCCCAAAATATATCATCTTTTTCTATGAACTGTGTGTACATTTTTTCGTTTTCGCCTACCCATATAGCCAAAAGACACTTGTCGTTCTGATACGTGTAGCTGGCCTTGTATTTGGTAGTACCAGTTTGAGTTTTTATTTATTGTGGTTGTTTTAGAGTTTTTATTAAACTTTAAAATTTCTATTTTGTTTTCTTCTATAGAGTTAGAAAGACCTTTTTTATGTGCTGTAATTGGACACTTTACTTCAACAATCGTATCATGTCCAATCAAGCCATCAGGCGTTGCCCCTATAAAAGGGTAGTCTTTGTCTATAAATAATCCACAGGGTGCAATGATAACACCTTCCTGCTGTTGTAATTGCTGCAAAGCTTGCTGTTCATGCTCGACTCCGTGTGCAATAGACGTGACGTTTGCCAATTTTTTTTTGTACAGCAGATTTTTTACTAGCGGGGCTGTACTTGAAGTGACTTTTCTTCTTTTCTTAGCTTCAAACTTTGGCCCTATTTGTAATAGGGCCAAAGTTTGAAGCTGTTATTAGGCTTTTTCTGATTTCAAGCCACTCGCCGCTGTCTCTCTGCAGTATCGTAGATCTTTCTACCTTGTATCTATCAGATGTAAGAGTTTCTAAATTTTTTAGAAATTCTTTCTTTGCTGTGTCGTAATCTTTTTGCGACATATCAGGCGCTGAACAGGTTGCACCATAGTCGTGTTGCTCTTTATTTACATCTTTTAGGACTCTACGTTTCTTTACTGGGTGCTCCATATTTAGTTTCCGTTTTCTTTCACGTCTTTTTTAAATTTCTTTAGCTTTGCCTCCGGAATCATTACTTGATAAAGCCGTTTGAATTGTTGATACTGCCGATTTAGTGTTGAACGAAACAACGGCTGCGGCACACCTTCCTTGGTAGCCCCTTCTTAGAGCGAAATTTATTCTTTTGCCGCCAGTAAATTTTGCTATTATGCTGTTAAAGCACTCTACCTTATTTGTGTTTACATCTTCAATCAAACTTCGTGATTTGGAAGCCACGTTGGACACAATTGCATTAATTCTAAAAATAAAAGTTGAATTTGCAATTTTTTCCAGTTTAAGAAGAAGTAATTTTGACACATTTGATGATTTCCATAAGCGTGGGATACAGAGTTGATGATATCGTTGTGCAAAACTGATATTGCCACATTTTTAGAATTCTGTGAGGTTTTATGATGTTTAATAGATTTCACTATTGCCTTTCGCATTGTCATGATTTTGTGATTAGTGAGAGTTTTTCGGTGCGCTAACATGTACTTAGTTTCTGTGGTGACCGCTCTTAACTTTTTACAAAAATTGCGCAATATGTGATTTCGGCATTCAAGTTTCTCAACCGTCAAATTTTGGCTTTCGTATGGATTTGCGTTAAGAATTTTAGCGTAGGTTGACGCATCTCCGTCTCCTATCATTCTGCCATATATAAGGCCATACGTAGCAATCGATGTTTTGAAACCTTCAACAATTATGTCAGCTTCCATTGAACTTGCGGATCCTTCAAAATTTTTGAAACACACATGATCTTGAGGTGCAATTTTTTTATTTTCAGCTCGGCTACATACGAGGCAATATTTATTTTTGACACCATAGTACAGAACCTCACCCGTATTTCTGCCAATTATGGCTGCTGTGCCCGATGAAGCTTTATAGTTCGAACCATATGATCTAGCACACCATGCCCCATCAACATAGACGTCTATAACAGGATAGCCGTTTTTGGTTCGGCCTTCTGCTAAAGCAATTTCTCTTTCTTTATTAGCCGCAGCTTCCATTGCCACACAAGCAGTTTCTTCCCATTTCTCATAAACTTTATTTTGCAGTTGATTAAAATATCTTGATCAAAATATTGGAATATTTATAGCCGAAAATAACTCTTCGATCTGGTAAAATCCTATACCAGAGGCTACAACTCCGGTGGTAGCAGCTATATTAGCATTCACCTGCTCAGTATCTTTTGTGTTTTCGGATGGCATTAAACAGACTTCTTTACACATATTACATGCACTCAAATTTAAAGATCGATATAAGTCCATTTCTTCTTTCACCAACTAAGCGCAAATTACTTGATTGACAATTAAATAAGTTATTGGGGCGTGCTTTCTCTTGAAATTCTTGCAAAAAGTAATTGATATCAATTATCCTTCGTCCTGATATGGGTTGGAAATTATCTTCTTTGTTGTCCTTTTCAATAATTAACCCATCATTGTTTTCATCAGGTTCTCTGCAACAACAAATAAGATATCGAGATATTATATTATGTGGATAGAAAAAAAAATATATGTATATAAAATAACTATATGTAGCTACCTCACATAAAATCGGCTATAATTATATTCTAGTAACTTACATGTTGGCTTCAGAATCAACAACTGGTTCTGGCGCAGATAACGTAGCGTTAGGAACATCTTGTAAGTGTACAACAGTTGACGGTATCGACGACCTGAAATAATAATTCCTTCTTCAACAGAAATGATAAAAAAATAGATCCGACTAAAACAAATATTTTTAGATTTGTATATTTTGAAAGACAACAAAAATATCAACTGACTTAGTTGCAGAAGGTGGCATATCAACAGGCTCTAATGTTATAAAAGATACGCGAGTCCTGTTAGAGGTATCGTCACACGGCTGTCTGCAAAAAAAAAACACGTCTTTACTAAAATGCAAATTTGAGTAGATAATTGATAAGATAGGCAAGTAATGTTATAATTATTATTTTTTACTTATTTACTTTAATTTACTAACATGTTTACTTAAATGCATTACTTCACACTCCTAAATTTAAAACCAATTTGTGCGAGTGTTGAACACTCGTTATTTATACTAGGTTCTATACGGCTGAGTTGACATATGATGGACTACTATTTATAATGTAATCACGATAGTGATTGTCAAGAATATAAAGAAAGTACTTACTGTTCTTCTGTGCTTTTTGTTCGTAGAAATAAGCCCTTCTCACTTCGAGTGATTTTTGAACTGAAACAATAAATTAAGTAGGTATTAGGTATTAAGATGAGTAAGTGAAAGAAAAACAGTGCGTCCCCTATATATGGGGCACGCACTAGTGATGCGCAAAATGTATCACTGAGCTGAAAAGATTGATACATATCATTTCGCTCAAAAGATATATATCTTTTATATCACTCACTCAGGAGCTACACAACTCTAGCACGCACGACTCGTGCATTGTGATTGGCTGACCGCGGTCCACTGCCCAGCAACCGACCGGCAAACTCGCGTCATTGCTCCCACTTCCTCCCGCATACCTCACTTACCTCAGTCCTCAATTCTCGCTTACGGATAGCATTATTTTTTTTGAGAACGCATTGCTTTTAATGATGTATATATCATTTTTCTCTATGAACCTACTGATATAGTTAGACTGTGATCAGTAGATCGTACGAATATTGACTCCATACTAATATATATACTAAAGTAACTGTCTGTCTGTCTGTTACCTTTTCACGCCTAAACGGCTGAACCAATTTTGATGAAGTTTGGCATAGATGTGGAGATAGTTGGGGCTTTGGAGAAGGACATAGAATTCTTTTTGTCGCTAAAATAAGACTTGAAAAAGGGGAAATGAAAGTTTCTACGGGTAACCAATCATTTATCAAGATAAAGGTATAATAATAGAAAATAAAACTTACCATATTTTCTTCGCGATGTTTTTCTTCTTCAAACATGATTGTTTGGTTTTTTGATTTTTTTTATTTCCCATTTTCACAGAACAATCACACAAAATATTCTTATACTAATATTTACACAAAAAAACTATACACACAAAATAAGCTTAACAATGGTAAGTACCAACTAAAATTATAAGTCCTATAAATTAAAAATATTAATTATTTTTGCGATAAATATATACAGCAGAAGGGAAGCGCGCGCGTGGAAAATTTGGCATAGGTCTTACCTCGGTAACGTCCCGCAAGACACTGGCGAACGCCGCGCGAGATGAAGATCGCTTCAATAATCGATTAAAAATTTAATTGATGTAATATAAAAAAATCGATCGGGTAAGATATCTCCAGTTATCTATTACCTTTATTCTAAAAAATGAATCACAATCTCAAATCACTTTTTGTAAGAATAAAATGGAAAAAAGGAGATAAAATTACACGAAAAGAGGTAACTTTGTGAATTTATTCTATCGAGTAATCTTTATTAAATCGTGTTTCCATCGAATACATTACCTTGTATATATCCTCAACAATACCAATATTTTTTTCTAGATTTTAATTTTATTGCTTAATCCTTCAAAAATTAATTCTAAAAACGTGTTTTGCAGTACCACCCGGCCTTAACATTTTCGAGTGATACGCTGAATCCATGTAAAAGGCATCTGAACCTTTGCTTCCAAATTCCAAAGCATCTTTCAACTGTGTTTCTTGTTAATATATGAGAACGATTGTAAGCTTCCTGCTTGGCATTACAAGTATTTTGTAGTGGTGTAAATAAATAATTTGTTAAGCCATTGCCTGAATCACCCAATAAAATGCCATTAAATTCTCCATTTTCGAATCGTTGTCGTAATCTACTCTCTCTAAATATTCTTGCATCATGGGTGCTGCCTCTCCAGCGCGCCACTATATCTCTAATCCGTAAATGAGAATCACAAACTACCTGGACATTCAGTGATGAAAAGCCTTTTCTGTTAATATAGTATTTTTTTATTCTCACATGGGTGCAGTCAATAGCACCTATTATTTGTCGCAAACCACAAATGTTTCTGAAGCCTAACACAACTTCTGCTTGTTCTGCTTCTGTTGTAGGCATATATACAAATGCTGATGCTTTATTAGCCAAGGCTAAAGCTACTCTGCTGCACACATTCGTGATGGATTGCTGGCTTAGTCCATGAATATCCGCTGCATCATCTTGAACTTCTTGTCGAGCCCATGTTCTGAGAGCAGTACAAACTTGAAGTTCTATTAACAGTCCACTACCTCGAGCTTGCTGTTCAATATCGCATCTAATTAATTCACAAATTTTTCTGACATCGTTTGCTGAACCTATATTTTGACCGAAACTCATTTTCAGATATACAGAAAGGATCATATCGATTTTTGTAACATTTTCTTTTTCTTGCTGGTTCTTCATTGTCAATTTCATCAAAAATATCAAAATATTGTAAATAATCCATGGTTTTCAAACTAAAAACAACGTAAGCAACTAATTATTATAAGTTACACGTTCGCTAAACAAGGGCCGAGGGCTTAATAACGATTGTCTAAAATCTCATTGTTTCCAAACATCTGTGCACCAGATGTATACAACCGAAACGTCAAATATTGTTTTATTGGTAACGTTTTTGTTAAAATCCTGTTATACGTCTTGTATAAAAGTTTATTGGTAAGGCCGCTTGTATAGAATAAGATGGAATAAAATCAAACATAATTTCATCAGGGTCAGCTATTTGGGACGGACAAACTGTTTGTACTGCACTGTACTGTACTGCTTGTACAGTATTTCTGGTTGGTGGTGGTAGAGAGTTTCCCTCCGATTGTAGGGCCTGAAAATATGAAACACATTAATTAGAAATATTACACTTGTTTATATACGATAATACAGTAATAAGCAAAGACCACAAGCAAAAAAAAACTAACAGCAAAGCCTCTCTCTTCACTTCCAGCTTGACCAATGACAGCAGTCAAACCCATTATGCCCAACACCCTCTCTTCTAAAGCAGTGAGGGTTTGTCTGCTGCTTGGACCACCACCAGTACCTAAAGCCTCACCACGTATTGCCAAGGCTTTTTTCTTGGTTTTAGCTTTCCAGTCTGCCCACACCTGAACACATCTGTCTGTTAATTTTGTCATGCATGTTTTCATCAACCATTTATTAGTCTATGAAGTAAGCTCATTGTTTTATAGTATTTACTTCATCTTGTAGAATACTAGATAACAATAGATAACCATAAAATACTATTTTACTGTGGTTTTTATAATAATCTTACTTTTTTCCATTTGTCCATTGACTTTATTACTCCTCTACCTGTAGAGTTCAATAAACCTTCCAGTACCAGCCACAGTCGGTTAGCTTTTATTCGGCCTTGAGGCCCTTGCTGGGGCCTCGTTATATCACCATGGCTAGAACAAGTTAAAACTTTATCAGAGAAAGAGTCTATTGTTCAAGTAAAGAGTCAAACAGAATTGTTTGGTTCGTTTAGTAATCAGTAACATTAAATGTTGTCGCGTATCACGTCATTGTTTATGTTTTAAAATTTCAAGTGCCTGAGTACCTACGAATTTTCAAATAACAAAGGAAGATAATTACGAAATAACTAGTAATTTACGTACCTCTCCATAAATTCCAATAAAGCTGCGAACTGTTCTCGGCTTGCTTGAGCTCTAGATTCCATCCTACAAAAGTTATCACATCATTTAAGGTATTTAAGGTTCATCATGAGACAGGATCTTAACATAACATTTCGAGTCACAGTAATGTTTAATTTACATTCGGCACTGTGATACTATAATAAACTAATAAAACGAAGAACTTGTGCCTTCTTCACTTACTTCTTTATCACTTTAAACAATTATTACTTCCAAAACAAAATTTAAATTCTAAACAAAAGTTTATCCCACGCGCTCAAAGTAAACAACTTTTTGACACAGTGTTGCCAGTGCTCTCAGTCATTAGTTACTTTTCGTTCCCTGAAATGTTACATTTTTGCTACAAAAGTTAAACGTGAACTTTTTAATAAAGTAGCTATTGTTAGGTACAGTCAGGATTGAACAAAACGTTTGTGCACTCACATTGCAAACGCTGGCTAAACTTTACGGAACACATCAAAACAACCACCGAACCGTATATCTTAAGAAGATCCACAAAAAAAAGACCGCGTTCTCATTTTTTTTTGTGCTCTTTGTCTATTTTTTACAAAGGGTTGCTAATGACGTACTCAAGATTCGTTAGGCTATTCCGGATAAAGATTTGAAGAATTTCTATACAAGTGCAACATGTTGTGATTAGTTCACGTCGTAAATTTGACTCTTGTTGACAGCTCAAATTAGGCTGTCATGTGTTTATTTAGTTTACAAGTATTTTGGGATAGAACTGAAACTCTTTCACACTTAAAATCCTGATATTAAGTTTGGATCTGGGAACACAACAAATATAAGTACACTATTTAACTGTTTTTTTTTCTACCGTTATTTTGTATCAATACTTCTACATTACTTAAGAAGTTGAAAACTGGGATTCGTCAGCCAATGGTATTCCACAATCAAGAACATCATAATAAACAAATAAGTAAACAATATTAAAGCATAATTAATTGTTGAATACAAACATAAAATATCTGTCAAATACAATAAATGATGTCATTAAAGGAAATATTTTTTTCATTACAAAAAGAGTTGTGTTTCAAACCTAAGGGGAGGTATGAATACTACTGCTTTTTGAGGACTGATCATGCATCTAGTGATAGTATTATGACGTCATCATCATCATAGTGTCTTCAAGCCGAAACCCAATCATGATGTCTCTTGAATCGTGAATCATCACGTACATTGAATTCAATCAGTGTAACAATAAAAATTTACACCCTCTTAAAGCTCTTTAGTGCTGAGCAAAAAGGACATTTTAATTTTAATCAAAATTTAAAAATTTCAATATTAATCTTGATTTTAATAGATCATAATTGCATACATTTTGCATGCCTTGCAGTGGAATCGCTTGAACCATGTACATTTAATAACAATAATTGTAGCAGTGTTTCCTGAAAAAATAAAGATTTGAATTTAGATTGAAAACCCTCACTCGTCAGAACACGATATAATTTTTTTTATTAAATGTTTGGCTCATACAAACCCAAGTGATAATTTACCATGGTTATTTTGTATGGTTGTGCGATTATTTTACAAATATAAAACAGACCACATCTATTAGCAAAAAAATATCCATCTAAAAATAAAAATGATCCACATGGTATTTGTTCATCTTTTATAGTTTTAGCAAGAAAATGTATAAAACTTACGTTTTCGGAGTTATGAACGTGACAAGAAAGTAATGTGTTCTTGTTTATTCCACTTCTGACTTGTTAGGTACAGTTTCATACAATTATTCTTTACCACACTTGTTACTCCACTTAATGCCAACCAACGAACGACTCCCTGTCCTATGGGCTCGTGGCCCTTTATACAAAAAACAACAATCTTAAGCCCCGCCCTTAGAGTCACGGGGCAAACTTAAATCAAATCTTGGTACGAGTATTTGACATGATCCATTAAAATGTATTTCAGCATTAAGCAATTGACAAATCGTCCTTATATAACTACTTGACACTTCATTACAATTATTCTAATGAATAATATATATAATACTAACTTATAGAACTAACGATCTAACACTATGTAAATATCGTAATTATATTTATATAATTTTTACCTAAAATAAATTCGACATATTTTGGGCCTACTCTTTTTCGTTTATAAGTTTTCGGAGCGAGGTTTCCGTAAAAGGTACTTGGTTGATGAATGAGTAGTACATAGCATAGTACGGCTCTTCGAGCCTTGATAATAATAAGCTAAATCTTTTAACTTTAATTTTTTCTGGAATGTTCAAAAAGGAGTTATTCAAACAACTAAAAGATGCTCGCCCATATTATCGTATCATTAACAATACGTACTTATTAATACATTTAAGGTAGGCACTCGTATCATGATAATTTGAAAAACTTTAACGCTGAACTTACCTAACAAACAATAAATGTGATCACCAGAACTTCACTCACGCACTTTTCTCGCAGTTGTACGATAACAAGGAAGGGCGCGAACTCGCGAAGTAGGAAACGTGCAAGCAAAATCAAGTTTAAAAACATCCAAGATACGTTTCATTTTGTTATAGCGCGTTCCATTGAGAGTCATCTCTGAGTGTGATATCATATCACAAAAATAATTCACTCGATATCACTGGTAAGGAGTTAAAGTGAAATACTTAAAGTTGAAAGTTAGTAAACTGTTTGCAATAAAAATCTAGTATTACAAATCTCGTTCTTCTCATAAGTTACGATAATTGCCTTACATTTTAAAATTATATGTTACGCGAAGGGTCAAGTCACGAAAAATGTACAAAATGTTTCGTTCTGGCAACACTGGTTTGACAATGTTAATTTGACGTTAATAAGAAAGCTCACCATAGACTAAAGTATAGATTTTTTCCAAGTACACGGTAGAACGAGCGATCAACTAATTCGTGTCAACTTGGCTAGCAAGTTTGCGTTTTCTAAAATCGTTTACGACGAGGAGTCAACGAATGTAGAAAGAGATTCGATCCGATACATTTGTAACTTGGCTAGGCCTGCAGACCACCTGTGGGGTTGATGGTCTGAGGTTAAATAATTAGCATAAGTAAAGCATATCTACTATAAATTATTTCTCAATCACGTTAATGTTTTCCGAAAACTTATAAAGCTCTCCCACGCAATCAGGTTGAGGAAGCACGGTGATAATATCGGTGAAATCAATTATTGACACGTCATTTTTAATAAGTTTAAACGTATTTTTTTGTTTATAGGACTTCAGACCTTTCACAACAGCTTTTTCTCCAGTAATATCTTCTATCAAGCAAACATACTTATAGGTTGTAGGTTTTCTTTCCCAAAGCAGAGCTGAATTTTGCTAATATGAAGTCACCTTCTTTTGGCACGAATACAAACTCTTGTTTTGAAGTGGATGCTACGCTTTCCAACATATTATAAATTACGCACTGGCTTTCTTCCTGAACATAACTTCCTCTTTTGCTACTTTTATTCTTTTTTTCTGTTAGACATGTTTTCTTTCGGGTTTGTTTTGTCTTAGTTCCTTGTTTAGATATTTGGTATGTATTAATATTTTTATTTCTTGTTTCTCGCTTTGGAGTTTCAAAAGTTGTAACATTGGATAAATTGTCTTCAAGGTATATAGAATCATTATCTGAGTTATTTGCCAGCAAACTTTTGTAAAAAGTTTCTGGGTCGTCGTCCTCTGACGAATCGTTACTTTGAAACGAACCACTAGTATTACTATCTGATTCATATCTCGTTTTCTTTTTCTTAGTCAAAGTCTTCTTCTTTAATTTTCTCTTTTGTCTGGCTTGTTTCTCTTCTGCTTTCCTTTGTTTCTCTTCTTGTTCTTTTTCCATTGTATCAATTACTTCATTGTAAGTCAAAATTTCGGCGCCTCTAGTAACGCGCTTCTTTTTGGTTTTGGGGGAATCACTGTGACCTATTTTTTTCAATAAAAGTTCCTGAAATGATACGTTCATAACATTTGTTTTAGCTTCATTTTCATGTTTGAATTGAGCATATTTATCTAAGTTTACCGACTTTTGCGAGTGTTGTAGGTTTTGGTTAATTTCTATTTTTGCGGTTTCATTATGGTTTCCTAAGATAATTGAATGCTGCTTTCTTTATTATAACTTGTCATCTGTTTTCTTTATTATAACTTGTAGCTGCAGTTTTAATTAGCACGTTTTCTATTATTATTATTTTTGAAGATGTATTGCTCTTAGTACCAGCAGATGTAGATTTCCGAACTTGTTCAAAGGAATCTTGTTTTTGTGTGGTAGAAAAATGTCCTGGCTTCTGTTTTTCGTAGACTCTTGGCTCTTTTTTTCCTTGTTTCTTTGTATTTACATATTTTTCTTTGACTGATATACTTGTTTTGTTTTCAATAATTTCTTGTTCGAAAATCGTTGATCCTGCTATTTCTACTTGAATCTGGTTTTCTTTACTATTGGCATTTACTGAATTATCGTATTCTGTCACCATTTCTTCTTGTTTGTCTGTTACTTTAACTTCAGTACAGTTCTGTGAGTCTTAGTACGAGGGCGGGTCAATAAGTCCGTGACTTTTGGAATAAAACACAGATTTTTTGATAAATAAATCATTTTATTTTTCAACGTAGTCTCCCTTGAGCTCTATACACTTTGTCCAACGCTTCTCCAATTTTTTTATCCCTTTCAAAAAATATGATTTGTCGAGGTCCTCAAAATAGGCCTTTGTTTGCGAGATGACTTCATCATTGGAGTCAAATCTTTTTCCACCAAGCCATTTCTTCAGGTTTGGGAACAAGAAGTAGTCACTCGGAGCCAAATCTGGAGAATAGGGCGGATGAGGGAACAATTCATAGCCCAATTCAAGGATTTTTGCCATGGCAACTGCACATGTGTGCACCCTTGCATTGTCTTGGTAGAAAATAACTTTTTTCTTGGCCAAATGAGGTCGGTTTCTTTTCAAATTGAATCGGTCCAATAAGTTGGCATAATATTCCCCATTGATTGTTCTTCCCTTTTGAAGGTAGTCAATGTAGATTTTCCCGCGTGCATCCCAAAAGACAGTCGCCATAACTTTATTGGCTGACAAACCCACCTTGGCCTTCTTTGGCGCCGGTACACCCTTAGAAACCCACTGTTTTGACTGTTGTTTGGTCTCTGGTGTGTTGTGATGGATCCATGTTTCGTCCACGGTTACAAAACGGCGCAAAAACTCCTCCATATTGCGATTAAACAACGCCAAACCTTCCTGTAAAGTTGTCACACGATTGCGTTTGTGGTCGACTGTGAGCAATCGCGGCACCCATCTTGCGGAAAGCTTTCTCATGTCCAAGTGATCATTCAAAATTGAAACCACTGACCCATGCGAGATCCCTACGGCTTCCACAATCTCTTGCACTTTCAATCTTCGGTCGGCCAACACCATATCGTGAATTTTTTCGGGTGAAGAGACCTCAACTGGGCGTCCAGGACGTTCGGCATCTTCAGTGCTTCACAACGAAATTCAGTAAACCACTTTTTTACCATTGAAATCGATGGTGCAGAGTCCCTATAGTATTTATCAAGCTTAGCCTTGGTCTCGGTAATGGTTTTTTTTCGCAAAAAATAATGCTTAATAAGCACACGAAATTCACTTTTTTCCATTTTTTCCTCAAATTACTGGGTAGTCTGATAAAGATAGCTGTCAAACACAAACTAACTGACGCAGCAAGTTCAAATTTTGACAGGAGTCAACTGACAGATGCCTGTTGATAGGAGTAGTATTGCTTTTTCAGTAAAGAGGTCAGAAATTCAAAAAGTCACGGACTTATTGACCCGCCCTCGTATCTTCCAGACAATTTCCGATCATGTTAAAATTTTGAAGTGTCAAACTTAAAAGGGTTGGTACTTTAAAATAAACTTGATTTTTGACAATCTGATGCGAGCAGTCATTTAGGTTTTTATCAAAGGTTAGTAAGGTGTTTTCTTCTTCAGGCAAGGTAAATAAGTTTACATATTCAACTTCGTTATCTTCAACATTGTGCGTAAGTGCTTGTTGTTGTTTCCATCCAACCCTTGCGACTGACAGTGTAAGCTGTTTTGACATATGGATCTTTGTAACACCACTCATTCCATAAATGCTTGCCCTGGAAAACAATAAGTGGTGGAACTTTATCGCCAACTGCATTGGCAGCCAACAACACAGTCGTATTTTCTCTTCCAGGGGAACTAGTAGTCCTGGTACAGCGGAACCCTTTTTGTCCAATGACTCGGGTTTTATAGACGGATCATTGGAAAAACTAGTTTCGTCGAGGTTATATATTCTTTAAGGTTTATCAGTAAATCTTTCAAAACACTTTCTAATAAATCAAAATATTCATACACTGTAAACGGATTACATGCCCGTTTACGGGCAATTTCTACAGACTGCGGTTTTTTTAGCGATAAACCGTTTCTCTTGCGAAAACCACGAAGCCAATCATATCTTCTCTGAATGGCATATCTTCTCTGAATGGCGTAACTATACCATTCCTTTTAATATATTCTGACACTAATGCCTTGACTTCTTTTGACGTCAATGAAAATCCATTTTTTTCCATTATGTGCAAATAGGAAGATATTTCTTGCTCACATGATCTGGAAAATACAGTATTTTTTCCAGGATTTGCCTGTTTTTGCCCGCGCGTAGCGTACACATCTGATATTATTGTTGAACGAGGAATATTGAAACGTTCCGCAGCAGCATAACTGGTTAACTGTTTTTGCTTTACTAGTCGTACAGCTTCAAGAAGTGTTTCACAGCAATAAGTTTTCTCCTTTTTTCTTTTATAGTTTCGGACCATCTGATAACAAAATTTGGATTTTGTATAAACTTGGTGCATTTTTTTATTTAAGCTATATATGTCATGTTGTTAAAACTACGCAAAATTTTAAACACTTCATACTAATTGCAGCTAAACATTTATGCAAATACGTGAAATTCACTTATCGAAATATCGACACGGAATGTCACTAGTAATTTGCAGTTTTCGTACAAAAAGCATGGGGCGATTGTAACTAATATTTTTAATGTCATAAAACATAACACAGGACGCGGCAACACGTAACTCTAAAATGGCGGCTGACAGAAAATGATCTGTCAGTACTACAGTAGGTGAACTAGTGATGCCATCTGTACTTTATTTGAAAAAACTATGATTCCTCTTTACTCCAATAGATAGCTATCTAAAAAATGATTAGATTGAGAGAAAATTTAATTAGTTGCTTAAGCCTCATAGTTACCTTATTCTGTTGTCACTACTCTATTCGATAAAATCTCGTATACGGGAAAATAATCGCCGTGTGAACGTGGCCTTAATCATAGCACTTAAATGAATGTGCTGATTTGTATATACCTCAGCCTATGCTTGTACACTGCTGGACATAGGCCTCTCCCAATGATTTCCAGCGGGGACGGTTGATTGCGGCCTGCATCCAACGGTTTCCGGCAACCTTTACCAGGTCGTCCGTCCACCGGGTAAGCGGTCGTCCCACACTGCGCTTTCCAGTACGTGGTCTCCATTGGAGAACCTTGCTGCCCCATCGGCCGTCAGTTCTCCTTGCTATGTGCCCTGCCCATTGCCACTTGAGCGCGCTAATCCATTGGGCTATGTCGACCACCTTGGTTCTCCTGCGGAAACGCCAAGCATAGCCCTTTCCATAGCACGCTGAGCGACTCTGAGCTTTCTGATTAGGCCCATAGTAAGAGACCACGTCTCAGTTCCATAGGTCATCACTGGTAACACACACTGGTTGAAGCATTTCGTCGTTAGGCACTGAGGTATTTTGGACGTGAAGACGTTTCGTAATTTCCCGAACGCTGCCCAGCCGAGTCGGATTCGACGATTGACTTCTTTCTCGAAGTTGGACCGTTTGTCCTAGGTAGACATATTCGTCAACAACTTCGAGGACAGAGTTTCCCACGACTATGGGAGTCGGCGCGACATGGACATTCGACATGATTTTCGTCTTGTCCATGTTCACTTTAAGGCCGATCTGTTGAGAAACTCCGTCAAGGTCAGCGAGCCTTTGTCCCAGGTCTTCCAGCGATTCTGCCATGACTACGATGTCGTCGGCAAATCGAAGGTGAGTCATGTATTCACCATTCATGTTGATGCCAAGTTCTTTCCATTCCAGGAGCTTGATCTTCCAGAGCAGCGGTTAACAGTTTTCAGAGAAATAACGTCTCCCTGTCTTACCCCTCTCTGTAATGGAATTGACTTCGTGTACTGGTCCTGTACTCGAACTGACATATTGGCGTTATTATACAAACACTTCAATACCTCGATGTACCGATAGTCAATACGGCTCCGCTGGAGAGACCTAAAGACTGCCCAAGTTTCGATCGAATCGAAGGCTTTCTCATAGTCCACAAACGCCAAGCATAGTGGCCGATTATACTCCTCGGTCTTCTGTATAATCTGCTGCAGCGTATGTATGTGGTCTATGGTACTAAAGCCTTTTCGGAAACCGGCTTGTTCGGGTTGCTGATTTGTATGTATAGTCTGTATTTGGTGACGAGTATTGTAATAAAACTTCCAATATACGATGACACGTCTGTTTAATATATTAGTCTATACAATACTGAAGTGCCGTAGGCACAGTACATCCCCCTAATAAAAAATGGTTAGGGAATAATTTTGCACGAATTGCTTTAATTATCAGTATAAAAGTACTATAATTTATGTGGTAGAGTACAATATTTATTTATTGCGCTATCGTTCACAAACATGACACTTTATATTACATTAAAAAGTTTATCTCTCAGAAAAACGAACATTCGCGCCCTGCGCCGCCTAAACGAAACAGCAGGCGCAGGCATACATTTTATAAAAAATAATAAAAAATAAAATAAACTTTATTCTGTAAGAAAACACAGCATACAACTTAATATAAATTACTAACTTAATACAACTACAATAATATTTCATTTTTTTAAAAGCTTAAAACTATTGACGTACGCGCAACACTATACTACGCTATCTGTGGTCATGAGTATTTAGTTGTCTGTGAGACTGTGATCATATATATGACGTGGCGCTGACGTGGTGATTATTTATTTACACTATTATTTTCGCCGCGCCGTAGAAAGAGAGGGGGATACTTCCGCTCCTACTCCGCGCCGGCTTTTTACTCTCCATCCGTATTACGAATTTTCGATCAGGTCACGTGTAATGTTGGGATTTTATCCGGATAAATACTCAAAATGGATAAATACTCTAAATGACCGTTTTTACTCGAATATTTATTGAAAAAGCGGATAAATATTCCCTACAGGTTTAGTTATCTAACGTAAATTTTGTTATTTTACAAGCAAAAGGATTGAAATAAATAAAAATCTGAAAATTTAGATTTGTACTGTGCTTTATTAATCACTTTAATAATAACAAGAAGCCTGTAATACTCAATCATGAATATTTATTTTCGTCAAGCACTGTCAAAGTTAGATAAGGTTATTAATTACAAAATTAGTTACTTAAATCATTGTAACATTAAGAAAATGACATAATAAGTAGAGGAGAAAAACTAAAATAAAAATTGACCCATACAATCATAATCTTTTTCGTCAAACGATGTCAATATAATATGAAAATATAGATTAGTGCGTTACTTTAATCACTTTAACAATAACAAAATATTATAATAACAATGGCTTCACTACACTTATGAATATTTTGCCAATTACTGATATTTTCTTAAATTAACTACTGTCGCTATTAGACGCTTGTTCATCATTATCAGAAAAGCAATTTACAAACTGGAACTCACTTCCCGATTCTCTCAAATCCACTGATTATTCATCAGTATCTGTCTGTACTGGAAATGGTGACGGAAAGTCTTCGTCGTCACCGTCGCTGTCTGCACTCTCTTGGATTTTGTATATATATTCCAATTATATTTGATGAATGTAATTTTTGCTGCATTTTCTGTGGTCAAGCTATTTCTTTTTTTATTGTGAATGTTTGCGTGTGTACTAAAAGACCGTTCTGTTGCAAAAATTATCATCAAGCAAAGCTGCTTTTGTGTCATTTGACATGACAGTATTTTCTTCTATAGCTAACGCTAAGAGACCGGCTTTTGTATTTTTCAAACTCCTTAGTGATGTAAGGTAACTGCCTCATCTTGTACAGCACGGCAGCTTAAATTTTTCGCCTGATTTCTTTAGTTTCACGATTTGCTGTAGCTTTGATCCCAGTACTTGCGATTTTTTTATAGATTTTATTACATCTATGCAGAGTTTAATGAAATTGTTGAAACCTTCACATTTCAGTACGTCATGAGCTAGCAAATTAATAGTGTGTGCTGCGCAGTTTAGAGGCACATCATGTGGTTGTACTTCTTTGACTAATTGAAAAGTCTTTTGTATATTTCTAGCGTTGTCACCAATAACAACAACAAACTTGTCTTCGCGGTATGTTCTCATGACTTTTAAAATTTCTTCCCGGAGATATTCACTTGTGTGGCGATTCTGTTCAGTGTTTAAACTCTCAACAAAGACTGGTTCTGGTTTTGAAATAATAAAATTAATAACACCTTCGTTGTTTATATTACTCCATCCGTCCAACTGAAGATGCATATAAGTAGTTAACGGTAGCAAGTTCTTCTTTCACTTCTTTCTTTATTTCAGTGTAGAAACTAAACTTCCTAAGAGCCTAAGGGAACTTCCATTTAACCCTTTCCCCCCGGGGTAGTGCTTTTTAACGAATTTTCGCTTTTGAACTTTGTTTTCATAATAAGGTAGGTAAAACGAAAAGAAAAGATTTTTTTTTAGATTTTTATTATACCTAGAAGTACTATTTCCAAGACCTAGACTTAAAAGTACCGTCAGGAACTTCGTGTTATCACAATGTTAGGAACTTGGATAGAAATTACAAAATAATGAGATCCAATATTGACTTAGTAATAATTAAATTAATAGGTTTTTTATTACAGATTAACCTCATGGTATTTTACAAAACAATTTTTCTTCTCATTTACACACAAAAACACGTTGCAATGCGAACATTTACTATGAGGTTTCGACTGAACCTTATTCAAGCTACAAACTTCACACCTTCCCCTGTTCTCTACGAATGTAGACCAATGGATGCCTCTGTTACCCATACATATAGAATAGACAGATTTGAGCCTTTTTGAAGGGTCGCCATCCGCAGTATTATCAGTAGAAGTCTTTCTATTCTGACTAGCACTTTTTCATTGTCAGTCTCTGGGCATTTGGGAGTTATCATTGCTATGCAGATGAGATAAAATAATAGCAAATCTGTCTCTTGGCATTGTTTTGTTGAGATCAGATGTCGAAGAGTAATGGTCTCTCCACGCCGGACGAGTATTGTCTATACTCATAAAAAATTCATACCTATAAATGTTAGGAGTTCCTCCTTTTTTAGGTTCAATACCTTGCCTTTCTGAATAGCATAAAGGTTACTTTGGTATACAATATTGTCAATAATATCTCCAATCAATACTAAAAATATATCAGTCGGTGTGTTACAATGAGCAAAACAGTCATCTACTACTCCGATATCTGCAACGTATCCCGGTATAATTGTATCTAGGTCCCTCTTTTTCCATTTACGGTTTGGTTCGGGTAATTGTTGGTTAGTTCTGTAAGAAGACGTAGATTAGTCTGATTTATACCTGATTTATAGGGCACTCCAATACATCTTCATTTGACGGCGACGATGGCGGAACTTCGGCTAAAACACTGTCTAGAGCTCTTTCGAAAACCTCATCGAAGCCTCTTGTTGAGGGTAGTTGAAGATTTTCCACTTCATCATCGGATACACCTGCATCAGACTCTTCGTCGCAGTTCGGAAGCTCTGCTAATAACAGGGCTTCAATCAGAGTAGTATTGTTTTTAATATCCATTTTAATGCCTAAATCAATAAGAAAATAGGTTCAAACAATAATAAAAATAAAAAAACATACGTTTACGATAAAACAAAATACCCTCTTCATCGAGAATGTGTATTATAAAAACCCATAATTTTTGAGACTAAAATCACTTGACGGTACTTTTAAGTCCGCATCAGTTTTTATCAAATATTCATATAAAATAAAGTGATAATACGTTGTAACAGTTTTTTGAAATGTAGTCAATGATATAAACAACGTAAAAAGTAAAAAAAAGTGCACTTACCTGTAATATTCTATTTATAATTTTTTTTCAATTACACATCACAGCAAAGTGACAAAATGTTCGACAGTTTGTAACTTGTTGTTCTAATTATTCGGCAACTTTACGCGGTAATTCAAATACTAAGTTTCTTTTTCGTACTAAGTTATTAGACGAAAAATGTGGAGGTACTTCTAAGTACCGTAAGAAGGGAAATGGTTAAATATTTTAAAATTAAGTTAAGAAAATGGCTAGTTGATAAGTGCTTTTATACAATGAAAGAGTTCATGCAATATAAAACTGATGTATATGATCATTTGTAGATTTAATAAATTAGATATATTATATAAATTCAATGATATAAATTCAATAAATTTAATAATTTCCATGTAATAACATTTTTTTTGACATTTTGTTAATTTTATTAGTTAATAGTTATTAATAGTTAATGTTTGGGTCTCTATATAAATATTTGCATGCCTATTACAGGTAGAATATAGCTTGAACATTATACAACTTTGTAAAATCTGGTACCACCTATATTCTGTGCAAATAAATTTTTCTTTCTTTCTTTCTAGATTTTATTCAAATATTTAGTCGATAGGGCTTTTCTGGAAGGCAACTTAAACGATGGCTGAAGATAACCAAATAATTCGATCCAAAGAGGTTGTTTCATAAGTGATAGCGGGGCTCCTGACACAATTATAGCTCTGGTAAGCTTTTTAGCGAGGGTAGATTGATCAACACCTGAAGAAAAACTTGTGGAAGGCATATTCTGGCTCTCGATGCTCATATTTGAGTTATTACTATTTTTACTTAGTGCTTCGTTGGTAAGATCAAAAGACGGATTGTCCATTGGTGGCACATTTTCTGAACTTGTTTGCAACGGAATTTGTTTTGAACTCAAGTTGGAACGAAGTTCCATATCGCGCGTTGTGAAAGGGGGCTAGACGGAAAAAAATCTCACGAAAAGTTGTAACGACACTTTTTTATTTCAGTCATTCAGCGCCATCTATCGAATAGATAGGAAATCATTTCACAAGGAGATTTTACCAATGTATAAATTGTTTTAATTAGAAACCAACTGAAAAATATGTAGGTAGTAGCCGCTTTCATAGATGGCGTTGTAATTAAAATCGTGTCGAATCAGTTTTACTCGATCGTCACAACTTCGTTCCTATCGGGTGTCCCACGACACCACACGGCTTTTTTATATTATTTTTCTTCATTTCTGCTCGAATTATTTCCGGGCACTTAAAGCATTTTATTAAATGCGTACACATCTTATTTACGTTGCCGATTTTATATTTTTTATCGCAATAATTGCATTGTACAGATTTTGAATCAAGGATGCGATAATGTTTCCAAACACGTTCATTTTTTGGTCTTCCCATGATACCTAAAACAACGAAACATTAAGTTAAAACGCTGAGAAATAAACATGCAAATATCTACACTGATTGAGACATCTGTAAATTGTATTGTCATCTAGTTCTAAGTTATGTTCAAAGTTACAAGTTTCTAGCTCATCGGGAAGAAAGCAAGTTACAAATTGGTAAGATTTTCTAAAAGCATTTTTAATTATACAATAAAAATAGTTTATCGATCACTATAACACTACCCAAATAACCATTTGAGTTAGCAAAATAAAAATTAGTAAACTTACCTTGAAACGTTATAATGCAACTTCAAAAATAATAAACAAGCTCGTACAGCTTGACCATAAAGAGTTGACAAAAAATGAGGGCGCCACTATCGTTTACATGGTAACATCTATACTAGGACCTTAATGAATTTGATACTTGTAATTTTTATATAATTTGTAATTAAAGTCTTTTAATTTTTGACTGGCAAATTGGTGCATTTGATAGGGACCCTGCCTTGTCTAATCGTGGGTTCGATTCCCATCCAGGACAAACATTTGTGTGATGAACATAGGTGTTTTTTCTGTGTCTGGGTGTTAATTAGGTATCTATTTATAGGTTTAAGTATGTGTGTTTATCTATATATGTATAGTATCTCAGTCTCTGATACTCAGAGTTTTTTAAATTTATTTATTAATATTGCATTTCTATTTTTTTAATTAGGAAAACAAACAAGAATATAACAATAACAAAATATTTATTGAATAAATCCTAGTCTAAATCACTGTCTAAATACTCAACACCAGACATGATATCACCATCTTGATCATCTTCAGTAATTGAGCTACTGTCACTGCTTACCTCTCCAACATGAATTACCAGTCTGTTTATATCTTCATAGAGTGTTCTTCCTCTTTCAAAGTAATCTTGTTCAATTTTCTTTACATGTTCAACACATTTATTCCATGTTTCAGGAGTAATGTCTTGAAAGGCTTCCTCAGTTGCTTTTTTTATATCGATTGCTCCAATGTTACATGCAGCCACTTTTTGCTTTGCTATGCCCTCGATGAGCTCTATAGGGTTAAGGTCACAGTGGTAAGGTGGAAGTCTTACCACTTCGTGACCATGTTCCCCCAACAGCTCATCTATTTCGTACACCGGTTCTGGCTTGTGTTTTTTAACTAGCATTAATAATCCAGGTTTTCTTGTAGCTGGATCGAATGGGATGTTGTTTTCTAACAACCACAGTTTTATATCACCTACTCGGGATGCTGAAGTTGGAGCCTTGTTCCGAACCACACTATGGTATGGCGCATTGTCCATGACAATTATGGAAGCTTCATGAAGGTTTGGGATCAATTTTTCAGTCACCCACTGATAATCTTCCATTTTGTTTTTGCCACTTAATATAAGTGAAGCATTGGGGACAAATCCATTAGCGGTTCCAGCATGGACGATAATCCAACGTTTTCCTTTTGAAACATCATGCTTTATGCCTTTGATATTTATGGATTGCCAGCATTTTCTCAATTTATAAGAAGCATGAATATAACTTTCATCCAAGTAAACTATTTGTTTTTGGAGCTCCACAGACAAATCCCTATTTTGTTTGATTGTGTGCAAATATTTTTTCCTCTTTGCTGCTATATTTGTTTTTTCTATTAGCATTTCTCTATTTGTAGAGCATTTTTTATATGAAAAACCTATGGCATGTAAAACTTGCCTTAATTTCTCACGGCCCCCTTGAAAACCTAATTCTTCTCTTGCTACCGCTATCAACTTTCGCAAAGTTGGTGCTATTTTTTGTACAGTGTATGAAAATTGAACTTTCTGACGAATCGCACAGATAGTAAAGTCATCTAATTCTATTTTTGGGCGGCCTTTTCTATGCTTTGCAGGTGTTGAAAACTTGCCATCGTTTTTAAGCCCATCATCAATTATGCGTCGGACAGTACTTTTCGATTTGCCTGTAATCAAAATGAAACATTGTATGTAAAGTGTGTATCGACCAAAATATGCAGTCGCGCTATACAAAGCTACTTTTCCCGATCTAAACATAACCTCTAAAATTAGATTAAATCTGTAGAAAACGTCGATGTGATGATTTTTCTTACTCATTTAACTAACAATTATTGTAAATTATATCGTAAATTACGTATATTATATAAAATTTGAGTGTATAAATACCAGTCATGGAAGCAAATCTGTTGTAAAGGTCATCCAATCCAGTAAGAAATTTTCCAGCATGATATTCCGCCAAACATCTCTTAAAAACATTAAATATCACTTCTCTGGCGCCACTCTTTATTGTTTTACCCATTTCAAACAACGATTCACTGAATAAAACGTATATTTATCCAAAAATCACAAAATAAATCTCGAACAAGTCGTAAACGGCGAACTTTGACTGACGTTTGACAGCTGCTGTAGTGTTGTCATTTGCGGAAATATTTTAGTTCCTCCTTCATTAATTTCTACTCTTGTTGATCAAGCTGTAGATATTACGTTGTTGTGAAACTTACACGCGCGTGCGCTCTTTATGACGCAAACCTGAGCACTGCACGAACACTATGCGGCCGGCGGCGCGGGGGTGGAGGGCAAGATAAGCACAACAAAAGAAACGGGACAAAATATGGCCGGGATAGGGTACCTATAATAAGAATCACGTTGCTTCGTTTTGACATCAAAAGTAATAATGCTATTACATTATTACTTTTGATGTCAGTATGTAGTATGTAGTATGTATGTATGTAGTATTTTGGAACACTAAATAACAATACTAGTCATTAAATTAAAAAAAAAAACCATCTGATTCATAGAAAATATAAATATCCATCATTTTGAGTAAATAGCCGATAAAAACGGTTGAAAACGAGTATTTATCCTTTTCGGATAAATACTGGAGTAATTTTCTTCCGAGAATTTATCCTCCGCCCATCACTAGTCACGTGTCCTGACGCGAGTTTAACATTTTTTACCCATTACAAAAAAGTGTGCAACGTCGCTAAAGAAGTTTTCACTTCAAAAAAAAGAAAATGGTTACAAACATAACATATCTGTTATAAGTGTTATTTTGAAATTTAGTTACACATAAGTTTAAAATACGGTTAATATTGCGATTACACTTTGTTCAAACACTGTCCAAGTTCATGCAATTTGTTTATTAATGTTATTTATCAGCACTTATTTAGACACACGTCACAACACTATATAATCACTCGCGACGGTGTTGGAGGTGCACGGTTGGTTGCGCATTGAGCATCGCTGCTCCTGTCGACCATCGGCAGGTCCTGCAGGCTTAGCCAAGTTGACATTCTACAAACTATTAGAAAACTAATAAAATGTATGGGAATGACATCATCTCAACGTTTAGTCACGTGGTCAAAACAAACGAATAGAAAAGTGTTAGCCAAGTTGACAATTGTTCAAAGTGACAGAATGGAATGTAATCGTTTCTAAAACGTTGTTCGCTAACTCCATATAAATGCTAGCCAAGTGACCGTTTTGACAAGCGCTAACGAAACGATGTCGAAGTTTTTGAACGTTTACTTATCGAACTGCAGAACCCAATAGTTATCGTTAAAAAAAAATGGCGTCTATATGATCCAACAGAGCATTGTGCTGAGACCGATAAGTGGTTTGTTTGTTTACCATAATTTTGGACTATGTTTACTGTTTAACCTTAGATAGATAACCATATTTCACTCTACACTAAAGATAACCAAAATATAATCACTCAAACAAATATTTGAGTGATTATATTTTGGATTAAGTATGTACTAGGTTTATGAATGTGATATTATGTCTTCCTGTATATAATTGTGTACTAAGTTAATGAAAAACATAAGAGTTTATTCATATGTGGGGGAATTGCCACCACATTAATTCCCAGGTTCGAACCGGGATCCTTATCCAGTCAGGTAGGTAGGACGTTGAAGGAAAATTATCACTACACTGAGGTGGAAGTCGAGAAATGAACGATATTAGTTTACGTTCCAACAACTATATTAAAAATAAACTTTACAAAATTAACAGAAATTTAGGTAAACAACTCGATATAAAAATAAAGAGCGGTGGTAAGCGTGAGCGCCGAACGCGGAGTGCGTAGGTAGGTCCGTACATTGCCGGTCGCTAGGCCGGTGCGACGTCACACGCCATGCTTTTGTTGAATGCCTCGGGTGTATGGTCCAAGGTGCGAAAGTTGAGCGGAGCTAATTATTTCGTAGGATGTGGTGTAAGTAGGTACGCCACACATATTTTTATTATAAATAAAGATAAAGGACAAAACAATGTCCTCCTCACTTTACAAAACTTAAACATTTAAGAATCTCTCCGTCGGTCTTATAATTCAATATTTAAACTTTTCAAAATCATCTCTTTGTAATCTCTATAATATAAAAAATATAAGTAAGTATCACTCTTTATAATTTTGGTCTCAAATGCACTTAGGACAGGCGCTGGACTTGTGCTCTCCACAAATGGGATTCTTGCAGCTGTCGCACATTGTCTTTGTCATCCTTCTAATTTTTGATGAAGGCACAATATTTTCTTTCTTTGGCTCAGGTACCCCTTCACGTTCTGTGAGAGGTTCGGCTTGTCTTTTTGGCAATATACCATAAATTTTTTCTTTTATATTCGTCGGCAAAGTAAGCATTTGCTGTCTTGTCTCCATCCATGGGATCATCAAGCTATTGCTGAGTTTTTTCATGAAATCTCTACGTCCCAGCGGTTTTTCTTTCTTGGATATGACATTATCACAGTTAATAATGTATGCGTTTATAAATGCCATATTCAAGATCCCATAAAACATAGCCATGGGCCACCTGTTTGTTTTGCGGCTGCACGACATTGACGAGCACATCTGGTCGAAAGTGTCGACTCCCCCTTTTGTTTCTTTATAAAAATGAATCATATTTGGCTTGCCGGTCGTAGGATGAACAGTGTCCTCTTCATCACACGCTGATAGAACTTTTTGCTCGGTTTTGGTTTGTACGACACTAACGTCAACGGCCCATCATAGCAGAACATGGATGTCGCCTGGAATGCATATTTTTCAGCTCTTCAGGTATTTCAAGTTTGTTCGACCCAATGGTGCCGACCAAGGTCAAGTTGTATGGCTGCCTTAGCAAGTTTTTTGCTAATGGAACTGATGTAAACCAATTATCACATGTGACATTTCTATTACTGCCATGAATTGCTTTTGTAAGTTCTTTCACGTAAAATTCACCGAGTGTAAGCCATTGGTTTGGGTGCATTTGCCTAGATACGGCACAGCATCAATCATGTATCGCGTAGCACTGTCACATGTCATTACAATTTTCAGTCCGTATTTATTGGGTTTGTTAGGAATGTACATCCGAAAAGGGCACCGACCCCGGAAACCCAATAGCTGTTCGTCGATGGTCACATAAGGTCCGGAAATATAATTAGATCGGCAGTCGTTTATAAAGATCTCCCATATTTTTCTGATTGGTACAAATGTATCAGTAGCCCTTAGTTCAGGCCGCAAAGATTTGTCGTCCATTCTCAAACACCTTATCAAAAAATCGAATCTATCTCTACTCATGGCAGCAATATATCTATTTCCTGAATACGAATAATCAAATAACTCATCAGTGGCAAATGATTATCTTTCATAGCAGCTGTTAGTGTCAGTATGCCGAAAAGAGCCCGAATTTCTTCACAATTAGTAGTTTTAAATGTGGCTTTTACATCAGGACTTTGAATCTTCAGCTAGATTTTAGCGTTGGTCCATTTTGTTATCTCCTCCACAATATCATCAGTAATAAATATACTGAAACATTCTAAAGGCTCATAAAGGCATTTATTCATCCGAGTGGGACCCCTTGATGTCCGTATAATATTAGCAGACGATACTCTGCAACTTGTTCTGCCTTAGCGGCCGTCCAACGATGATCGTTTTTGCCTCTAAGAATTTGACACTGTGGCATGATAATATAACTCGGCATACTTTGCGAAGTAGTTTCAAGACTTTCCAGGTCATCTTCAGAAACCACTGGTGGAGCTCTCACCTCATAGTCTTCTGCATCACTCTGTACTTTATCTTCTAATAAATTGTGTTCAGTTTCACTTTCCGACCCCTGAATCTCTTCATCACTCGTTTCACGCAATAACCGACTGATTTCGAAAAAATACCGGTTTTCTTAAAGCCAGCTTTGAGATTACTTGCTGAGTTGTTCATGATATTTTCCCACAGCTTATTTAGCAACGTAGGAAACATGTTTTTAGGGATAGTGGGTAGTCCTTGCCCTTCCCGCGTTTCCTTCCATTGGTCTAAAATTTGACGCCAGTGCAGTTTAAAGAGGCCTAAAATAGGCCACGTCTAAAGGTTGAGTTAGGTGTGTGCTATTGGCGCTGCGTCTGCCCTAGGGCGACTTTTGCACAATTTGGGTGGAACCAGCGTCGCGACAAGACGGCTGTACACGGGGGTTGTCCGGTCAATGGCACTATACGGTGCACCGGTGTGGGCGGCGGCTCTGACCGCCCAGAATAGGGCACGCCTCTGGCGCCCTCAGAGGGTAATGGCGGTCAGAGCCATACGCGGTTACCGCACCGTTTCGACGGAGGTGGCATGCGCGTTGGCCGGAACTCCCCCGTGGGATTTGGAGGCGGAAGTGCTCGCCGAAGTTTATCGGCGAGTGGCTGACTCTCGGGCGGAGAGCGGATTTCGCCCTCCGCCCGAAGACGTGCGCGAGTGGCGCGAAGCCGCTCGCCGAGCCACGATGTCTCGTTGGTCGTTCCGGCTGGAGACTCCACGCGCTGGCTTCGCCGCCGTGGAGGCTCTCCAGCCGGTCATCGCCGAGTGGGCAGGGCGGCAGCACGGGACCCTTACCTTCCGGCTGACGTAGGTGCTTTCCGGGCACGGTTGCTTCGGAAAGTACCTGCACTCGGTCGCTAGGAGGGAACTGAGTCCCGCCTGCCACCACTGCGACTGCAGTGAGGACTTGGCCCAGCACACGCTGGCGGTCTGCCCGCATGGGCGACGCAGCGCCGGGCCCTCACTGCAGTCATCGGAGTGGATCTCTCGCTACCGGCCGTAGTACGCTCCATGGCCGGTAGCGACAGTTGTTGTACCGCGGTCGCAACCTTCTGCGAGGAAGTAATCTCCAGAAAGAGGCGGCGGAGAAGGCCCGGGAGGACGACCTCCACTCGGACCCGATCCGCCGCCGGCGAACCGGGCGGCGGAGGCGCGCTTATCACCGCCTCATGCCGCCCTGAGTGTGGCCGCGGATGGACGGGGTGGGTTTCCCCTCCACCCGCATTAGTTTGGCCAGCCGCGAGGGGGCGTCGCCTAAAGAGAGGTTAAAATTTTGAGACGGAGCCCGCAACAGGAGCGGGCCGGCGCTAGGAGGGGTCCGGATGTCTTAATAACGGCTGTTCCCGGATCCCTCCTATTACAGGCGCAGAGTGGCACACCGTGTGGTTTTAGTCGGTCCGAGTCCGACACACCACCCCGCCGCAAACCCCGGTGGGGTGACGGTCCGAGGGGATTTCCACACGTTAAAAAAAAAAAAAAAGGTGTGTGCTATTTGGTGGTAGAGCCACAAATGCGATATTATTATCTTTGCACGCTTTTAATACTTCCATGTTTATATGAGAACTTAGATTTTTATGGCTTCTGGATTTTTACTGCCACGCTTCATGAGCACTTTTTTCTTGCTTGGTTCGTTAAAAAGGTTAGTTTCGCCGTAATTGTAAATATGTTGAGGTTGTACTCCCTGAATTTCAGACTTCAATTGCTTAAAAAACGCCTGAATCTGCTTGTGGTCAACAGCGGCTCTCGCCCTCTTTATGTTAGAACAAAACTGCGACAGGAAGGAAAACTTGAAACAAACCCTATACCAACCCGTCTGGCCAGCGTGGTATAGTAGGCCAAAACCTCCTTTCTAAGGAGAGGCCTATGTCCAGCAGTGGACTAGTATAGGCTGTTGATGGGTTGATGAAGAAAATATTCGCCTAAGTTCTGCCAGGTAAATTATTTTGGAATTGGTCTACTTTACGTCCTGTTTTGTCTAGATACATTTTAGAGGAAAACCGTAATTACACATTTCAATTGCACGCTGGATATAGGAGGCTTCTGCGCTTCTGGAAGGAGCTTGGCTGGCTCACCTAGTCAACTAATCCTCGACGCATAAAGGACCACTCTGAGTCTAAATGCGGAAACCGAAGCCCACAACCAATGCATGCTGGATAAAAGCAGTTTCTTCGGCGTCTGAAAAAATTCGCTGACGGCCCGGTTGTCTAACTTTATTTATACGAATTGCTTTTAATTTCAAAATTATTGAGCTCCGAGGAATATTAGATATATTTTTTAGCAGGTTCGCGTTGAGTTAGTGTTTTATTTGTTATATCTGTTAGGCAAAGTGCCATTTGCCGTTCTTTTCTTTTCTTCTCATCAACTTATCTCGTGACATTTTCTATAACAAAATAAGTTAGTTTTTAATTATGGTCCAAAAACGTTAGGATCATAGTTTAGACCCGAGGGGATGATAACAATAATAAAGATCTCAATTTTTTATATAGATGCATTTATATAGTAAACTATATGTTAATTAAATGAAAGTTTGGTTCATAAACTACATAAAAATGAAAAATATCCAACACAATCAACAAGTTTTATTATTAATCAGTCATGTACTTAAATTACTACAGAGTTTAAACAAAAAATAGCTTCTCTAGCTTAAAACCTTAGGCCTTATTATACATTATACTAGGGTAGGGTAAAAAAGCCTATACTTTAAACTATCCAAAAATCAACTTATACTACGTAAATTAGTATTCTTGAGATCAATAATCATTAACATAAAGCAATAGAAAACATAGTGGTCTTAGAAAATTAAATAAATTGCCTTTATTCGCATCCATCAGGACATTGAAATTCATCAGTATCTTCTGCAGTCAAACCGACACACTCTTCGTGTTACCACTAGGAGCATCGCGAGCATTGCCTCATCGCATCGTCCATGCTATCTTCTTTGCAGGCATGACAGTACTAACTCATTTGTTTTTGTGATTTACCTTTGACGGTAGTAGACTTTTTTGCAGATACGATTTTAGCTTTCTTAGGATTTAAAGCCTTTTTAAACTTCGTTTTTTCTTTTCTACCTGTTTTAACATCAGTAAAGTTTTCGTCTTGTTTATTTTTCTTTCTTTTGTTACCTTTCACTTCTTTACTATTTAGTTTCTTTTGATTATATTTATCAAATAGATCTTTTGTGATTGGAGTACCTCGATAATTAATGGCTTTTCGTCTAACAGTCGGTGTGCATGTTTGAACTTTAACAGGCGTAGGCAGAAGATCATAAAAATCATTTCTTTTCAACCGACTGAGTGGTAAATCATTAGATTCATCTGAACTAGAGCTTGTTCCATAAACTGTGCGATAATAGCTGCGTTGCACGATTGATTCTCTTGAGACCTGACCTGTGGATGTTGATGCTATAGCTGGTGATTGCTTAGTTTGTTCTGGAGTCGCTGTTCGAAGACAATCAACAGGTGAAATATTTCCAAGCGAGACATCGGGTATTGAATCGATGTCAAAATTGATGGTGAACTAGCAGCAGATTTTGAACTCTTCTGTTCATCATTATTAATAGGTGGTATATTTTCTTGATCACGATCAGGCGTTGAGGCTTCCGATAAAATAGACGGTGTTGTATCTCCGGATTCTGAAGCTTGTGCATGAGGATGTTCGAGAGCTGGTGCGTTTTCTTGTGCAGGAAGGATCTGGTGCAGGAGCTTCCGTTAAAATGGAAGGGGCAAAAGCTGTTTCTGGTATGGCCTGTGGGTTGAAGGGGTACAAGCCAGTCGCTTTAAAGCCACTCGTGATATTGTATATCGTGATATTAAAGCGTGCTTTAGTTAGTTTTTTGTCTCTGTTTTGGTCCAAAAATGATAACAATTCAGCATCCCAGTGGTGCTCGAATGATCGATATACGGCTTTGTCGAGGGGCTGTAATTTATGGGTTGTGTTTGAAGGTAGGCAGTACAAATTAATGCCAAGTGAATCGCATATATCGACTATGGAAAGATCTAAATGACACGCTGCTCCATCGAATATCAAAAGGCATGGTCCCTGGCTTTTGTATCTAGACAAATGTTTTAAAAATATTTTGAAAAGTTCATTGGTCATATACCTCTTTGCTGATTTTTCACTAAAGATCCTTGAGGCAAATTATCGTACAATTCTGGTTTCAAACGTTTTCCCTTAAATAGGTGGTATGGCTGTGCCAAGAGCATTAACACATCCTGCGATGGTAACGCTTTCAGCATGCTCAGAAGCCTGCAAATGAACTCTTTTAGCCCCTTTTTTGGCCAAAACACTTTGCTGGTGGTGGATAGTGGGACGGCATTCTTTCTCATCCATATTATAAATTTTCTCGGGATGATCATATAAGTCAAATTTATTGTAGATATCTCTCAGTTTTTTAAAATGGTCATCAACGATAAATTACTTAGCTTTTGAGCTCTAGCTGGGTTCATGAATTGCGCTTTTCTTACGGATATTTCATGGTGTCTTTTCATGAACGCTTTGAACCAATCTTTGCCTGCGCGTTTGCCCTCATTATTAAAATTGTGTTTTATATTATTTTGCTCACAATATTTATACACCAATCGACGCAATATTCTTGGTGTCACAGGCAAGCCCATTTCAGAATACCGGATTATCCTTTGCACAAGTTGAGCTTCCTCTTCATCATTTAATATAGGTTTACGTCCCAAACTTTTTTTTTTAAACTGCCAGACTGCAGATGATTTCTGATTGTTCTTCTAGGAACCTTATATCTCTCTGCAGCCTTATACGTACTCAAAGTTCCTCTTTGTACTGCTCTAACAGCTGCGATCAGATCGTCTTCTGACCACAATGCCTGTTTGGGAGGCATCGTGACCGTAAGCACTGAAAACAATGTTAAATAAATTGAAAATGTATAACTACGTACATACTACCCACCAACAAACATTTTAAAAACACGCTCCTACTTATATAGCAGTTTAAAAAAATAGGAGTATAATAAGGCCCATTGTAAAATTTACAGGTCTTAATATCCGCCAACCACGTGGTTACAGAAAAAAAATATATTTTACAACTACAAGTCCTTTAATACGGTAACCTAGGGACAAGCATACATTAATTAATAAACGGACAGTCAATACAGGTTTGTAAATATGATATTTTCAAAATAACTTACGTTTTACTGAAGCCAATTTTTATAATTCGTGCCGCGTGACCGCACCGCTGAATGATTTCGACGACACTGGCGGAGGGAGAATAGAAATCGTTCGTCCGCCACTTCGCAGCGACTTGTATACGCTCTGAGCTTGTGTGAGTGTAACCTTGATCGTCAATTACTGTATTTCGTACGTTTTTTGTTACTTAGGCCTTAATGCCCGACAGGCCTTAATGCCCGCGGGTACCTTACATAAAACATAAGACAATGCAATCTCTTTGCTTAACTTTTTTGAGTCATTTATTTAGAAACCTACGATCGCTGTTCCTTGTTATTACTTTGTTTATTTTTATATTATGCTTACTAAGTGGACTGTAACGTTCTTGAGTATAATAAGGGTCTTTAAACCTAAAGCTAAAAAAACCATTACCGACCATATGAATCCAAATTTGAATCTTTGTCTTCACTTTAACTAATATTTTCAAATAAAAGTTTGCGGAATTCACATAACACGTTTAAACAGGTAATTATCGGAAAAGGTCTAATGAATTGAATTAGTGTGACATATATTAACCGTGAATAAAACTAGAAACAATAGACGTCAATTAACGAAAATAGTATCAGATAATAAACTAGATGTCGCTGCATGTCCATACCGGTTCAACTTTGTCTGACAATTACGTTGGACTATAGTTGGGGCCCTGCACTATTAGTACAAGAGCTAGCAACGTCAGGAAAACAAGCATTTCAGGTAGGCCAGTTTTTAGATATCCTATCTCTCTCACTCTCCCGCACGTCATATGGACTATCTGGCTGGCGGTAGTGGTTGCGTTCATCAGTGCGCATCCTACCTGCACAGGTAAAATATCGATTTTTTAAATCATTTTAAGGAGTTCTTTTTTTTATTATTTTTATTGAACTTTCTACAACGTTAATCTAATATTGCCAGACATTTTTGTTGCTGTTGAAACTGTTCCAGACGCTAATTTCGAATTTAAAAAAAAAAAAATTCAAAATAATTCAGTATGGCTGAATTTTTTTTATAATATTATTTAAGTATCTAAAAACTTAAAATTAATTTGCCACCAATTATTCGGTTGTTAAACCTTCAGCCAGACCGATTTAAAGGTGGAAAGTGATGTGGTATCATTTTGCTTGGTCTAAAAATAGTTGTCGAATAAATTACAGAGAAAGAATTAAAAATGAAAGAATAAATGTGTGGATTAATGTAGTATCAAAATAATTATTTCTTGTTAACAAAATTAAGATAATAATCAATCACAAGTATGAAAATAATCAAAAATTATATTTTTTAATTGATAATTGTATCACAAAAAACGGAGGCATCTTGATAATCATAATCATCATCATCATCTTCATCACTGCTGTCATTATCATTGTCATCATCGTCTTTTGGGTTGTCATCGTCTTGTAATAAGTTATTATTTGTAAAATAATGAAAAATTGAATAATCTTTCGTCAAAGAAATTTATTAGTATTTTATTTTTTAATTTTACCTTTAATAATAATGTCGGCAACTAATGATGGCAATTGCTCTCCAACAAACCAGACAAAATCATATTTATCGTCATTTATGGTCCAGCCAGAAGCTTGAGGTGATAGAGATGTCGGGTGTTTTAAATGAGCATTTCTCCAAAACTTGTAGCCGCTTTTCTTGTCAGTCGGACTACTCACCGGCTGACCCAGTGGAGAGATTTACGAGATTACCTCAGGGCGCCTTGTATGAGAACAGAAGTGTGTGCGTGTGGGAAACCTACGGGATTCCTTAGAGGAAAACAACTTACACCTCAGTCATACATACATGTATATTTCAATAAAAACTTTAAGTTACAATAATAAAAAAATAAATTAATTAGAGGGTATAAGAAAAACCGCAGCAGCGCGCGTCAGAGCCGAGCTGATGGTGCTCGGAGCCTCCTCGTCTTCACTCCAGGAGGTCACTTCCCCTTCCGCCCGAGTCGGCTATTTATATTAGGTATTGAGGAAAGTTCACTATTGGTATTAATAATTGGTATAAATAAAGTTAACGAGAAGTACGTAACCCGACCGGCTGTCCGCTTGCTTTGTGAGCCGCGTGACTGCCAGCTTGCCAGAGGTTACCGAGAAACTTGAATTCGAACCAGAAGGCCACAAACGAACAAGCACGCCGTCTGAGACTGACCGTCTTGACCCGAAATCTGGGACCCTACGAATGGATTAGCACTCATATTATCGATCAGGTTCCAGAAACAAATAGGTACAAGAAAAATTAAGAATATACTCACCACTTTCGTGGGTACTTTGAACAGATAATATATTACGAAAATAAAATCACAAGACAATCAAAACACTATTTACTGTGGCTTTTTGTCCAGCGTTGGCGTGCAGCTATCGAATTTGTAAAGTGTGCAATACCGCTGAGACGTTTAGCTGCATCTGCATTTATAGTCTGTTCCAATGTAAGATCTATTGGTATTCTTGAAAAAGATTTATCTGTTCTTTTAATGCCGAAACATCCAGATTTGAAGTCCTCTTCAAGTCCTGGATGTGTTTCGTTAACATTTTTTAAATTATCATAATATTTAACACACCATCGAGCGTAGTTGGGTTGATTAAACATAAAAAATAAATTTGTGATTTTTGGAATAATATGCTTAAACATTTCAAAATCACCCATGCGTATGCTCCTTGATAAAATGGTGTAATAATTAACTAGTTGGATGTAGATCATGTAGAACTGAGCAGTTTTAGCATGATCACCTTGTCTTGTTTTATCTACGAATTTTTGATACGAAGAGAGCAGTCGGGACACTTGATTCGGTAATAATTCAGCAGTCGTAGTTGAATGGGAAATTTTAAGATTTTGATATTGAAGAAGATCATCTATTATTTGCTCTTTTAAAAAACAGTGTTCGACTTGCTTTGTTTTTAAGTATTGGTCAAAATGTAGTATTTGCAAACCTACAGCCATCAACGGATGCAGACGTTTGCAACGATTAAAATGTTTGCCATCAATGATTCCATTCACAGAACCTGATGCTATAATCTTACTTTCAACCATCATATGTGATAATCCACACTCATTGATAAATACTCCAATCGCTTTAAAGAATGCCATCATCAAAAGATGTATAATAAATAAATAAATAAAAATCATTTATTGAAAATAAAAACAATAAAACAAAACTACAACAAAATTCAATATTCTCAGAGTAGCACAGTCTGTATATTTTTACAGAATATGTAGACATGTAAATTAATATGCATTCATCAAAAAGGCTAAGTGAAAAGTAAGTAATTCAAACATTACACATGGCGCGATCAACCAGTTTGCACAACACCACTTCCAGTAAGCCACACAAGCAACCCAGGAAGTGTAGATCTATATTGGTGTCCAAATGTGTCTTTAGTGCACCTTTTCAATCGTGTAGTTCAATCGTCCTTTTCAATCGTTATTTATATCTTCAAACATTCTACCCGGTGGCGGGTACATAGTATTATCAAACATACAAGATTGAATATCTTCTCGAATAATTTCTGCCGCAGCTTTTAAAGTTTTCCACCGTTTTTCCTTTTCATTCAAGTTTTTGTTATCAGACCAGGCTTGACTTAAAATGTCTTGGTAATTGTCTACAAAACAGATAAAAGTTAATTTTCCAGGCTTCTCTGTAATAATAATTCTACTACCATACTTTTTTCAATCGTATTTTTATAATCCCGTTTTCTAAAGCTACATTTTGGCAAACATTCTTCAGTTCATCTAACGAAAACTGGCAGTCATCGCTACTTTCAATGAAATTGAAAATTTCCTCCATTGCAGAGTTTATAGCCTCACTTTGAGGACGGCCAATTTTACCGCCAGTATTAGGTCTCAGGAAGGATTTGTAACAACTGTCATGGTATTTAGCGTCAGCAGCAACTAAATCATACTGAAAATTAATACGCGCAAAGACAGCTTTTGACACATCATCAGAACGATCTTTAGCTAATTTTAAAATGGAATCTTTGAATGTAAGTGTAGAAACTTTATGAATTTTTCGGCGATAAATCTTCACTTTCTTCTTTTCTGCTTCTTCATCCGCTTCATCGCCACAAAATAAGCAGTGGTTTTTAAAACAAAAGCTGGATTCACTTATTCGCGCTCTAGTATGAGGTGGACTTACTTTTGAAGTACTGGCCTGTTCTTCCTCACGTTGTCTTTTTGATGCAGAGATTGAAGTTTTCCGGGTGTATGATTTTCTGCAATCCACGTGAATTGTAACGGACTTTTGGCTTCTTAAATAATCAGCAAACTCATCACTTCTCGCGACACTTGCATTGATTAAAGTTGGCATTCCACGACTGACCACAACAGTTTCATCTTCAGTCAAAAGTTTATTACAAGTAAAGCAAAATTGTGACATTTTTTTTAAAATATTAATCAGCACTAACTTCAATAGTAGACGCTTGTAATAAATACGTATAGTCACTCGAACTGCTCGTTCAACACTAAAAGAAGCAGGTATACGTGAACGACACCACATGGACAAAAGAATAGGCAGATGTTTTTTAAGGCCAGATGTTATTCGAGTAGAGGGGATTCGGTAAGGGACCGGCGGTCATTTTAGAGTAAATTTTCTTAGAATAGTATAATGTATACATAAAAGAGACACGAGTAGGCATTTTTGCTTGCTTGAGTACCTAAATATGTATATACGTGGCATATGTGTGCATAC